GACGTGAGGAATAAAAGAAATATGTATTTGTGGGCAGTAAATATAGGGAGATTTTAATCCTATAAAACCGCTTTGAATAAGTCTCAATATATTGGGTTGACATAATCAGCGAATCTATGTTTCTCAACGGTACAATATTCATACGTATGTCAACAGCGGACGTGGTATAAAGGAAGTTCTCTTTTCAACGCAAGTCTGTCTTGGTGTGCCAGCACATTTGTAAGGCGTACATATTATCCACTGCAAATATTTTCCTTTCCGTGACGCACAATCAAGTGTAATGTAAATCCGCTCGGAAGGGAATCCGGCTCTGGTAGATATCAATGCGAGGTTAAATACTGAAATAAATTAACAAAAGACATTTTATTATTTCCTTTCAAAACATTTTCCTTTCTGGGGTTTTCCTTTAACACCACTGTAGCCGTGTTATTTGTGTAAAACAATGGCGTCCACCCCCTCCCGCTGCCGGGCTAATACAAGGGGATAATGACCCATAAGCCCGCTGGACTTTCAGGTGGAATAGAATCATTCATAATGTATGACAATAGCCTCCACTGACCCCAACAAAGGCGTTGGTCAGCGGAAAAATCAATAAATAGGGAATGGATGTGTGACGTTCTTAATCAGGCTAGGTATGCGTCTTTCTAAAAATGATCATTTTGTAGAATTTTCTTGGACGGAAAAGATGATGAAACACGTATATGTAGATACTACAGTATGTCTCCATGACACGAGAGAAAAATAAAAATGGAGTCAAACTCATGTTCGAATGATTACCAAGTCTAGATTGCATCAGCTCTAGGACTGTACTGGGCTCCATTTGGTTATTTAAAAAAAGTTATTTTGTTGAGATTATTTCTGGGACTACATGTCAGTCTACTGTAGATACGTGATTAATTGGTGCGTATATATATATATATAGATATCGGCATATGGTCTCTGGGGGAAGAGGCTAAAGTGTGGTTATACGGTTGTTTCTTTGTTAATTCATAACATGAACATCGTCCCTTAAGGCGGAAATATTTTTTGTACATGACTAAAATGTATAGAATGACTTTGACGACAGATCGGAACTACGAATGTGAATCTGAATGTATACAATGGGTTCAGACCGGTGCACCTCGAAACCAGGAAGGTGCACGGATTTCCCTACAGTGGGGTTATATCTATACACTACTTGTAACAAACACACTTTCTTTCGTGATGTAATATGTAACAAATATTCTGATTCCATTCTCAACAAAGAAATGCCCAACATAACGGCAGCTTCCATGCGGAAAGGTGACACATGAAGTTACCTTAAATGACAATCCTTCTCACTGGATGAAGTTAAAGTTGTATAATTCAAGTCTCGTAAAAAGAAAAGAAAATATTGTTCAGCAGCTTACCGTCTTTAACTTAAAAAACTAAAGATATAGTATGGCATTCCATAAGACATGAAATACATTTGTTGTGACCTATATTTTTTGTATATTTACATCCTGATAGTGCCAATCCGTGAAGATCCGGGTCTACAGCAGTCCAATGCTTGTCGTGAAGATCCGGGGTATAGAATAGATCTTCAGCAACCCATACTTGCCGTAAAAGGCGACTATATGCTTGTCGTAAAAGGCGACTAACGGGATCGGGTGGTCAGGCTCGCTGACTTGGTTGATGCATGTCATCGATCCCAATTGCGTGGATTGATGTTCATGATGTAAATCACTGGATTGTCTGGTCCAGACTCGATTATTTACAGACCGCTGTCATATAGCTTGAATATTGCTGAGTGCGGCGTTAAACAACAAATAAACAAACAAACAAACAGCTTGTCGTGAGAGGCGACTAACGGGATCAGACTCGCTGACTTGATGCATGTCATCGTATCCCAATCACTGGATTGTCTGGTCCAGACTGGATTAGTTACAGACCGCCGTCATACACCTGGAACTGATTGCTAGGTGTTGCGTCAAACAACAAACAAACAAACAAACGTGATGGAGCATCACGTCTTTTATACGCGATTCCCATCATGCACGAGAGGCAGGGTAACATTCTGCCCGGGTCACCTGGCATTCTACCAACATCCGTTACATAACCTATTCCAGTGTGCATTTAACCTATTTCGTCGGTGGATACATAGGAGAATGGCTTTCGGGTCATTCGTACGACGTCAATAGAATATTTACAGTTGGTGAGAGACCAATGAATTACTGAAGGTTGTTTAAGACAATTTCCTGATCTCGAACAGTGATTTGGAGAGTTGACAATGAAAGAAAAGCTTTTAATATATCACACACCTCTATATACAAACTGAATGTATTTATTAGTGAAACAGATATATCATATTATTATAGGCATGTTGACATAAGAGAGAATGAATAAAATACATACGAATGCATGCGTAACAACGGTTAATTTATGCAGGGAGTCTAGATGGGATTGTCTGTTTCTACATCCGCACTTCGTGAGAGCGGAAGGTCAGGGGTTCGATGCCCGCCGCGTCATACAAAAAGATTTTAAACGATGGTACTTGTTGTTACCCTGCCTAGCGCTCGGCATTAAGGGGCTAAAACAAGGCTCGGAGTCAGAATACTGTATGTGAGTGGAGTCTCCGTGTTAAACTGCGGCATGGTATCTCAGTGGATTAGTCCGGTCTAGTACAAGCACCCCCCCCCCCCCCCCCCCCCCCACACACACACACACACACACGTACGCACGCACGCACGCACGCACGCGCGCGCACGTGCATGCACATCGCTAGGCAAGTGCAATAATCTTTGACGCGTCGTTAAACCCCATTTCATCTCACCTTCACTTCGTGGGGAGCCTGGATTAGAGTATATAGGTCCCCACGCAGCAACATTACAGGACGAAATGGATTGGGTGGTCAGACTCGGTGACTTAGTGGATTGCGTGTCATCATCGTATCCCGACAGCATATGACGTTGTTCATAATATCAATCACTGGCGTGTCCAATCTTATTAAACTCAGGACCAGTGACGATCCGGGATAAAATAGGTCCTAAGCAGCCCATGCTTGCCCTAAAAGGCGACTATGCTTGTCGTAAGAGACGACTAACGGGATCGGCTATTTACAGACCGCCGTCACTTAGCCGGAATATTGCTGAGTGCGGCGTTGAACAACAAACAAACATCAAACTCAGATCTTACTGCTAGCTACCCCTACAAAACGTTAATAGGCTGAAAACAGTAACAATGCAAATTTAAGTTTCTAAACACAACTATGATACCCGTATCAAACACATCTCCATCGAATAACTACTTCTTGTTTGTGTTATTTGTTGCCACCGTCATGGGTGTATACATTGTTTGTCTTTTCCATAAATAAAGAAAAGCTGTAAACCTGAATTACTCCGTGGCATGAACTGCTTTACTTCATATTCGGATAGCCACTCGTCCTATCGAACCCCAGAGTCGTTGAGATAATGTTTCTTCGTACGTCAGCATCCAGGCTCGTATATCCAGTAAACGTATATAAGAGCTTCATCACCACGGGGCGAAAATTTCCTCACACATCAAGGTGACGCGTAGCCTTGCACCAAGGCTATACTTTAAGATATGTCCTTGGATGTATAGTAATTGTATCCTTATAATAGCCAAGTCTATATATACATGAGCGGACAGTACATCTAAGGACGCAGGTCTTCTTTTTTTTAGGAGGGGGAGGGACAACTTGTTCTTATTTAAACCAATAATTATTACAAGTCTCGCTGTCTAGCTGTCTACCTATGCAAGTCTAGCTGACACGTGTTGACATGGGTAGACACCAACCAGCCTGCATGCAGCTATTCTCGAGTGAGTGAGTCAGTGAGTCAGTGAGTCAGTGAGTATGGTTTTACGCCGCTTTTAGCAATATTCCAGCAATAACACGGCGGGGGACACCAGAAATGGGCTTCACACATTGTACCCATGTCGGGAATCGAACCCGGGTCTTCGGCGTGACGAGCGAACGTTTAAACCACTAGGCTACCCGACCGCCCCCGCAGCTATTCTCGAACTAATGGTTACGTAAATAAATAGATTTGGGGAGAACACAACTAGTTCCTCCTGGATTTTCACTAGTCTCGGATATGGTTTCCTGCTACACACCCTACCTTCATGCGTGGCTCTACCTGAAACAAAACATAACGCCGCCATGATCAGCAGTTCCTTGCATGGCTGAGGGGACGCAACTCTGTACAGTGAAGTGCAGCTTAATTAGACCATATGGCCACCGTGCTCGTCGCAGCCATTCGAAATCAACAACGACTGCCCTGTATTCTAGGGCCGCGGTCCACAAAGCGATGGTTTGCATGTTATAATAAAATATACGCTCGCTATAGGACGACCAGAGAAATGTCTATTTTAAAGTATGGTAGTTACAATAGTCGTAGGTAACATCAATTAATAACGTATAATGTTGATGATTTTTTTACAGATTACAGAGACACTGCGTCTATTAAAAATCCCAGAGACCATGCACATTCCATACGTTTGGAACAAGCCAGCCAAATGTACATAGTTGTTCAAACTCTCTCTCTCAAAAGTGAAGCCTGTCACCAAAGCACCAGGTCCACATACATCATAGCAAACCAAACAATGCCAAGAACTATGTCGACATCCCAGGCAAGGCGGTATACACTATATCTCGACATTATATACACGCATGCTATCAGGACAATACCGTCTATCTTCTGAAACACACGCATCTACAGCCTACTCACAACAGTAGCCACAGACAACACTGACTTCAGCTACGTTATATTGTTGTGTATGTAACACAAATGTTAGTTGTTTCTCCAATCACACAGTTCTTTATTTGAAAATATATCTTGATAGAATGTGTGTGTGCACACGGTCTGGTTTATGATGTCTTTATATTGTTACATAAACACTCTCATTCGTGTCTATAGACAATGTTGTGCTGACAATTATACCCCGTACAGCTAGAGCTGTCGTCAGATCGTTACATCAAGGTAACGATAAAAACATATACGTCAGCAAAGCCGTCGGTGAGAGTCGACACTGACTATATACTATAAATACTGCTGCGGGTCAGGTCCATTCGTGGCGGACTGTACTGGTTGCAACTCTCCAGGTATTTCGGAACATTACAGCACCAAGCACCAGCACGGTAAGGAGTAGCGTCAGCTGTATTGCCATTATTATGTTCACTAGATCTAAGGAACTTGTGAACTAATGTAAAACAACCATAATCATATTAAAAAACTAACTGATAGACAAAGGTAAATTAAAGACAATAAAATGTTTAAACATGTTAAATAGTTATTGATTATATAGATTAATCCAATAGATATCGAAGATCATCCGATTGTTTCATGTGACTATATATAGTTATTCTGTCATGACATGACATTTGATATGAAAAATAGGATGTTCTGTAAGTTCGTTTGCGTGGTATATCTAAGACTCAATCTTGACAAACAGCGGAGATGCAGTCATAGCAGACGTATCCGTGTCCACCCACTTCATGTCCTAGTGTATGTTAACAAACTGTACCAGATATCTGTGAGGTGGTGTGGAATAAATGTGCATGCATGCTTTGGTGACGTGGAAAGATATGCATGGGTTGTTTGATGATGTGAAATTTGAAAATGATCTCGCTATTAGCTAATTAGCTATATGCACATCTCTTTGTTCAGCGTGTATAGCGTTTAATTGACACCAGATGAAGTGCAATTGAATTGACAGCCATTATTTTTGGACAATTTGTTCTTAACAACTGTTTTGGGAAATGAAACTGACACGGGGTGTTACAAACAGTTCAGTAACCTTCAGAGTTGTTTGAAACGTTACCGTCATGTAGTTGTTGAAACACGTGTGCCAAATGTGTCATTCTTGCATGTCAGACTGCTTGTGTGTCCTTGGACATTCGCTCGACATACTGGATTTTGTGCGAAAATAGTTGAATCAGCGAGCGAAATATACACCCTCCCTGACATAAATGGTGGTCTCTTCAGACATGTAAGAGTTGGTTGGAAATCTCACTTTTATATCGACATTATTAAATGCAAACAATTATATCAGATTGTTGCTCTTTGAACCCAAATGACCTGCCATTTATCAAGGGAGGTCGAGATGCGGGTCAAGTCTTCAATCAGGCTCAAGACGGATATACAAACACAGTGTAGTTTTAATTAATTTAAATAACAACATATGACATCGTGACATGTGACAACATGATCTTCGACTGGAGTTTAAAAAAGGGATATGTTTAGTAATGACATGATATATAGTATATGAATGATCAACTTATGTTTTACAACTGTATAGCGACATTTTAAGTAGCTTCTAATACTGTAATTAAAACAACTTATCTTCTCGAGGTCTACATCGAAACGTCTTATACAATTGCAATATAAAACTATTTTATTCCATTCATCAGTAATAACAGACAATCATAATATTTTTTTATACTAAATACTCTTTTTTATGAAGTAAGAGTGAGAGTGGGGCATACGAATGTGTTACTGTTAATATTGATTGGATAATGTGGACTGCGAGCCCTGAGAACGTTGTGAAATAAAATAAGCCTCTACCAAGAAGCCCGTATAACCCGTATTTTACACAAAATGTCAGCACTGAATACAGTTCAAATCAACACGGACACCACCAACGTACATTGCAAAATGACATGACATATTTTATAAATGTCATTTTTTATGTAAGGTGCCCCTTTCCCCCACGTAGGTGTACGTGACGCTTGGACTGGACTTCAGCCGTCACGGACACCCAAGCTCGCAATCATATAATGGTCACAAAACTATATATATATTTTGTATTGAATGACCTATATGTTGAAATACCTAACTGGCTGCGCTACGTGCTACCGTTGACGGTGAAATCATCCTGTAGAATTTATTATTGATCTGTCAGCTTCCTGACCCACATAAAGGGATTTGACCCATATGCTGAATGTATAGCCCCCGCACTCGCGTGTCTTTAAAATATAATACAGATTGGCTGAAATAGGTCGACACAGCAGTTTCGCTGAGCCAGCTAAATGCTTAAAATAGCCAGTGCGTTGGCTTGTGTTGATATTAATAGATGTAATTTTCGGCAAACGGGTAACATTTCTGTGTCCCAAAGCAGAAAAACGTATTTTTTCACCTAGACTATAGTAACACTGAACAATAAGTCGGTTCTTACCAAAATGCAAAAGAAAATTCCAACAACAGCGAAACATTGGGCCCCGCCCAGGTGCATATTTATCAGCACATCGAGGTCAGGATGGTTGAACCATATACATTAATGTTAATCTGAAAAAAAAACACGGTCAAAATAACACTAGTTGCGTCGGTCACCCTGCTTGTATAATACGCAAAAAGCCAGCTTAGATATTGCTGACATGCAAGCTATAAAAATAGCTTGTGTTAGTAAACAAGACTGCCGAATCACATCGTCAAGCATTAGTGACCGCTGGGTCAGCCATCCGGGTATTAGCCTCAACTGTCAAAATATCAGCCAATTCGCACGTGATATAAACATTACCACGCGCTGATATTGCCTTATAGGGAACGTTGTCCTCATTAATATTCATAAGATGTCCATATTTGACAGGTGATCCCTACGCAACAGCCAATCAGAATCTGCCAAGCTCAACGTAAACAGAAGATGACGACACAGATTCGCGACTGCTCTGCTTAGACGCGATCAGCTGTTTTTGACAGAGAGCGACATTAACACCAAAATACATTACACAAACTTCTCCTGAGGCCTAGATTGAAACTTATATTGAAGCATCGATAAAAAAAGAGCTTACACACAAGGTAAGTGTACATTTACTTGACGCACAGTCATCATTTCCCAAAATTTCTTTGTTCACAGCTACCAAGCGGACGGCCTTCCTCCATTATTCGTCTCTCAGCGTCAGTTTGTCCGAAGGGTATATCCGTTTGAGAAAGATATTTGCGCGAAATTGTTAATGCATATCGTTGAGCTTTGTTTCTAATCTGTTAAGAAGTGTATTGATGTTGTGAAAACTGAAGGTTCAAGTGAATAATTCGGAGAGCCAAGGTGAGTTCTCGGGACTCAAGGTCAGCAATCTGAAATAGTCAAATGTGGACAGCAATATTCCTCAGGTTGCGCTTATTGGCAGCCGTTCCAGATTGATATTAGTATGAATAAATTGTTATCAGGTCCAAATGTGGTTTTATGTTCAGGAAAATCCATCTTACTTTCAACCATTCTGGGATATTTTTGAAAATATCGCAGGTGCCACTCCCACAGTTCGTTTGACAGTATGACAGCCGTCATAGATGATTGATCTCGCCCTACATACAAATATATTTCAGTGATGTAGCCAAATTAAGTCGTATTCAGCCGGACGAAATACCTATTTCTGATTTGCAAACAGAAATCCTGTGGTAGATATATCATATTAGGCTATCCGATATCGACAGTCCAAATATTCCAAGTATTAAGGCCTATTCGTTCTCCTTTTCGACAAATTAACATCGAACAGTTTCACCATTTATTGTGTGCAGTATTCACCAAGAGAACCAGTAGGTTATTTGCTTTGTCGCTCTGTAAGTTATTCTGTTAATTTCTCGTCGCATAACATTTAGAAAGATGGCAGGTATATATTTTCAGGAATTTAAACACAAATTTACGATCAAATCTTGATATGAATCAACATTCATGTTAATTTTAAGATATCTGGGTAGTTTCCCAAAAATCTTTTCATCAGAATATTTAAGGTCTAGCGAGAAGTTGTTTGGGATTTCAAATACATGGACAATAATGAACGGCGCGCGCGATAAGCACTAGCAGGTCAAAGGTTATTATGTGGAAGTGGTCCCTCTTCGTGCTGAACTATCAACATTCATAATCATGCCTCGAGTTCGTAAGTCCGCAATTCGTTATATTTTAAATAATACGTACACGCCATGCAACCACGACCTGGTTTATGGACAAACCGAAGTAAGGGGGGAAATGCGGGAGGAAATGTATGCATGCCAACGAGACAAAAGGCACTGCACAGTGCCTAAACCGCCTCTTGTGGTTGACAGTTGGGCTTGGCTTCAAATTGCCTCCCAGTACGTGTAATCATTTGTTATAACCAATTCTGTCAATATTCTCGTCATTGAAATACACGACTCAATTGTGTGTTAGTATTCCAACTCATTTGGATACACACACCGATAGCACATCACCAAGACAATGGGATTTATTTTGGCAGTTTTGTTTTTCCTTCATTGTTTACACGGGCACCAAGTTGGCGATGCAAGGGAAATAACTCTTTCCCGTTACCGTATTACACAACCACCTGTCAATGTTGCAGAATGTCTAGTGTATATTGTGGGGGAAAAGTTCTATTGTGTAAATGAGCTGATAGAAGCAAGAGAGGAAATATTTCACTGGTAGTATATTACTAAATTATTAATACTAAGTGCTCTAACTTTTGATTAACTCTTTATTTGGTTCTGTTGTAATATTTAGAGGAGTAGATCTATGTGTGTTATATGGATTTGCTTATTCAAAAAGATTATTCCTGGCCTATCACTGAATTCAGTATAATTTCTGAAAAATAACCTTCAAAAAGATAATTCTGGGTTCATTGAGGAAAGCAGGGAAATAATATGATTTCATTGATTGTCCTCATTTTGAACCTCTTCAATTCCATGGTTCAAACTGTGTAAGAAATGTATGCTGTTACATGGCATAATGAAATTTGGCATCATAATATTCAAGTGGATGTTCAAATGAGATTTCAACCTGTACATCGTCTTAGAGGGATGTTAAAAAATGCACAAGCTCTAAAAATATTGACCCGTGTTTAAACAACAGTGACTCCCTGAATACGATACAACCTCGGCAATGTCAGACAAGTTCATTTTATGAACAGGGGGTTAAGTTTGGTATTTCTCGCATAGTCTCATAATTTTCACCTCTTTTGTATTATCTGTACCCTTTTCCTTATCCACTTTGGATGCCATCATTGGAGCATTGCGTTTATTTATATTGCCCTTTCACTTCCCTGTCAAAATAATGTCTTCCAATTTTTGACATCATCAAGCTGCTAGGGCATGTTCAAATCTTCAGTAATGACGTCATGATAGAACAATGTTTTATTGTGAAATAAACAGCGCTTTGTTCTTCATTGTTCTTTGGGATTTATCGCACAGCTACATTAGGTGGTATTTAACTTATTTTTTATATTTTGCACATTAATCATGATGATAGAACAATGTTTTATCGTGAAATAAATCACACTTTTAGCTTCATTGTTTTTGACGAAAATGTCATGACTAATAAAGGGATCAATGTAAACATATCTTCAACTGAACACATCATATTGACTACTTTGTGACTTTTACCAAGGTCAAACTAAAATTTCATACAAAGATGGGGCGGGGGGGGGATTTACATGTATTGTATTCATTGAGCAATGCTGAAACAGTAGACTAACATCTAGTCACTGAAATGAACATATCGTACAGAAAAAAACCAATTGTTAAATTATCTTAATAAAAATTTAATAAAAAGTAGCCAAGAGACTCTCTTCATTTTCAGATACTGCAGTAATCTAGACTTGCCAAACATTATAGACTTGCATGGGCTGTATTTGATGTATTTGTATCAGGGTCTGTATAACAGACTATTGAGACAGGTTCTAATGGCAATAAGATTATTATTTCAGTCCACTAGTCCTTATTTTAAACATGGCAAATTTCTACTAGTCCTTATTCCTTAACTATTGGACAGTTTTGCAAGGGCGCTAGGACCAGTGCCAATTTCTATTGCTGAGTGTTATAATTACATCAGTCCGAGGTTAAAACAAGACTGTAACCGTCACTGCTGAAACAGTTTTGATGTTTATTTTGTGATCGTCACTTGCAGGAAAAATGTTCAGCGGTGTCGCCAGCCTACTTTTTGGGAGCTCCTCCACTGAGCCCGAAACTGAAGTGAAGGAAGTTGATGTCCCCACACGTGATGCTGAACTAGGCTGGGTAGTCGTGGATCTCCCATCCTCGGAAAAGTCCTCCAGTAAGTAGAGACTACATGGTTGAAGGTGGCTGGGAAATTGTCCTCTGTTCCTGCTTTCTGCTTCTAAAATTGCCATGGTAGCCACACCTCACATTTCTCTAGATGGGCTTCAGGTCAAATAGAATCATAAGTCCTACTCTTGTTTTACAAACTTCTTAATAGCATAATGTTAAAGATGTATTTAACAACAATTAACATGTCTTTTCTTGGTATTAATCTCCCTACATCATATTTTGGAAGGAATATTTCAAATTTGTAACAGTATTTTCATGAAAGAATGGAACTTTTAATCATATTCAGGAAAAAAAGGTCTTTATTTTAGAAGAAATTACTGTAGCTTCCTTCTTGGTATTCATGTGTAAATATGAGTTTCACTATGATCATGACATTCACTAAATCAAAATATCAAACATCAAATTTTTAAACATCAAATGATTCTGTATGACCTGGACACTCCCAGATTGTAATTTCATACCAAGAACATGAGTCCTGCAGTGCAGCATAATATTATCTGTAAGTTGATCCTTCTATGTAGAGTATGACTGATTGTCAAAAGTATTAACACTCAGTCTCTGTGGACACACTTGTCCTGCTTATTTCATTGATGCATTATGTCACTTTGTGAGACAAAAATATCAGAAATAAATAAATAATGATCTACAGATATTGCACTGTAGGATATGTTTTTTGTGTGATTGTAGTGTGCACATCTGATCTACACATATAAATATTTCATAAACAGGAGAAAATATATATACTTTTAGTTTTATAAATTGCAAAGAAGTAACAGAAATTGTAAAGAAATTCATTCAAACACACAAAAGAAAATGTGATTTTTCAAAATCATTTCAAGCATATTTTTCTCTCAAAATTTTGGCCAGTATTTGGTCGTTCATAGAGATTCAGGAAAGTGTGTTTAGTCACTGTTATAGTCAGTTTGTGCCGAAAACATTTCAGTCTACTAACCCAAACTTGTATTTTGGCAGTATTTTCACTAATTTCAGTAGTTTTTAATATAAGCTAATCTTACTAGACCAGAAGATATTTTACTCTTGCTTCAGACTAGTTGGCTATTTGTACAATACTTATAAAAAGTGTGGATCCGATGTACGCAATGTATTGACCTGTATGATCAACTTAATTTATCCTTAGTATTTCCCCCATTTAGCTTGCTGTTGCTGCTGTTGCTGCTGCTGCTGCTGCTGCTTGTCTCCCATGTCACATCCCTATTCAAATTGTGCACTTGTTCACATCTGGTCATTTCTACATATCTCTTTGTACTAGTGTTTAGCTTGATTTCTCACAGTTTTAGATAACTACAAACATTTTTTCACTCTTTTTGTTTTTCACCCTGTGTACTGAAAAGTGTAGTTGTTTTCTGACTGTCATAGAACATTCATTGTTGTCACATTTTTTGTGGGGCGGTCGGGTAGCCAAGTGGTTAAAGCGTACGCCCGTCACGCCGAATACCCGGGTTAGATTCCCGACATGGGTACAATGTGTCAAGCCCATTTCTGGTGTCCCCTGCCGTGATATTGCTGGAATATTGCTAAAAGCGGCGTAAAACTATACTCACTCACTCACATTTTTTGTATATTTTAGTGGGACAAATGTATGTTTATCAGTGGTTTAACTAGAACTAACTTATAATGTTTGGTGTTTGGTGATGTGATAGTTAACATTCCGAAATTTATGTAAGATTCTAACAAATAAACATTAGCTACATAATTCCTAATTGCAAAATTGATTATACAAAATGAACAGACTTTTTGTGAAAATAAACTTCAGTAACGAAGATGAAATGGAGAGTAATGTCAATATCTGTAACTTAAATTCATACTGTGAGACAAAGAAAACAGTAGTATTAAAAAGATATGAACTAAGTGTTTGGAAGATAAGTGCACATGGAAGATGTGGAGCTTGTATCTGTTACTGTTAGACTTTATCTGACCTTTTCCAGATGAAGGTGAAAACAGGCAGCAGCAGCAGCAACAGGGGGGTGAGTGCCCGCCTCCCCCTCACCACTGTGAACTAAGGGTACCTGTGGAGATCCCTGAGGGGGACAGCAGCTGTCCGTCCGACCCCGAGAGTACCAGCTCGCAAAATCCCTGTAGCCCTGGCTGCTGTAGTCCCTCATCTCACTCCAGTGATGTTGTTTTATGTAATAGAAACAGTATACGTGTAGAAAGTTGGGTTCTAACACCACCACCTTGTTTTACAGGGAGGAGAAAAAGAAACACAGGAGTAGCTGATAGCCCCATGGAAAACTTACTAATTGAACACCCAAGTATGTCTGTATATAATTCTTACGGTGGTGACAGTACCGGTGAACTTAGCAACCAATCAGAGTCTTCCAGTGATGTAGACATGGAAGACGAAAGTGTTGCTCATAGGACTCGCAATCAGATGGTACACCAAGCTCCACGCAGGCCACATGCCATAGCTGCACGTGCAGGGATGCTTGCACATGTTCAAAACGTTAAGTTCGCTCAACGAAAACAGCGGTTGCAGAACTGTAAGCATATGAGCAAGAAGAACATAGAGAGATCTAACAAGGTGAAGGAGTATCAGTCTCTGGGTAAACGACAGAGCCAGCGCAACCGTACCCTTCGTCCATCTGGTTGTATGAATGGCCGCATCGGCCAGAGGAAATTCTAAAGTCCATGCCCTACCGGTGAAACATCTCCCCGCCTTTGTTTAGAGATTAAATATCCCCAGGAGTTTATGTATATTAGAATTTGTAATTATCAATATTGTTATTTATACACCTTTATCATGTTTGTATTTTATGTATATTGAGATGAATAATATGGAAAATAATAGTCATTGTTCAGGTTGAAAGTTAATGTCCTTTGCTGCAGTTTAAGTTGAGAGTGATGGTATCTAACACTTGTGTATATGTTTAAAATGAGGGAACTGCCATGGGGAAAAAAAACAGCAAAACAAAAACTCACAAAAAATAACTTTTATGAGGCTCCAGTTTCTGTTGTATTGTTTGTTTTTCTTGTGTATGTTACTGTCAAGTTAAAATGGTTCTGCGTGTCAAAACAATGGCATATATGCAGTGTATTATGTATATAGTTGGCAAATTCCCAATTCACAGTCATGGTGTTCAGAAGTTGAAACATCTGTCACTTCTAACCCCCTTGTTAATTTGTTGATGTGGTTCATAGGGTCATTTTTAAGATTCATTATCTACTAGAATTGTTATTATTGCAGTCTCAATGTTGATCAAGGAAATAGCATGTAATTTTTAGAGTTTTTCTACTTGAAATTTCTTAAGGGTTATATTGTATTATTATCATGTTAATGCAAGATTTAAAGATTTAGATGAACAACATACATTTTACAGGATATTTCTATGTTTCTTATTTATTATGGGAGTATTTAATGTTTACATATATTCAAATTTGTAGTTATATTTTTGTCTAAGTTTGACAATTAAGCCTAGCTGTCTATCCTTACTAATGAATTATTTTAGCTGCATGGGTAGACCAGAGATTTAATGGCTTTGAATAAAATAATGAAAACCCGAAGAATGATTGCCCCCCTGACAGATTGACAGAGACGCAAATGTCATTATGATCGAATTACTGCTTGTTGCTGGAGAAAGGGAGCAACCACAAGCATAATGTGATTACCCAGACATCAAACAGAATCGGCATTGCTATTAGTCTTGGACACAGCAGTCAAGTCATTAGAATTTTGATGTGTCATTTCATCAAGCATTTAACAGTTTATGCCAAACTGAAATACATGAATTTATGAACAATCAAACAGAATATCATGTCTGATACAGCCTAACCAATCATGTTTTAGTGATCAGCTTATAACTGCTCTTCTGATTACCAAGGTGCTTATGATTGACCACTGCTTGTCAAGTTGTACATAGAACATTGAGTATTACTGCCATCATCAGCCAATGTGTGTACATACTTGTAATATACTACAAGGTACATCATCACTGCAGACAAAACTGGTGCTATGTCATCTAGGCACACGGCCCACTCACTTGCGCACAGCCCTCTCTTGTCCACCCATACAACCTTATGTGATTGCAATACTCTGTCTTTACTTTTGCAGTCTCCGTCCTGTGTTACTTACTTGAAGACATATTGTTAAACTGACTAGGTATAATGACTTCCTTGTTACCATGTTCCAGTGTGGAAGTAAATGTCCTGCTGATATGTTCAGCTCTTGTGACATGTTTGTATTTGACATTTGTTGCCTTTGACTGATAAGCATTTGACTTGACACTGCATGTAAAAATTGTGGATTAAACTTGAGATACTACCTCTTGTTAATTTGTACATCTGTTAGAATTTAGAATTTTAGAATGAAAATATAACATTTTATTAAATATTAAATTGCCTGCCAATAAATGATGTATACGTATGTTCTTACCAAATATGAAAATGTCTATATCCAGTTTTAATTTAGAAAATATATCAAAAGCATACTGATATTATTCAGCAATTTCCACCTAAATAGAAGTGAAATGTTTGTGTAATATCTAACTTATAAAAAAAATATTCTTTATTTTTTGACTTGTGGAATTGGTTATGGTTTAGACCCATTGCAGGCGTCAATGCTTTAAAGTATCCATGGACCTATTTGGTTTAATGTGGTCACATGCATGCAGCTGTCTTCAGATAGCTTTGCTCCAAGTGCTGTTGTATGTCCTGTTGTTTTCTAGCCTTAGTCTGTATCATGTAGTAAAATACATAGATGATAAAAACAAAAAAATTAACACTGCATCACTCCCAGAAAATATGCAGGTGTACTTACAACACAAACAAGCGGAGTTTTCAATACATACATAAGAAATGACATTTCAGACTGTTAGGGTCATTTTTAATAGTTTGGATTACAGCATCATTAATATATTTCATCAAACTTGTAGAAGAGATTCTTTTTCCTGCTTGAAAATAACACTTTAGCCTCCTCATGTTGAGGACATGGTGATGAGAAGATTTTGCAAATATCTTCATTGCAAACTACCTCCCAACAGATCTGAAGTGGCCAACAGTCCCCCTTTGTTTTAGCTTTTCATGATTTATCTACTTTGCTGTAAAGAAGTGAGTTTGTAACTGATGTTCAATGAAGGGGAAAAAACTTCATTAGCCAAAATAAACCCCCCCCTATTACTTGGTCAGTAGGTCTGGATATCTTCTGTTTCCACTAGCAATGAATGGTAGATTTTCAGAGATAATGTCTATAAAAGATTCATCTATTAATTTAACGTAAATGGTTTCCCACATAACCAATGAAACCATGTCTCATGTAAAGATACACCATGGCTTATGATCACCCTAGATATATGAAATAGGAATTTACATGCCAGTGATGTTAAGCCTGGCCCATGCTGTTGTCACTTGTCTGGCAAGCCCTCCCAGTCTACTTTGCTGTTGTCACCTGTGCAGCAGGCATGATCTGTTTACTGTGCTGTTGTTGACATAGAGCCAGCGTGTCACTGTTGAAGTCTTATCCTGCTCGCGTCACCCAGTGACAGCTGTACATAGCCTCCATGTATCATACTGATGTTATGGCTCAATATGAATTATATGAAACTGAAAGGCAGCTTTATCCAGTCTGTTAAGAGCATGTGGTTTTTTTATTAGAGGATTCTGTATTATATCACAGGCTATTAATTTTGCTGTAAGCTGAACATGTTGATGAGGACATTAATGCAATTTGTATTTATTCAAAACTATCATACTGTGTATGTTGTTATTCCTTTCGTGAATGATCTGCAGAGGCAAGAATGTATGTGTCTGAATAGTTGTGTGATGCAGGTTTACAAAAACAGTAATAAACTTCTTCTTTCCAAGTTAAACTCAGTCTCTGTTGCATTTATAGCAGTGAATGTAAGAATGAGAGAATAACACCTATGAGGAATTTTGTTTGTGCCTTTGCACACAGTATCCAGTTTGTCCTTTCTATTACAGTATTTTCCCTGGCCACGTTAGCAGTGACATCGCCTGCTACCTGTGGAAACTGGACTTTTATAGTCAGTTAACTCCCTTGTCTTGGGAAGATGCACCCATGAAGCTCAAAACACATAATGTTTTTCTCCTTATTATGATATACAACCTGGGCCCGTTCACCACTGTACTTTTGTTTTGAGTCTGATTTCAATGAAACAATGCCAGAAATAGATGTCCAATCAAGTTGATTGAAAAAAAATCCAATAGTTGTCAAAATACTGGAACATCATATAGCATTAGCACTCTCCTGTCCTGCCTTAGGACTCAGGAAAACATCTTAACACACAAATTGAAAACTATGCTTATCGACATTGAAGATACTAAAAGATATTGGTACTTTTCCGTTGCAATCTACCATGCTTACAAGATATATTGGTTGACTGTATGCTTCCACGAAAATGGAGTCTGCCTTGTTTGCAGAATACAAGGACAAATTTACTAAATCAAATATTTCTTTATGATTAGTATTAATCAAACGCAATAAAGATTGGATCCAATATTTTGTTATCATTCCTAATGCCACATGGATATATATGTAACTTATGGAAAGTATTCAATGGCAGTGAAGTCAGGAAATTTCAGGGTTTCAAATCCCATTAACATGTTTTAGCCAAACCGACTGCAGTATGTTCTCCCATTCATCTTACAATGTAGATGTAATCTACTGGTTAACTGAGGATGCCCTTCACAATGATGTTGTTTTTGAATACTTCAGATTACCATGGCATTCCTTAAATGATGGATTGTTAAATGATCGACACGAGTAATCAATCTGAGAAACTCATCCAGATGAACAATGTAACCACAGACGAACAAGGTGAAGGTTTCTTGATGCTCTTGGTGCATGGTCACAGCCACCATCAAATTCAATATTCACGCATTGTTGATGTTGACTCCATTCGATCATGACCAATTCATGGTGTGTTTTCTTAAACTCAACCATTTCCCTCTTTGAGCAGGCAGGCGAGCTTTGATCATGTGTAAATGGGTTGCCTCATCAATAGGGCTGCAACGATGAACTTACATTGTTGTGCCTATAAAGAGGTAATTTTTTATGGATGAAACTTGTCAGGTGGAAATTGTGCAATACTAGTTTCCTGTCGGCATATACATGAGTTTGGATGTCTTTATGTCCGGGTTAGCCAGCTGTAATAGTAATGATATATTGTTCAAAGAAAACTCACTGTATGGGTTATATTTTATACTATCTTCTTAGGCTTATGAAGCTGAAAAAGTGCACGAATTTTATACTCAAAATGGTCACAGAATTCCAATCTGACTGTGGCCATCAATTTGTCAGCTAATGATATTCAATATGTAAGAAATAACAACATTTGACACAGCTTCTCTTGCCTGAAACCTTCACTACATGTATGCCATTAACTACATTTTCAACACCTCTGGGTTAACAATGTTGACAGTTTCTGTATAAAATCTATGAACCAAACAATAGGGTCTTAAAAATAATTCCTGTCTAATTATACATAGCCACCATGACATCGTTAATAATGTGTTTGCTGAAATCTGACCTCTGTCACAGCAATTGTTTTTTTCAACCACACACTTAAGACATGTTTAAGACTTCATACCTGTCTAACTCCTATATATATCATGATAAACTCTTTAGCATTTGAAGGTCAGACTTGTATACACAATAAAGTGGGGAGGGGGGGGAAGAGGGTACTTAAGATTTAATCATTATTCCTATCAGTAAATAACTTGAAATGACTTGTAGATACTGTGTTTGAGTTGGGTATCTATGTTAAACTGCAGCATGCTATGTAAGTTGGCTAGAACCATAAAACCAGAAAATGTCCGGCCTGGTACAAGCAGCCACACACGTACACATACATGCACATAGCTATTGTGACATTCAACACCATTTCACCTCCCCATGGGTCTATCAGGAACAAGGTGAGATACACACACAAAATAAAGACAAAAGAGTTCAGCAAAAAGTATTTGTATTACAAATTTCATGGCATGAACATGCATAACAGTCCATTGCAGGGAGTCCAACATCAACTGACCACAGCCATATACAACAGGTTCCAGACCAGTTACATAAATCTCTAACCACAACAGGATCAACTGTAATAAATAGCAATATTAAATATGGCAACACATTCAATCCCTAGCATATGTACATTGATGAAAATAATCCTGAATATACATTCAACAAGTACCAAGCATACAGACAGCCGTAATACTGCTGATTATGAGTGAGTGAGTGAGTTGGGGTATTAACATCACTTTTAACATTATTCCAGTTATATCAAAGCGTGTCAGCTTAATGTGGGAGGAAAGCCCGAAGTGATGCAGGTCTTAGATGTTTACCACTTCGGTGAAACCCACGAGCACGGGTATGGTGCTGACAAACCTAGAAACATAATGGGGGCGAACCGGGATTCGAACCAACAATCATAGGTTTCTGGCGTGCCCAAGGGACGCAACTCTGCACAGCAAATCGCGGCGCCTTAGACGACTGAGCCACCCGTGCCCCCACTGCCGATTATTGCCAACTAGTTCCTGTGCAGCTACTGGAGAGTAGGTACATAATCTCTGTCGGCTCTCTCCTAAGGTTGGAGAAAGCAGGTCTTAAGAGGTGCTTTGTGAAACATCCCACTCTTCTTGCTTTCAGATCTTCATGATTCGCATTTGATTGTTATACATCTATCAAGAATCTTGCAATTCCATTGGTTAATCCATACCTTGTGATGAAACAATACATTTCATTGTAGAATCTGGAATCATGTGACTGACACTGACCTCGAATATTGACTCATCACATGATAAGTATTGACCTGTCACATGATGAATACTGACTTGTCTGCTAGAAAACAAGATGGCTTCTGGTACGAACCTTTTACGGTTCACAGCTAAGTTACTGTAGTGATACAGAGGTTTAAAGACTTCATAAAGTTATAAGCGAATTTCAGTGTAACAAAACAAATGACTACTCTTGATGAGGTAAATATGCGAAATCAAGGAACCTCGAACTCGACCCCCTCAGCGGTCCTCGGGTCCCTTGTTCGCATACTGACCTCCTAAAGAGTAATTATCTGTATAATGTATCATACATAAGCTGATGGGCTTACTCTGCAAGCCGAGACAAGCCGAGCTTATATCATATCCCAACTTATCGTTCATGTTACCTGGTCAGTTCATTAAACTGTCACTGAAACAGGAACAATTATCAGGATATTTGAGAAATTATCTACATCTACGATTCATAAAACTGTAATAAAACTGACACAATTAGCTCAGTTCTCAGTTAAACTATCAGAGTAACATCAGAGAGTTCATATCTACTTAACAACAAAATCATATGTCAGTTATCAGAAAACCTTTGGTTATAAACACAGTTTGCTGATCAAACGGATACAAACATTGGGAAGTATCACAGTTATCTTTATCGCTCAAGGAAACTTTAACACTGAAAACAGCCACATACATTGTCAACACGGTCAACACAAAACGTTTAAGATACATTTTGAATTTTTCTCTTATTTCATCAGCTCATTACAGTTCAATCTACCATCTTCCAATATGATACCTAGAGCTCTACGTCCAGATCTGACGACACCTCCAGGTGAACCATGTGAAAACTTTGAACGCACAATCTAAATGAATGTTGCTCGAGTTCTTTAGTCAATGAGATGTCAAACAATTTGGCTTCATCTCCTTACCACCTTGATTTGAAAATTTCAGTCTCACCAACATGAACGCAAACCAGCCCTCGAGAGTTCATCCTTTTGGGTTTAGATGTGCTCAAAAACAACATGATGTATGAACATGATAAAATACCCACAACAACACTATAGCACATCTTTATTGTTCTGCATTTGGAACTCCCCGATCCTATTCAGATACGATTTTGTGAATGCTTCTCTCACTCATACTGAGAATCATTGATTGGCAGATAAGTTGACCTGATGTGACCTGCTGTGGAGGTGCCCTCCGATCTTCATGCGGAGTGGTATTGTATCAGATTAACAGATCTGGTTTGAATAAGATTGCCTATTTCATTAATGTGAGTATACAAAGCATGTTGTGATTTTTTGTTCTGAAATTTAATAATGTGAGATTACATGAGATTTAATTATATGAGATTACCCAACCACCATCACCTGTCATTTTGGAGAACCCCACTAGAATGAGTATGGTGCTGACAAAACTAGAAACACAATCAGGGCGAAACCGTGGATTTGAACCAATGATCATAGGTTTCTGGCATGCCTAAGGGATGCAACCCTGCACAATTGTGGTGCCTTAGACACCTGGGCCACCTGGGCCCCTTTCTGGGAGAGGTGATCATATACTTCAAGTAGGGATATGAAAATATTCTCAAATAATCCACGTTAAAACACTCATTCACACACAGAGATTTGTCATTTTGTTATTCCATGGATCAATAACATATTTAATCCCATTGTTTCCGGGAGACTGCATATTCTACTTACAGGTCCATCTGCTGGTAACAGTAACCACTGACATATCAACAGCGCTGTTGACCGCTCAGCTTTTGGTAACAAACTGAAGACTCGCTGCACAAGTATCACATACATATTTCACAGGCATGACTTCCCCCAGCAAGGAAGACACACACAGAGAACATCCATACTGGTCACATGCTCCACTGGAATGCCCAATGGATCCCTATCTGTGACCAACACTTGGCAATGAGAGAGCAAGAACAGCCTTAGCATCAGGCCGGAGTTGCAGCCAGCTTCCGTGGGATTCAGAACACGTATGATCATGTATCATGGTTCTTGTCCACCTATACAGCTGTATGTCTGGAAGATGTGGTGCTTCCTGCAACCTGAGTCACCTCAGGGTGTGGAAGAATCTTTGTGGTGTTGAGGTGAACAACTTGCTTGTCTGGGTGTGGGTCTGCTAAAATAGTGTTATTCACCTCAGCAATCCCTCACCATGCCAGACAGAGGATTTCATAAAAATGTGAAACACACCAGTTCATGAACAGGATTATGTGAACATATGACCCTCTGCTGTCAATGAACATGTGAAACTGCAGATTCTGTAAACATGTGAAACACAACAGTTCATGATGGGGATTCTGGGAACATATGAACCTCTGCAGTCCTTGAACATGTGCATCACATTGGGCAAGTTGGAGGAGGGAGTGGAAGGGGCACCACCCTACATGTCTGTCTCCCCGCTGCTGTTCTCTGGGGCTGGGGCAGGTTTGTGCAGGACAGGAAGGTCCACGTACAGGCCTGACTAGGACACACAGCACATGTCGTCCATGGTGACTCGCAGATCTCCGTCCAGCAAGGTCCTCATCACGGTCTTGCCGATGTACCCCGTTGTGCCGTGCTTCACGTTGGGTGCTGTGTTGAAAAAACAGCGCATGTCATCCTGCTTCTCACGGCCTTCAGACTTGTTCAAGTCCCGCTGAAACTCATCGTAAGCCTCCTGGATGATCTGCAACATGGTGAAATATTACAGTGAATAGTTGATACTGGCAATGCTCAACTTGAAGCAAGTCACTAGTATATACAGAAGGGGGATATTGTTTATTTACTTTGATACTGTTGTGTTCTGTGTCCTTCTTTTTAATACCGGTAATTTAAAAAAATAATAATATGAAAATAATCAAAGAAATTGAGGGCAAAATCTATGATTTGTTTGTTTAACACAGGACTCAGCAATATTCCAGCTATAAATCAGTAAATAATCGAGTCTGGACCAGACAATCTAGTGACTGACATCACGAGCATCGATCTACACAATTGGGCTACAATGACATGTAACAACCATGGCAGCGAGTCTGACCATCCAATCCCATTAGTCACCTCTTATGACAAGCATGGGTTACTGAAGATTCTAACTCAGATCTTCACAGGGTTGTAAAATCTATGAACAAAGAGATATTGTTGTGACCTTGTCCATGTTGACGGCCTGCTGAAACATGAGCTCCGGGTTCCTCTCCAGGATGATGGACACCACCATGAATGCCTGCAGCACAGAGCACAGTAACACAACATTACAAATCATGAAACTGCTCTACAACTCTAAAACTGTTCTGACACAGCAATATAACGTGAAACTTGTCTTGAAGCAACATAATATGAAACTTGTCCACTACAACAGATCACAACACAAAACTGCTGTATGATAACACAACAGTAAAACATGAAACTGCTCCATGATAACAATATACTGTATTCGACGTAATAAGCACCCAGGGCGCTCTCAAAATTAGAAATAGGGGGCTGTTATTAGAACATAATTTTGGTGAGAAAGATTGTAAATTTCGTGGTTTATGCTGACAGCCTGAAATGATACAAAAGAAAATTCTGTGCGTATTATACACCACATATATTTTCCAGAATTTAACTGCCCATAATTAAGAGTGCAAATAACACACAAGTGCATATTATAGACGAATAAATAAGTCTTGTGTACATTGATCAATCAGAAGGGGTGCTAAATGGGATTGTTCACTAGCCGATATATTAGTTAATATCGCTGTGGGAGCTTATAAGAGCAGGGTGCTTATTATGTTGAATACCCGTGAAATTATAACAACACAACCAAACATTACTGTATATCAAGTTTACTAATGAGTCCAATCCCAAAGACGACTAGTTCCTTCAGCAGTAAACAGATACGAACCTCCACCATGATCTGCCTGTAGGAAGGGTCCACTATCTTGGACAGCATCTGCTCCACCAGCAGAGAGAAGTTGAGTTCATACATCGTCATGTCTGACAGCGTGGGTTGCTGGAAAGCAAAATACTACCATTGAGAAAGAGAAGCACTCAATGTCGTCACACCAGGGTGCCGTTGTACAAAGCGATCTTAGCGCTAAGGTGATTGTAACTCCCAGAACCTTAACATAGACTTACGCCAGTCACAGTGGTAAGGTTGGTTTGTACAATGCCACCCTGGAAGCTGGAATCTTATGAAACTACCTCTGTATACAGAAAGTAAAACCTTAACACTACAGGAACATACTATTGGCTATTGTGCCGGACACATTCCGTTTCCAAAGATCATGTTGCATCATCTCATCCACATGTATCAGTTTAACAGCCAGTTCCTCCACAACTCTTTGTGTAGCTTCATCAGTTTCCACCATAATATAAGCCTCCAGTGACATCCTCCCACTGTTCAATACAGTTCATACCAGTAATTGAAGTTTCACTTCTTTCTGGTATGACCTGCCATGAGATTTTTCTTCTTTCAAGAAAGACCTGCATTGAAGTTGATTCAGTAGTGGTATTAACAATGCTTTACACGATCAGGCTTCCAACACGACAGAAAAAAACAATATATCTTATTGAAATTAGGGGCGATCATGTTGCGTCAGGATATATGCACTTGATATTTCTTTGGCGTATTTTGTAACCAAAATCGTGCCAATACTGAGAAAACCTGCATCATAACGAGGTCTGACAACTGGTCGGATTGAACACGTCGTCAACTGGTCAAGCTACCGATCGTTAAATTTCAATACCTGTTTGCGTTTATCTGAGATGATCTTTGAACGAAAGTGATATGGGTAGATTGTTTCTGGTATGACCTGCCATGCGTTTATTCTTGGAGGAGGAAAATGCAAACAGAAATTAAGCAAGCTGTACATATAAGAAGTTATTTTAAAATATCTGGTTTTCTTAATAACATTAAAAAAAATAAAAGTTGGAAATTATCTTATCTTCACTATTTTAAAAATCTCCCCCTTTAGAGGCAAATCTCCCCTATTTTGAAGTCAAATCTCCCACTTTGTCATGATGAGGGGTTGACAGGTCTGTGTATGTAAGCTGTGAGCTTTAAAGATGTTATGTAACATTGCTTGGGTCAGGAGTGAAAGTCTTTAGTTGTATGGGCTGTATGATTGAATTGGTATTAGAAGACTGTCAACTAAAATTCAATGCAGTGTATGAGAATTCTGACCTTTTTGGTTTTGGTGTGTTTTTCCAATCTCGTGGCGTAAGTTGCATTCTATTTTACTATTGTTTATGCTTATATAGACATTGTTTTATTTCTTGGGTAGGTAGGCCAATTTAAAAAAAAAGCCTCAGAGATTTTTTTCGCTTGAATTTTGTCCTTAAAAGTTAGGTAGGTAGAAAAAAAAAATATTTGGGAGTAACAAAATTAAAACAACTCAATTTTTCAGGAACATTTCATCATATCCCTGGCACTCAGCTTGTGCACAAATTGCAATATAACAATATTCATGTCATGGGTAGAAATGCATGAAAGACACTGCTATTTTGGCAGCATGGGCGACGTTTAACTCTTTCAACACCAGCCAACCAGAAGATTACTGCTGTGACACCAAGTTCCCAGAGACTCTTGTGTGACAGATGAAGCCAACATTTATCAAGGAAATTATCTGCTTGTAAAACATCTTTGCTACTACATGTTTGGCCATACACTATTTGAAAGGTCTAATCAATCCTATTGTTTATAAATATGAAAGTTATGTGTCTTACATTATATAAATAATTCATTAACAAACTTAATAAAGTTCATTTTAAATAAAAATAATGTAAGCTAAAACCTTCATAACGTCCAGATTTAGGACCAATGAAGCGAAAATTTTTAATGATTTTCGGCAAATATAAGCTATAAACTATTCAAAAGGTCTCACTAATTTAGGTACATTTACTTTTGATACTGAAATATGTTATTCTGTGTAGTACTTGTTCAATGCATGTTGAATAACTCTATGCTTTTTTTCAGTTATTCTGAGTATTGTACAGGCTTGATGTATGTTGAATAACCGTCTGTAGTTATTCTGAGCATGCTCCCATGCTCATCTGTATGTTGAATAACTATGTGTGTACCATTCTGAGTATATAATACTTGATGTAAGGTGAATGGTCACTTGTATATAAACTTACGTGTATACGTTTGTTGTATAGTGTCCAGGGACCCCGAGGGGCACCTGTATGGAATATGAGGAGGCAGGGACATTCGTTGTATGAAGCCTGACCCCAGGGCGACAGATGGCCAAGCATATGATGTTATCTGTACTGGATGAGGCCTGTGTGAGGCTCGTGTACAGTGCACAGTGCGATGATGTGGGAGGAGAGTGAGTATGGTTTTACGTCGCTTTAAGCAATATTCCAGCAATATCACGACGGGGGAACACCAGAAATGGGCTTCACACATTGTACCCATGTCTGGAATCGAACCCGGGTCTTCGGCGTGATGAGTGGCGGCTTTAACCACTTGGTTACCCGACAGCCCCTGGAGAAAATGACTTTGTACATATTGTGTACATAATAATGTGTAATGTGACAGAATTGATTGTTGACATGCATGTATTGAAGTGTTGAAGTATTGATACATTAAGGTATGACTACAGTTGAAACTAACTCAAAGGGACCACTAATTTTAGTTTATAATAACCATAGTTCGTTATAAGCATATATACAACAAATGGCCTGGAGTAAAAATAAGTTTGTTATATCAGTCAGTTTGTTATAAGCGTGGTCGTTACTGTATTAATGTTCTGATGTTGATGTAATGATTTATTGATATACATGTATTGATGAATTAGTAGGGATTCAGGAGATTAGTATTAGTGCAATATTAGTGTATTTGTTAGTAGGGTGGAGTAAGCTTAAGTATTTGGAAAGTGTATGTTAGAGTGACAGAGTGAGTGTGAAGGGGGATAGTTAGTGAAAGCGAGTTGAATGGGTGTGAGTACATAGGTTGTTAAGTCATTATCTGTATAATTCTTTACTTTATTTAAATTGATTCTTAGTCCTACTTGGGTTGTGTTATTACTCCATGTTGTGACACACCCACTGAGCTATGGGGCAGGGGGGGGATGTAAACATGGTTTGTGACAGCGTGCGTCGCCCACCGGTTTGGTGCATGTGCCATGCCGTTTGTGCACTATGCTCGGATATCAATGAGCATTAGACGAGTCCATTTTAAACAGGGGTATAGGTATGAAATAAATAAACATATTTGACTGATGCATGTATCAAACTAAGAAGATGTCGGTTTATAAGTAAGAGCAAATACTTCTCCTCGTTTGTGGTTTAAAATGGAAACACTCGGGAGAGGGAAATCCCTCATGTTTACACTCGGAAGAGGGAAATCCTGACTGTAAACACTCGGAAGAGGGAAATCCTGACTGTAAACACTCAGAAGAGGGAAATCCTGACTGTAAACACCCAGAAGAGGGAAATCCTGACTGTAAACACCCAGAAGAGGGAAATCCTGACTGTAAACACTCGGAAGAGGGAAATCCTGACTGTAAACACTCAGAAGAGGGAAATCCTGACTGTAAACACCCAGAAGAGGGAAATCCTGACTGTAAACACTCGGAAGAGGGAAATCCTGACTGTAAACACTCAGAAGAGGGAAATCCTGACTGTAAACACAAGTAGGAGGGAAATTCCTTGTGTTTAAACTCTGGAGAGGGAAATCCCTCGCATTTACATTTAGTCATGTTTTCTCCTATACATAAACAAGTGAGTGATTCAAATTTAAACGTCACATTGACACTATTTCAGCTATATTGTGATATACATAAGCAATCAAAGACTGACCTGTGGCAGCAGATACCCGGCCACTTTGATCCCTCCAGGTGTTCGCTCCAGAATCTCCCACACTCGGTCGTAGAAGTCTTTGGGCACACGGTTCAACGCTCCATCTAACTGTCGTTTCTGGAATGGCGTTCTGGAAGGAACAGTTAAATATCAGGCATTGCCTTCTGAACTGCATGAAGATGCACTGTAAATAAGTAAGTATAATGTACGCCTCATGTAATTTAGTGTTTCTTCACAGGCCATTTTCTATTTTGGATCATGTTCCAGAAGCGAGTTGTCTCCCGTACCTGATGTCGGCCTCGTAGGTGTTGCGGGTGAGGACAGTGAGCATCATCTCCTTCACATGATGCGGGGAGATGGCATGGATGTCGAACGCGCTGCCTTGTTCTTGCTCCATCTCTACCTCGATGGCTCGCACAAACCACCTTCAAATAGTCACAACATTCACATGCAAACAAAGATATTGCTTGTTGAAACATTTAGTTCCATCTGCGCAGAATGTGTAGAATGTAAGGCTGGCTTTGCATATAAAATTTAATTACCCATATGTAACTGACATTAACATCTTTTCGATCATATAGAGTGACTATGCTTGTTTACTAGCACATCATTGTCTTCAAGGCTCATTTTCAACTTTCACACTCTCCTGATAATCAATAAACAAGACCTTAACACCAGTCTCACTTTCTCCTGACGATGAATAAGCCAAAACTAAAGGCCTGTCTCTCCCTCTCCTGCAAAAAATCCCTAAATAGCAAAAAGCACTACATTCATGTTCCAGGTTTGTATGAAAAGTCTTTCACAGATTTCAATTTGTGTTCCGGAAACGACTTACAAAAATAATAATGCCAAAATCCGTTAATAAGAAAAGGCACCACTTCAGGATCTATTTGATATATCTGCCAATTTTGGTTGAAAAATATTGAACGGTTTTCGAGTTGCGCTCTGGGAACGAAATGATTACTAATTACGCATTATATGCAGGGTGGATTAAAATGAATAACACATAAATTACAAATCATCAAAAGGCACCAGTTCACCACTTGACTGATTTGTATAGCAAGTTTCATCTAGAAAATTTAATATCAAATGGGTTTGGAGTTCTGCTCCAGAAACGAGCATTACCCTCATTTTCAGTATTGGTCAAATTAAAAAAATAATAATTAAAAATAATCAAAAGGCACCAGTTCACCACTTGACTATCTGTATAGTAAGATTCAACAAGAAATATACAACAGTTTAGGTGTTCTGCTCCAGACACAGAAAACGGACAGAGAACAGACGGACAGACATGCTCATCACTAAATCCCCTTTTTTCAAACCAGGGGGATAACAAGGCAAGTCTCACCCAATCCGGATCTTGAGGATACCGTCAAACAACTCGGAGGATGTGGCGATGATCTTCCCCAGACACAGGATGAGCTCCTGCTGCAGCACTGCCTGGCGGATGTCGTAGGGCAGGCACTTGCCGTAGATGATTGTCTTGATCTCATTCGGGCCAACCGGTTTGTCCAACACCTCCTCCTCATGGCCAAACACGCCCACTGTGATCTACACACAGAGAGAAGGACAGGTTTCCCCTTTAATACAGCATTAGCTAGAGGACAGTAATGGACACTAACATAGGCTTCGAATGTTCCATGAAACGTGTCAGTTTTGATGAACAAACTCACTGACAGGCCTTGTTAACTTGTTGAAGGTGATGGAAGTGTTAGAACTTGTTTCCTATTGTCACCTTCTCATTTACTGTACATTACCAATTCACTCTTGTTTTTAAAATCATGAAGAACAGGGACATTGAATTCTTACAGACGCTGTCCACTCAACCCAAATCCTAAAATAGGTCCACATATTCTGAGAACCCTTAACTTCTCTGTAAAATATGAAACTTTGAAACTCTACTGTTATCAAAACAAAATATACATGTGACATCTGACAGAAAGTCAGAAACTTTAAAAGGCAATAACCTACTCCATTTCGATAATATTCCTTCACTGACCAATAGGCCTGTCTCACCTGTTTCCCTCTGACCAGCACGGAGGTGACCGACGGCGCCAGACTGTCCACCAGTTTGCCCAGGAGGGCGGAGCAGAGGCGGACCACTGACCAGTGTTTATGAGCCCCCGCCTTCTGCACCAGTCTCTCCAGCCTCTCTTCCACGGTCTGACCCTCCGTGCGGTACAGCGGACCCTCGCGCTCATACAGTATCTCCAGGATCTGGCTCTGGATCGTCAACCCACTCACTGACCTCAGCATCTGGCTCAGGTCATAGGTCGAACGGGGCAGCAGGTCCTGTCAAAGGATCAACATTTGTCAGGTCATGCCATCGTATCAGTACATCTCATTCTGCAGTTCTTGGACCTACTAGCACAAATATGACTCAACATTTTCTAAAATATATTACTACTGGGATTTAATACTATCCATAACACTTTGCCACTGTCTATAAATAAGATATTTTCAGCAATTCATTGAATTTGCACAGAGCAATTAATAAAATTTCAGTTTCACATAAATAATCCTGCATTTACAAGTATATACCTATCACACTTCTAGTTTACTTCAAAGTTGATTCTCCAAAGACAGTGTAGGAACTGACCTTCTTATTGACATGGCCGTCTTCCACAATGTCTATGAGGCTTGGAATGTCGGTCAGACTCTTGAAGTTAGAGCCCACAGCCTTCTCCTCAAACTTGGTGAATATCCCTGGGTCGATGAGCGTATGGAGGAAGTCGAGGTGCTCAATACAAGCCGACGAGATGAACGACTGAACAACCAGGCAGGCATATCACCATGGTGTCAATATACATAGTATCACTACAACAATTTCTATCATCCTACCTCCATGTCTGAATGATTAGATCTGATTGGACCACGTGATCAACTATGTATTACATTTCGAGGGAAATAAGTTTCTCTGAGAAGCAGAATAAATCCCTTACATCTTACTTTGAAGCAAAAAGCTTTTTCCGAATGAAAGTCACATGGCATAGCACAAGCTAACCTCCACTCAATCAAACAGCTGTTTTCTATCAATTTTTGGATTTGTTTTTCATTCTTTTGCAATGTCATATTAAAACATGTGGGGAAGATATATTCGTTGTAGCAGGATTACTTGGGGTACATGGGGTTTTATGCGTCCCTGGTTAGGTTATAACCACTTGCCTCCAGCTCATGGTATAAAACCCAACACAGTATGCATGAAAAACCCCATGTACCCCTCGTGATCCTGCTACAAGTTCTAGTGTATTCTGCTATAACAATACACCTACTTGACAAGAAGCAACAGTAATGCTCATTCATACTGAGCTCAATTGACACACCATATCTGACATCTAAGCACCCTGCTCAATTAAACATCAGCAACATATTTTAACATTAAGTTTCAAGTTTTCTTATCAAGATTATACATAGACGTTACCTTCTCGACTAAGTCCTTTATCTTTTTCTATTGTACTGGTGTGTTCACAAGTCTAACTTCATTAAAGCAAAGTCATATATGATCATTGAAACTTGAAAACCTTTAGTGTGACCCGAGAACTTCATGTGAAATACGTCTGGCCTGGTGTACGCACCTGCAGTCGGCCAAGACTGACACGGATGCCGTCCACACTTCCCTTCTTGAACTGAGACAGCAGGTCTAGAAACTCTCCAAAGTTATGGCCTCTGAAATACACAAACCACAATTTAAGGCCAAGCGTCCTACCAATCTGCCATGTGCTGTTCCACAAGTGGTTCTTTCCTCAGATAGTTTAACTACATGAATCTCTTTGGTATTACAAGCTCAAGGCACATAGTATTTATTACACTAGTGTCTGACAAGAATAAGCTCATCTCTAAAAATCACACATTATGAGGTTGTAAATAGATTATTACATTCATTAATATAAAAAATGTATGTGGCTGCACCATTTCTAAAATATAACGAAGCATTTTATAAGGAGTGGACTAAAGAAAAAAAGCAAATAAATGAATCCTAGAGATCATGACATTTTCGGCTAACAAATGACAAGATAACTTTTGAGACTAAGTCCATTTTTGTTGAAACTATTGAATGGTTTTTTAATTGTCCTCCGGGAACAAAAAGGTTACGGACCTACAGACAGATGAGAGGTCGACTAATATCCCTCCGTATTATATGCCAGGGGATTAAATAATAATAACAATAAAAAAACAACTCATCAAAAGGCACCAGTTCTCGAGTAGACTGATATGCATAGCAAGTTTCATCTGGAAATATTCAATGGTATTGGAATCTGCTCCAGAAACGAGCACTACCCTTGTTGTCATAAAAAAATAAAAATAAACTGAAGATCCCAAATCATCAAAAGGCACAAGTTCACCACTAGACTGACTTATATAGCAATGGTTTAAGAGTTCAGCTCCGGAATCGGAAAATGGATGGCTGACATACGGACAGATAGAAGGATGGCTGACTTATGGACGGACAGAAGGATGGATGGACATATATATGTCAACTAGTCCTAATCCTTCTGGGCTGTATATATAAACGGGTGCTATCCCTTATGGGTTATATATAAACCAGTGCCAATGTTTAGATCCTTGTATGGTGGTCTGTACATGGACCAGACAAACCAGTGATTGTAATCATAAGCATCGATCTATGCATTTGGGATACGATGACATGCATCAACCAAGTCAGCGAGCTGACAACCCAATCCCATTAGTCACCTCTTATGTATCTGTTTTTTCCCTAGTAATTGGTGTCATTGTGGCAAAGGACTTGCCACAGGAATATGCACAAATAAATAAACATAATACTACCAGACAAACATTGGCTGGTTAGTTAACATCATGAATCATATTTACAGAAAAAATAGATACAGGTTATCATTATGGGGGTTACATGGTGCTAATTTGTTCTAAAAAGATCAACCATCTCATTAAAATCAGATCTTTTACTCCATCATCTTTCTGTACAAAGATCTGATGCTACCCCTATAGAAGGTTGTGTCAGGTGATCTTTCTAATCAGCCAATCAGTGTCGAAGCTTCCATATTCTCGACACAAGTGAGCGAAGCATTCAGACAAACATGTCTGAATTCTGTATCTCGAAAACAAAGATGATCGATGTTTCCAGTGTGCAAAACAATACTTTATTTGACAAACGCTGTTGTTTTGAGTGTCATGGCATTTTCACCCAGAAAGGTGTACTTTGGAGGGGTTATTTTAGCTCAAATAAAAAATTCCAAACCATGGCAGTGAAGACATACAGTCGAATCATTTAGGAAGCTGTCATCTGATTGGCTCATGAACTCACATGTCCCTCATTTTGACTGGGAGGTCAAAGGTCACTCCTGGTTCACCTGACGCAACCTGGCATCCTTAGATCTTCACGTAGAGAGGTATCACATCAGAGTAAAAGATCTGATTTTAATGAGATTGAAAATATCATATGCTTACAATAGGATAGAATACATCCTAACATCTGGTGACCAGTCATGTATATCTACCAGAAACTTTAAATCAGTGCTTGCGAGAATGTTGTCCTACAGGTTCTTTCACTAGTGGATAATTGTCACTGTTTTGTGCTAGCTGTTTAGTTTCTTTTACTTTTCTTCAAATCTGATTCCCCTCAAAATAGAAACGTAAACAAATTCACAGCCCTGTCGCCATTTTTTAGATACAAAATTTCATTCCAAATTTCGGACATCAGCGCATAGCTAGGGGAAATTAAAATGTAAGAAATCATATTGCAGTACTTATATTTCTTGAACACTCATAACGTTGATCAAACACAAACACAAGCAGGCCTGTGCAACATATCTAACACACAGATATCACAAAATATCCTTACCACGTTATGTACATTACACATTTTAAGTATAAAACAGTTTGATTATTGTGATCAAACCCAGATATCCTCATAAAAGATAAATTGTAAATGCAAGAGAATAACCACTCTAGATTATCCATCAAAACAGATTTCAATTGGTGTAAAGGGCAAAATAGCTGTGAAAGTTATTTGAATGGACCACTGAAATGAGTGACGACACCAGGTGTTTGTGGACAGGGTAAAGGAAACGTAACAAGCAAACAACAACATTGAACAGCTCATCAACAACAATTGTGACACTGGTGGGCGGGTCAACCTGTAAATTAACAAAAGACCATGTAACTATAACAAACGACTGAAAGAAGAACACACTAAAGTTGTTGTTTTTTAATTCTTACATTTTATTTATTTTTGTAACAATTTCAAAATGTAAGCATATGCTTTTTGAGCTACGTGGTACGTGGGTTGGTTAGTATTCAATAGATGACCCACCATATCCTATCTAATGGCTTTCAGCTGAATGGTGTCTGGCAAAGAGGTCGTATGGGACAGTAGTATAGGTATTACAAAGTATTTATCTTGGATATTTCCATTGCAGGACTATCAAAATTTTGAAGAAAGCAAGGAGAAACTATAGGCCCTAACATAAAGAGCTGGTACATGTGTAAGCCACTGAAGCGAAATAAGTCTATTTTAAGCACTACCCACTCATCTACTAACAGCCACACTGCCAACAATGAAAGTTAGACAATATCCTAAAAGAAATTGTGTCAGAAACAAATCCACAGAGTAATTACTTCCAGCCCCAACATGGAAAGGTCAAATTAGTTTTGTAAAGTGACTTTACATGTGACCTTGACCTTGAACTTTGGCAAAAGGTATTCACACATTGACAGGGATACAAGTCTTTACTACTAAGTTGGTGAAAAGTGCATTACATCTGATATATCATTACCAAGACTGGACATTCTATACCCATGCTATGGGCCTTTACTGCAGATCAACTCATGATACAGATTTCGAAAAAAATTCCTGGACAAGGAAAAGGTGAGTCATAACACTTCTCACTACCCAATGACTAAACACAAACTAAAACAGCAAAATAAGTCTACTAAGGACTACATTTCAGGTTTAAATACTTCTCTTATCGACACAATTCTACTGAATATCTCGTTTCCTGCACTATGCATGCAGACAATGTAAACAATGTAACGTGTCCGTCACTGAACATTAGCTTTACATTGTGCACAGATACATTGCTAATCCTTTCACAAGATGAGTTAGTATGGATACATACTGGCAGAACAAACCTGTGCTGTTACCATGATCAGATACAGTGTGTTTGTGGTGAGATAGTGCCATATTTACACATCAATATTGATTGGCACAAGCATACCACTATCAAATGGTCCAATTCCTGATTTCCAAGGTATATTTATGATAATAATATTCCCGGAATTATCCCAGGGACCACGGGTTAAACAGGGTCCATGTAGTCTTTGGCAAACAAACTTATATGACCTCTGTCAAGGCTTTTTAGGACAGTATTATGAAGTCCACATTCTGGCAAACAAATCTTTGCGAATCTGTGCTTAACTGGTATATATGAGCTGAAGGAACTAAGATGAATCTCTAAGTTCCAAGGACAGTCAAAATGAACCTCTCTCTAACCTGTCTACTTCAAAGAATTGATGTATAGGTTCAAGGAATTGTCAAGATCAAACTCTATGTACAAGACATTTTTCAAAATGAACTTCTATGTTAAAATATTGTCAAGATGAACCTCCCAACTCAAGTAATTGTCAAGATCAACCGCTATGTTCAATGAATTGTCAAGATACATTTTCAACTTAAAGGCATTGTCAAGGTGAACCTCAATGTTCAAGGTATTGCCAAGATGAACAATTTAGTTTGAGGCATTGTCGAGATGATCCTTTATGTTCAAGGCATTGTCAAGAGAATCCTTTATGTTCAAGGCATTGTCAAGATGATCCTCAAAGTTCAAGGCATTGTCAAGATGATCCTCAAAGTTCAAGGCATTGTCAAGAGGATCCTCTGTGTTCAAGGCATTGTCAAGAGGATCTTCTATGTTCAAGGCATTGTCAAGAGGATCCTCTATGTTCCCTTGGAGGAAGATGATATATATACACATGTAGAAAGAAAGAGCAAAACACTAAGATTGGTTATGTTGATAAAAGGTCTGTCTCACTTGATGCTCAGTGATCCCAAGTCTATTAAGGAATCAGCATATAACATGCTTAATGATTGGGAAGAAAAAAAAGCTTAGAAAGTAAGCAAGAGATATAGATATACTCAGGTAACCAAATATGACAGATGCTTGAGATATGTCTTCTCAAAGAAAAGATGTCAGCTCTAGGGCATTTGTATAACATAGAAGGCATCAATGGAACGAGAACATGAACCAAACAGACACAGCTGGACCTCAGGGGATATAAGGTATCAGGTACATTCAACATTGTGACATAACCACTGTATTCCACCCTATAGCTGGACCTAAGGGGATATAAGGTATCAGGTACATTCAACACTGTGACATAACCACTGTATTCCACCCTATAGCTGGACCTAAGGGGATATAAGGTATCAGGTACATTCAACACTGTGACATAACCACTGTATTCCACCCTATAGCTGGACCTAAGGGGATATAAGGTATCAGGTACATTCAACACTGTGACATAGCCACTGTATTCCACCCTATAGCTGGACCTAAGGGGATATAAAGTATCAGGTACATTCAACACTGTGACATAGCCACTGTATTCCACCCTATAGCTGGACCTAAGGGGATATAAGGTATCAGGTACATTCAACACTGTGACATAACCACTGTATTCCACCCTATAGCTGGACCTAAGGGGATATAAGGTATCAGGTACATTCAACACTGTGACATAACCACTGTATTCCACCCTATAGCTGGACCTAAGGGGATATAAGGTATCAGGTACATTCAACACTGTGACATAACCACTGTATTCCACCCTATAGCTGGACCTAAGGGGATATAAGGTATCAGGTACATTCAACACTGTGACATAACCACTGTATTCCACCCTATAGCTGGACCTAAGGGGATATAAGGTCAAACTATTCCCAATCGGACATTTCGTACCTCTTGACACCAACGGCGGGGACCCGGGTGGGGTCGGGTAATAAATGGGTACCGGGTAGTACATTTGGACTCATCCCAGCCCTAATAGACATAGTCCAGCAATATGACAGTGGAGGTCAGAATGGGTTCCACACATAGCACCCATGTTTGGAAATGAACCAAGGTCTATAGGATGTCAGTGCCTGAACAACAGCTTCCTCACCTGAAAAATGATTTGACAACTGTAACTGTACAAATCAAGAGGGTTGAATACAGCACCAGCAAGTGAAGAGATTATCACATTAGTCACAGAGAGCCATGAGTTTACTTCTGAACCTTACACAAGCTGATATCCTGACAGCGTTACATGAGTAAATGGCGATACACTGGGACAGCCGATGCAGTCAGGTGAGACTATCCATGCAAGCATGTCATAGGACCCTATACAAGTTAGGGGAAGAAGACACAGAGCAACTGGAAGCAAGTCAAGCTGTGAAGGATATTACCAACCTTTGCAGCTTACTAACAAAGAGAACATCATAGTTAGAATATAGGTACACTATCGGCAGGATATACATATTACAGCTTTGATGGACAAGTTTGTATTCTGTGAAGGAAAAACTATGATTCTACATAATTCACTTTGTGACTTTAAGATGTCTTAATGATACATACAATATACTTTTGTACACTGGAAGTACTGAAACGATCTTATCAAAATCAGATCTTAATTCTCGCTCCCGCAAAACAAAGACATTTTTAGAACTTTGATCGACCAATGAAATAACTAACACGAAGTCCACATTAGCTAACCAGAAAGCAGTTTTCTCAAAGTACACGGCACTAGTTTCAAATTCGTTACTTCCATCCCAGACTACACTTTGAAAACTTTTCTGACAAGGTCTCTTGATTCAAAATTTGAAAACTGCACAAAAGACAATTCTAGAAAGTTTAATTGATGGCTGAGATTGTATGGCAGTACGTCCCAAAGTCCATGCCAAGTCTCTTCCATTCAAATATTTATCCCATAGACACAAGAGATAGACGATGATTTTGATGGATTCAGTCGTACAGCCTGTAACTGTCTTTCGGAATATCTCTATGTTAACCTTTCAAGGTTGCATAAATAGGAAACACATTCTAATGGTCACTCTCCTGATCTGTTAGGTGACACTCTGATTGGTCGATTGAAAGGTCATTCTTACATGACCATAATAGGACGTCCTCAGATCTTTATTTAGCAGCAGCAAGGACTAAGATCTGACTTTAATGGTTGGTTTGTTGTTTAACGCCGCACTCAGCAATATTCCAGCTATATGACAGCGGTCTGTAAATAATCTAGTCTGGACCAGACAATCCAGTGATTTATAACATGAGCATTGATCCACGCAATTGGGCTCGATGACATGCATCAACCAAGTCAGCGAGCCTGACAACCCGATCCCATTAGTCGCCTTTTACGACAAGCACAGTCGCCTTTGCGGCAAGCATGGGTTGCTGAAGACCTATTCAACCCTGGATCTTCACGGGTCCTGACTTTAATGAGATTGGTACTGAAAGGCTCTGTAAGAATGTTTTACACATACAGTGAAACCTTGTTAACTCCAACCCCTGTGAGGACAGCACTAATATTGGATGTCTCACATCTCCCTGCTCAGGCTAGAGTAAATATATATTATGGAAAACAACTTCTTTATTCTGTGGAACAACTTTCAGGGTTACTTGTTTACATGCTGAAGAGTCAAGTTGTTATCCATATCCAGAGTCATGTATTCATGTTATTAAAGTTGGGAATAAAAAAAGGTCACAATTTGTTATTGTGCTACCAAAACAAATCAATAGTCAGAGTTACTTCCCTTCTTCGATTATCCATCATGTTTCTTTTACATGACACAGAACATTTGTTACAATTATTTGTCCATGGCGAGATTATATGTATTCAAGCAGGCAAATGCCTAGACATAGAAAACATTTTTTCTTATTTTTGAGTGGGAGAATAATTCAGAAAAGAATGGAGAATAAAATCACATAAAAATGCTGTACATACATGTAACTTGACATATCAAGACATTGTAACATAAATTTAACTTGACATTTCGAGACATTGTAGCTCCTCGATCTCAGCAGAGCTGTTATCAGCACTAAGCTATTCAAATGGCACTTAACACACTACATGGTCCTCAGGATGTGGAGTTAATAGGCTTCACTATATTTAAAGTGCACTTTCTGGCTCTGGCACCATCACAGATACAGAAAATACATGATACTACTTGAGAACAACATGCTTGTACCAGCTAGGATATGTTTGAACCATTTTCTAAAAAGACACTGAGGCTGAAAGATACATAACCTGTGATTAAATTAAGATTTCTGAGAACTTTTCATGGACAATATCCATAACTTGTCCTTGAATGAAGCATCTCTTGCAATGGAAGTGACGTTACCACAGGGAGAGATATTCAGAACAAGGAGGGCAGAAAATATTGAAATTTGTAGAATTTTCCTATTCGGAATATTCTATAAGTAATACGTTACCACTGTTATACCGAGGCTGTTGTCTCCCACAACTGCTGCTATAGCGAAATCTACCACAGAGATCTCAATTACCTCATGCAGCACGTGCGTAGCCACCTAGCTGCCATGTGACACCCTTCACTCTTGTCTCCTGCGAGAGCAAGTGCTCGGGGGACGGACGGGCGGGCAGCAGCCCAGTGGTAACGTATTACTTATAGAATATTCCGAATAGGAAAATTCTACAAATTACATTAAGTAATACGTTACCACTGTTATACCGAGGCTGACTACCACAGTAGGCGGTGGGGAGCACCTACAACCCGAATCCTGACTGCTAGCGTTCCTTCCGACCAGCGGAAGTAAACACCAAGGCGGAAGCACTCGATGCGCATGCACCTAGCTAGGCGTTACCCTATAGGAATACCAAAGCACTGTCATGCGCATACCGTAAGGCTCAATCGTCATTGCCAAAACGATTGGTGACTCCAAACGGCCCCACTGGATAGGTATTTCATCGCCGCAGCGGATGAGAACACTGTATCCGCGTGAGCTAAATCTTAGATCAGGTTAAACAGTCGAAAAGAGGGAAATTAATTTCCTTCAGACCGTATATCCCAGAGCAAGCCTACTGAAAGTATGCATTAGGCGCGTGACCTAATTCCAGTATTCGTAAGCATGTATCGCAAGGTTGGAATACACGACAGACAATTAAATGCATAACTGTCAAAATACAAATGAGGACAAAACACACAAAAAGCCGCCTCACCTGTGGTGTGAGTGCGCTGGTTTGCAGGACCCCCACTCCTGTACCCACGGCGTGGGAACATTGGAGACGACACAGATTGACCACCGTGCAAGGACTGACGACTGCGGAGTTTGAAATTGCGCTGGACACACCCCCTAGATGACCGCTTGTGCCGCGATCAGCGGCCCAAGACGATGCACCCCCTCCACGTCTTCATCAGAAACCTTTCTGAGGTAATGATTGGCAAAAACCGAGTCAGAACGCCAGTAACAACCTCGTAATATTCTGTGAACAGAGATATTCGAGTGTAGGGCAAATGTTGCCGCTAGCGCCCTGATCTCGTGCGGGTTTGACCCCGCTACCGGTAACCCCCGAGACGGGTACGCCAGATTGATGACAGAACGAAGCCACAACGCAATCGAGTTGTGAGTTATGTCAACCGTGCGATTAGGGTTACACGATATGAACAGACGGTCACGCCCTTGTCTACGTTCATTCGAAGCCTTCAGATAATACTTAAGGGCCCTAACCGGACACAGCGCTCTGTCCTCAGTATCAGCAGGATGTAAGATTTCTTTGAGTGATCTTACAGTGAATTTTCTCTCCGCTTGCCCGACTCTCTGATTCTTGGCGACGAAGCCCATGAGCAGGCCCAGGCGGACCGCTCCTTCGTCACCCCTATCGAATCGTACCTTGGCGACATCGAGTGCATGAATTTCGGATACACGTGCCGCCGTGGCAAAGGAGAGGAGAAATGCTGTTTTCCAAGTCACATGCCGGAACGAAGCACTATGCAAGGGTTCATACGGAGCTTCCGTAAGTGATTGCAACACTAGGGAAAGATCCCAGGCCGGTGCCCGAAGGCTGCCCTTCTTAAGATCGTGCTGTTTGAAACCCTTGATAATACCCCGTATCTCCGGCTCTTTGGAGAGACTGGTACCCATAGCAACGTCCCGTAACGTAGCAACGGACGAGACATAGTTGGCAATGGAACCCCCGGAGAGTTTCCGGGTCTCTCGCAAGTGAGACATGAAACGAGCAATATCCTGCACAGATACCTTATCTGGCGAATGAATGTGATGTTTACAACACCACTTCGTGAAAATAACCCAACGTGCATTATACACCTTCTGGGTAGAATCACGATGCATACTAACGTATGCCCGAGACGCCCGGCGAGAAAAACCTTTACTCCTCAGACGCTCGGTGACAACATCCACGTGTGCAGATTGAACTGCCCTGCGTTTGGATGAAGCTGACGGGTGTGAGGGTGGATCAAGAGATCCAGTCTCACAGGCAGTGGGAGTGGCGACTGCGTGACCTGGGTCAGCAAGTCGGGGTACCACGATCTGTTCGGCCACATGGGCGCGATCAGTAACATTCGACAGCCAACTTCTCGAAGCCGGCTTAGAATGTGTGGTATCAACGCTGTCTGCGGGTAAGCATAAGCGTCCAAGCCCGTCCAGTCTAACACGAGAGCATCGTGATCGATGGCCCTCGGGTCCGGGACTGGTGATACAAACAACGGGAGTTGATTGTTGAACCGCGTTGCGAACAGGTCGACCATCGGACGACCCAAACGTCCGCACAGCCACTGAAACACTACTGGGTTCAGCATCCACTCTGTGGGGCTCGGATCCCGAGGCCTCGATAGAGCATCGGCCAGTACGTTCCGCACACCTGGGATGTGACGGGCGCGTATCTGGCACGGGACACTGTCCACCAGAGCGTAAAACTCGAACGTGAGATCGAGCAGCGAGTGACTGTGGGTTCCCCCCAGTTTGTTCACATAGGACACTACCGTCGTGTTGTCGGTCGCCAGCATGAGCCGGGCGTCGACGAGACGATGCTTCCAGTGATTGACTGCGTTGATCACTGCCTTGAACTCGAGACAATTGATGTGAAGACCTAGTTCGTCTACGCACCACAGCCCCGAGCTCACCTCCCCCTATAGATGGGCGCCCCAGCCCACTAGAGAGGCGTCTGTATACAGGTTCAACGTGGCCCGGTAGGGCCGCATAGAGGCTCCTGATAAGACATTGTAAGGGACCGTCCACCACTCCAGATGCGGTCGGAGCCGATCCGGGAGGGCGACGGTCGCACTGTTCACCTCCGTTGCTAACAACTGGATTAAAAAACGTTGCAGCGGGCGGAGTTGGAGACGACCCCGTACGGTGCAGTCCTGGGCTGATACAAGTAGCCCTAACAGCTGTTCCCAAAAGTGAACAGTCTGTTGCACCGCTAAGACTTTGGCAATCATCGCCTGAATTTTGTGCCACCGGTCTGGGGGGACAAATAGGCGATGGGACACCGTGTTGAACCGACCTCCGATGAACTGTGTTCTGAGAAGGGGTTAACTCGCTCTTGGGGAGATTGACAATCCACCCCAATTGCTCCAAGAGCCGACGTGCGAAAACGAGATGGCGTGACAGGGTGTCCGACATTCGATTTGCTACTAGCGAGTCGTCCAGGTACGCGAAGTACCGGACACCCCTCCGGTGGAGGAACCCCACTATGGGGGTGGTTAACCGGGTGAACAGCCAGGGAGCGGACGAAAGACCGAATGGGAGTACAACCCACTCGTAGTGCCTGCCTTGAAAGACAAACCTGAGATACCTGTGATGATCCGAGTGAATCGGAACATGCAGATAAGCATCCTTCAGGTCGATCGAAGCTAGCCAGTCGGCCGGCATGATCAGTGCTTTCAGGTCCGTCAAGCTCAACATTCTGAACTTGGGCGGCTTGCGCAGGTAGAACTCGTTGAACGATTTCAAGTTGTGAATCATTCTGAGTTCGGCACTGTCCTTCTTGGGAACGAGAAATATCCTGGAGTAAAAACCCCGGTGTTATTTCTGGTAGAGCTAACTCCCGAACTGCCCTCTTCTCCACCAACCTGCCGATGGCATTGGCGAGGAAGGGAAGATCGGTTTCCGAATAGAAACCTGCCGACGGGGCAACGGTGAGCGGCGGATTCGCTTTGAATCGTGTTGACCACCCACGGGTCGTCGAACACTTGTTCCCAATTCTCCCAGTAAGTCTGGAGTCTGGCTCCCACTGGGGAAAGAGAGGGGGGCCGGACGGGCTGCGGCAGGCGCAACTGTCCAGGGCCGTGTGACTCGGGTTCGCCTAGGGGCCAACCGAAGTTGGCGCTGTCGGCATACGAACCCCTCCAATGAGAGTCACCTGGAGGGGCCCTTGCCGTCCTTAGACGACTTGGGCTTCCCCCAGTTCCCCTTCTTCCCGCGAAAGGGCTGCTGAGAACCCTTACCGGAGCCCTCAGAGCGGGGCTTCTTCCCGGAGGAAGAAGGACCCGACCCCTTAGGCCTGCCGGACGCAGCAACCTGGGGCGCGCTCCGCTTCGGAGCGGCACCCAGGCGCCTATGCAAGGACCCCACAAGATCCAGTGTGTGCCGAAAGGCCTCGGCAGACACAGCGGCCTGTTGTTCCTTCAGAACCCCAGGGATCTTGTTATTAAACAGGGTCCGAGCAGACCAAGGCTGCGAAAGGAGCACCTCCTGATTGGCAGCGTCCAACCCTGAAGCAACCAGATACGACTGGCGCCGAAGAAAATGGCACGTGCCGGAAACAAAGGCCGAAGCCCCGGCAACGTACTCCAGGGAAGCATTCAAACCGAGCAAGCAGTTGTAAATGCGCTGGTCACGGTCCGTGGGAGAACCTTCGACCAGACTGGCCGCCGCAGCCAGGTATGTGTCTCCGTGAGACATAGCCAGCATGGAGTGTCGAGCGAGGGTGTCCAGCTGTTGCAGGGTACCTTGCGGTACCGTGGCAACCGGTGGGGCACGGACCCCCAAACGCTCCACATGGGCTTCCGCAGAAGGACCAGCCTCGGGAAAGGCAAGGTCATGAACTGGGAAAGACCCTTTTCTCCACGACGGGGGAGGTAACGGGAGACCCCGACCGGAGGCAGCCGTGAAGGCTTTCTCCAAAGACGGCTTAATCCCGCGCAGCAAGGTTGATGCCGGGAAAGCCTTGTCGGACGACTCGTCGTATACCTCGGAGGAACCCACGGAACCGTGGATACCCCGCGGTATCGGCAGGGGCTTTGGCATGTCCTCGAAGAGGTCATACACCATGGCCACGCGGTCCTTAACCGATAGCGGAAGCAACGGTTCGGGGGAAGGACCGGTAACCACGGCAGCCGGCGCCGTACCGGTGGACCCCGCGTCCGAACCCGCGGCCACCGAAGAGGCCGGGGACGGAACAGCCAGCGGCCTATCTTGCGATAAGGCCACCAGCTTGGAGTCCACAATTTGCGACAACAATGCGGCGACGGAAGCCCCAGACAGCCCGAGGGCCGCAAGGGGATCCGCCGCAGCCGACAAGGAGGTGCCCGCACGGGGGCCCCGACCGGACGAACCGGCCACCACAGGGGTGGAAACGGACTGCGCGCACAGCCGGTACCGCTCAAACTCCGCAGGTCCCAGACCTTCGCACAGGGTGCACCGGGTTTCCTCGCAAGGAACCCTGCACCGCGGGCAATGATCGTGGGGATCCCGGGACGACAAAAACTTTCTGCACACCCCACAACTCCGAGGAGCAGGGGTAGAGGGGGTGGAGACAGGGGACATATCCATGTCAGACATTGATTGTTTTCTAGAAACAAAGAACAAAACATGGTTACAACGCACGCACCACAATGATTCACAAACGAACATTTTCACAAGAAAATAAACGAGCAATGTGAACATATAACATACACATATAACTTTTACTAAAGAAATAAGTTATGTGAACCCCCAAAACATACAAGAACAGGGGAAACGTAAAACACAACGTGCATACGCGAACCCCGCAAGTATATAGAAAAAAGGGCGGGAAAAATTTTCCGTTTGGCGGGAAAATTATAACCAAGCGTAGCTACCGCAACGCCCCATAAAAGCACAGTTTATTAGAGAATAAACGATAATAAATATCACCAAATCTTCAAGGAACGCTTCAGCAGGAGAAAACACGTCTTGCTAAGCAGACGAAGGAGACAAGAGTGAAGGGTGTCACATGGCAGCTAGGTGGCTACGCACGTGCTGCATGAGGTAATTGAGATCTCTGTGGTAGATTTCGCTATAGCAGCAGTTGTGGGAGACAACAGCCTCGGTATAACAGTGGTAACGTATTACTTAATGTAATAATGAAGTTTTCTTTGTACTCAAAGAGCCTGTTCCTGAAGTACTTGAGAAGCATCATGTTGTGGAGGAGGAGTTACCTAAATGCTATTTCACTGTGACAACTGATAAAGTGACCTCCTGTTCCTGGCTGAAGAAACATCCACTATAGTGCTGAGTATGAAGTCTTACCTGATTGAGTTCTCCCTGATGACCATACACCATGTGGGTCGGCCGGACAACTTCCACCGCTTCGACAAGAAGGCAAGATCATTCTGTGGACAGAAAGAAAGCCATGACATTTCTTCCATTTCATTAATTGGCTCTTAAAGTCTAGTTAAAACAATACAAGATACAAATACAAAAGTCAACTCAGTATTGACGCCCTCATGGCCACAGTACAATATATCAATAAACAACATAATAAACTGGAGTATATTATGTAGGTATATATAAGGACATAATTATACAAGGTTGTTATTACATTATAACATGAAGGACTATTGATAGGTTTATGAGTTATGCTCATCTTGTTAGCCAGGAAACTTTAAAGATTTAGTAAAATCTAAATATTTTTTACATTTTTATACTTATCCTGCATTACTCCTTAATGCATTCACTGCTTACCTTGCGACAAAAAAAACTGGGACAGCTAACCGGCGATGGTCCTTGGGTGAATGGCTCTGTTCACAATCCCACTTTTATATCCCGCCGTCGCTGTCCCTGTGACCTCACGTGACCAAAGGTCAACTCTTCACATCACTGCCTGTCGCCCGAGCTTAAAAAACATACTTTTGAGGTTTCTGAAGCCAAAGTGGGGAGGCAAGTCTGCGACGGGTGGGCCTTAAACGTAGTAATGCAGGATAAGTATACAAATGTAAAAAATATTTAGATTTTACTAAATTTTTTACTTATCCTGCATTACTCCTTAATGCATCTGTATCGGACGGTATGGAGGTGGGAAATCCTCACAATACAGAAACCTCAATAATTCACACCCTGACAACCTGACACAGATTGGTCAGTAAACCGTTAAGCGGAAAAGTTGAGAGAAAATGCTAATACGGTAGGGTATTACAATGTGGCAAACAATTGCACATGGGAATTAAAGAATAGTTCCCTAAACATTTTAGTAATAAAGACAACGAGCTGCTCAGCCAAATCTTTACTTACTATATGATTATAGCCCTGATGACAATAACTTGTCTTCCCTTGGCGAAATCTGATCAATTACACCGAACAGGAAAAGGCTCTGTATAGGGTGCGTATATTATTTGCGTCGAGGGTTGGTAACTTGCTGAGCTACAACCAACGGCCCAAAACTCCGTACACCTTCAATGTCCTCGAGAGTCACATCGCGAAGATAATGACTAGCGAAAAATGTGTCAGACCTCCAAAAACATCCTTCCATGATTGTCTTGATAGTACAATTGCTGTGTAAGGCCATGGTAGAGGCTAATGCCCTGATCTCATGAGGATTATTCGTTCTTGGTGGATCCAAATTGGCGATCGAATAGGCCTGAAGGATGACTGCGCGTAACCATAAGGATATGGTGTTGCGACTGACCTCGGTCGTGGATGTAGTAGATACGGGTATAAATAACCGCTTCCTCGAACCACGCCTAGTCTTGAAACGGCAGATGAAAATTCGCAGTGCCCGTACCGGACATAATAGAAGTTCACCCTCATCCTCACTGCCCACAATCGTCGAGATTGGTGGAATGGTGAAGGAACGATCAGGTTGGCCTGGTAATTGATTCTTGGCAATAAAATCCCAGCACAACCCTAGATGTACCGCTCCGTGCGTCCCATGCTCAAAACGAACCCGGGTGATATCGATTGCATGTAATTCGCTCACCCGTGCCGCTGTGGCTAATGCCAAGAGAAACATTGTTTTCTTGGTGAGGTCATAAAAGTAGGATGCATTGAGGGGCTCAAATGGGGGTCCTCGCAAACCTCGAAGTACCACGTTCAGATCCCACGGAACAAGCCTGAATGAGCGTAATAAGGCCTGTAGTTCCGGGATCTTAGTAATCTTACGATTATCCGGAACGGCCAACACTGAGTTAAGTGCAACCAAGTACGTGGTAATGGTGCTACCTTTCAAGTGTCTCTGGGTACGCAGATGTAGGAGGTATTCAGCTAAAAACTGAGGTGACGCCGTAGCAGGATCTTGACCTTTTGCCTTGCAAAAAGTTTCAAACGATCCCCACTTATCATCGTAAAGGCTTCTAGTAGAGGGACGATGAGCTAAGGTTATAGCTTTTGCTGCCCGAGCCGAATAGCCTTTTGCACTTAATGCCTTTTTAAGACGAACCAACCTTGCAGACGAAATTTGTCTGGTGTTGGATGAGGCAATTTGCTGTGAGGGTGGATCAGTAGGTTGGACAACTGTGGAAGGGGTAGTGGATCGTTTCCTGCTAGCTTCCTGAGCTCGACGAACCACCCTCTCGCTGGCCACCAGGGCGCGACCAAAGTCAGAGCAAGTGTTCTTGTCTCTTGGATCTTTTGTATTACCCTGGAAAGTAGAACTGGTGGCGGAAATGCATACGCCTTTATTCCTTCCCAAGGAATGCTGAATGCGTCCACCGCCCAAGCCCTCGGATCTGGTAACGGGGAGACATATGTCAAAAGTTGGTGGTTTTGGCAAGTTGCAAACAGGTCGATGTTTGGTTGCCCGAACTTTCGAACCAATAATTGGAATGCTTCTGTGTGAAGTTTCCACTCGGTGGGTGCTACCCTGTCTGGGCGTTATAGAGCATCGGCCAGAATGTTTCGACATCCGGGGATGTGCTGAACTATGAACTGTAGTTGCAGCCGATCCACTAGATGGAAAAACCTAAATGTCTGTTGAAGTAGCGAGTTGGAGTGTGTTGTTCCCTGATTGCGCAGGCACCACACCACAGGGCTGTTGTCTGTGGATATGGAGAGTTGGGTTGATTGTAGTTGATTCTGCCAATGGGATATGGCTAGAATTACAGCTTCCAACTCCAGATTGTTTATGTGCCATTTCCGATGAGCGCTTGACCATAGCCCTGAGACTGTCTGGTCTTGTAGGTGAGCACCCCACCCCTGAAGGGAGGCGTCTGCAAATAGGTGTAGATTCGAGGACAACCCTGATAAAGAGATTCCTCCTAAGACATTCGAGATAAGGTCTCAAATGCGTTGGTAGCATGATGGCCTTGAGTGGATCCTGACTCCTGATGTAGGGATTGAGGAATTGTTGTATTGGGCGTAACTGTAATCGGCCTCTGTTGGTTAGGTCCTGGGCTGAGATGAGTAACCCTAGCAACACTTGCCATTGGTGAAGTGTGCGTGGTTGACAAAGAGCAGGTGACAGGGGGCGTAAAATCTTGTGCCATCTGTCCCTGGGGACCGACAGGAGGTTCTGATCTGTTTGAAATAGTCCTCCTATGAACTGGAGCCGAAATGATGGAGTTAACTCCGATTTCGCCTCGTTGACTATCCAACCCAGTTGATATAGTAGTCTTCTGGTGAATTCCCGGTGACATACTAACGTCGGTGTGTGTTGATGACACAGGAGACAGTCGTCTATGTACGACTGGAACCAAATGTTCCTCAGCTGTAGAAACACAGTTATGGGCTTCATTATTCGTGTAAATAGCCACGGGGCCACTGAAATGCCAAATGGGGGTACTGCCCACTGGTAGTGGACCCCATTGAACTGGAACCTGAGGAATCTGCGATCTTTGGGATGAATCGGTATGTGCAGATATGCATCCTGTAGATCGATACTGATCAAGGAATCGAACGCTTTTATGCTGGTTCTGAGTAGTCTCAATGTAATGAGGCGGAAATAGGGTGGACGCTTCAGATAGAGCTCGTTGAAAACAGAGAGATTGTGTATCATTCTCATCTTGTCTGAGCCCTTCTTGGGTACCAGGAAGATGTGAGAATAAAATCCCGGAGTTAGCGCTGGGGTGTGTATAATCTCTACGGCTCTTTTCTCCAATAGTAAGTCTATGTTGGCCTTTAAAAGGACATGTTGCTTCCTTGGATAATTCCCCGGAATGGGTGCCGTGGTCAACGGAGGAAAAACCTCTATGTCTAGTTGGTAACCGTGGCGTAGAATGTTGAGAACATAATCGTCCCTGAGGATGCTCCAGTTCTTCCAAAACCGATTCAGTCTCCCGCCTACAGGGGTATCGACAATTGGGACGACTGGGGGTAGGAGATCCCAGTCGTGACTGTCTAACATTTCAATGTTTGCCCCTCCTATCACCTCCCTTACTGTGGTATTTACCACGTCGGGATTGATAAGAACCCTGGGGTTTTCCTCTGCCACGAAAAGAATCTTGCACCTGTCCTTCCTTAAGCGACTCACGTCTAGGCCTGTAGTTGCCTGACTTGCCTGATCGCTGGGAAAAATTTTGAGAAACATGCTCCAAAGCCTTGAGTGCTGTTTCATCCCTAGCGTAACTGGAAACCTTCGCGTGTGTGTCTGAAATCTGTTCGTTGAACAGAGATGAGGAAGACCAAGGTTGACGTAGCAATCTGCGTTTAAACTCTGAGTCCCAAGTAGATAAGGCTAAATAACCCAATCTCCGAGTGACAGTTATTTCTGCCAACGCAGCTTTAAGATGATTCCTCATATGGTCAATCTGACGCTGTTGAAAATCAACTATAGTTTGGAGGTGATCTAGTCGGTTAGGATTATCCTCTGACAGATCCTGCTCTACCGCCCGAGTAGACGATGCTAATGCTGCTAAAGGTTTTAATACCCTTCGGATTTCTGTTTCAATAAACGTAACTCTGGTATCCTGAACCTTAAGAGTGGTAGGCCTTGACGAGCCTGTCATTCTCTGTATATCCTCATCCAAACTATGTGCCTGGTTTGCTGCCTCAAAGCCATGAATAGGAAATTCATCTTTCCTAAACCTGGGAGGTCTGAATGACGGCGTAAGTGTGAGCCTGGAGAAGTCCTCATCCAAAGATCTAATCATATCTGACATCATAGGGTCAATCGGAATCGACGTAGGATGTGTCCAAATAGTATCTTTTTTATCTACCCCACTACCCGGGGAAGGTACTGAAATGAGGCGGTCAGCTACCCAATCAGGTACTTGAGCCAGGCTAAGGTGAGTATTCCATTCGTTCGCGGAATCTCCCTCCTCACCATTAGAACCATCTGATGAATCAGAACGACGTTGATGTGTACGTCTTGATGGTGAACGACTTCTACTCCGATGTGCAATATTACCTCTGACCGAGGGCTTAGATGAACTGCCTGGTGACAAGGAATCATGAGTTGATGTCCAAGTACGGGCAGGTGTACTGGTACTACTCAACGAAGAATGTACTGTATTATGACTCATAATAGGAGTGTTATACACATTAGTCACTGGAGTAGGCGGTAAAATAAGTGCCGTAGATGTAGTTGATGCAGGTGTCTGATACATAGGTATAGGCGTAGGCAAAGGCATAGGCATAGGCGCAGGCGTAGGCGCAGGATACAGTTGTGTCATAGACTGCTGCCACATTGATTGTAGAAAATTTTGCATCCAATTAGTGTTTGGAATTGGCATAGGCGCCTGCGCTGGATACGTTGGTACAGCGCTAAGCTAATCGTGCGCTGGTTGCGTAATATCATACGCTGATAACCCTTGGGCTGATGTCATTGTAGAAGCGCTTGGGTAGTAGGGCTTGGCTGCGCTCGGCGCAGGCATATGAGGCGCAATGCTCAATGGAGTAGACTTGAGTCTAGCTTGGCTTGGCGCTTTCCCCGACAACGCATCTTGAGACGCTGGCGCACTGTCTGCAGACGTAACAGATGTAGAATTCTCCAAATTAGGTGCAATTATAATACGCCCAACATTCTCCGGGAGAGAAGATTCCGGTGGCATGTGCACCTCCGCGGTGACAGTTACGGCCGACCTATTATCCCTCATAGATAAAGGTTGCGTCGTAATGATCGAAGCCTGTCCCTCGCTCATTTGCGAAAATTTGCAAAATACGTTTGTGAGTAACTTGCCTATACCTCGCGAAACTCGTTGGAGAGAGGTTTCTACAAAAAACACATTTAGAATTTGGTGCATAAATTTGTGTACACGACAAACAACGTGGGTGAGGATCTTGAATAGATTTTTTTCCACGACAATTAGTACGACGCACAAGCATAAGTTACGCAATAATACACTAGAAGAAAACGGGACTGGAATTTACTGCCGTAGATAATTTCTCGGCAAAATTTTTGAACGAGTTGAAAGTGTATAAATGCTTGAATATACGCAACTCAATGAACCGCCAAAGCTAGTAGTATTGAAAACAACATATGAAATATGTTATACATACCTAGCCGATAATTGTAAACAATTGACTACTTTTACCAAGCAAACAATTGTAACACAATTCAAAATGGCGGGGAACAGATAGCACGTGGCGGGGAAAAAAAGACACGTCTTTTTTTCCCCGCCACGTGCTATCTGTTCCCCGTCTTTTTTTCCGCCTCAAAACATCAAATACAACTTCACAACATGTTGAAAGTAATATGAAAGGTATACATCACCCATCGCAGAAGAATTTTAGAATGGTAGACGAATGGAAGGCCTAAATAAATAAAAAAAAACGAGAGCTCCGCTGGAAACGTCCTAGCTATGTCGCGACAGGCAGTGATGTGAAGAGTTGACCTTTGGTCACATGAGGTCACAGGGACAGCGACGGCGGGATATAAAAGTGGGATTGTGAACAGAGCCATTCACTCAAGGACCATCGCCGGTTAGCTGTCCCAGTTTTTTTTGTTGCAAGGTAAGCAGTGAATGCATTAAGGAGTAATGCAGGATAAGTAAAAAATATACAAATTTCAAATATTTCAGCACATGACTGATGTGTCAATCTCATTAAAATCAGATCCTAGTTCCCCCTACAACTAAACAAAGATCTGAGGACATCCCATTAAGGGTCACGTCAGACCAACCTTGCACGAACTTTGACCGCCCAATGGAATGACCAATCAGAAGGCAGCTTTCTCGTGCTTTACGGCACTAATTTCAAATTGTGACTACGCTTTGAAACATATTTTGACAAATTCTCAATTACAAATTTGAAAACTGAACAAAAGTACATTCTGGAATGGCTAATAGATCGTCTAGATTGTATGGATTCAGTCGTTAAACCCGTAACTATCGTTCAGAGTTAATATTTTCGAGGTTGCATGATTAGAAATCACATTCAGACTGTCACTTTCATAATCTGGTAAGCGATGCTCTGATTGGTTGGATGAAAGATCGTTCTGACGTGATCCCGTATGGGATGTCCTCAGATCTTTGTTTAGCGGTAGCGAGAACTGAGGTCTGATGTTAATGAGATTGCTGATGTGTATGCAAACTTTCACGAAGAAATATTGAACATTTTATTAGTATTGCTCTGGACAAATACCCTCCCTCATTCAAACCTATGTTCAACTTGTCACTCTGGGAACACAGTAAAAATTAAAACATTCCTGAAAAGCATACAGCCCCAGATCAGCACATGCTTGATGTGCTTACAACATTGCATGAAGAAATATCAAACAGTTTTAGCTCCGGAAACAAAAAAAACAACAGACATTTCCTGTTTCTATATACCCCTCAAAACTTTGTTGGGTGGAGGATTTCATAATATGCCATAGGGACATTGTAAAGGCTTGTGTTCAGGTAGACAAGGTCCCAGTTCTTCTATAATATAAGAATCACCATAAGACAGACAGACAGACAGACAGACAGACATTTCAGAGTGAAGTGAGTGTTTCATAAAGTGTTTTATACCACAGACAGCAATATTCCAACTATACTACTTGGGCCTGTAAATAACACATTGTCACCACACACTTTAGTTGGCTCATGCATCAAGCATAAGGTACTGGGGACACATGAATCTTGGTATCAGGTGAGAGTTACTCCCCTTGTTGCCAGCCTTGGTGAACCTACCTTGCAGTCATCCATGACCAGAGAGATGTCTTGAGCCAGGTAGAAGTCGGACAGCTCGAACAAGAGTGGGTAGCAGAGGATGGTCTTGCTACAAGCTCGGTAAATCTGGAATACATTCATGATAACAAACAACACTTGCATAAGTTGCATAACAGTGACAAACTGTTCATTTTTTTATGACAAGTTACTAACAAAATTTGGTTGAATAATACCAATCATTTTATGCTACAGAAACAATTCAAGAACCATTCTTTTACAAATTGAATTGTTTTTTCTTTGTCCCTTGTTAATTATTACACTATACTATATCTGGCTTAATACACATATTGAGGTTGGAGGAATTGAGACAAACTTGATGGACGAAGCCGAATAGTTGTTTCAGGCCTCAGGAAAATCTTTGTGGAGACAAAATGACCAAGTTGTCATCCACAAACATCACACCTTCCTGATGAACCCTTATGATGAGGATTCAAGTGAGTGACTGAGTAGGGTTTAACAGTATATCAGCAGGATCAGTGCATGTCTGTATGATGTGGGAGGAAAGCTTGACATGATGCAGGTCTCAGACATGATACCCAATGCTGCACCGAGACTTGTGTGGAGCTGTGACCAGTTAAAAAAACAAATTCAAGACAGAAGTTAGTGAGTGCACCATGCCACGGGGCTTCGTACCTTGGATGTGCTGAGAACACCGAACGGCCGCGATGGCCTGCCTGTCAGGCCCAGCTTCTTATTGACGCCCAGGTACTCGTAGGCTTTGGTCAGTTCTTTTGGGGACCAGATTTGGATGGGCTCTATCTGATGCGGCGTCTGCGTCTGGATGCCGTACGTGGCTAGCAACTGCTGCAGCCGGGTGCTCTCCGCGATCAGAACAATCTGGATAATCAGGTCTGGTGGCGTCCCCTAGAAGGCAACCACATCAAAAAACTAACAGTAAGTTATTTGTTTAACAGGGCCCAGTTTGATGGGATAATTATAGATAACATCTTTCCATGTCATTTCCACAACTTTACAAGTGACATAAATTTCAACTATCTCACCTGAAATTTGGAGTACCTTGCACTAAACTTCGGCCTTTCTAGAGCTGGCAGGTATCTCCTGACTGGATCCAACTCATTGACATTCAACAGGCCATCACCTGAAATGAACATATGAGGCCAAGTTATATAACAGAAAAGTGGTCAATAAAACTTATAAATAATAAGTTACAACTCTATTTTCTGTCAATAAAATCCATTTTAAAATTAAAAATAGCAGAACTTAAAAATCAAACAATCGTTATTGTGTATAATTGTAAGAATACCTCTATTACATCATAATCTAAATTCCTGTTTAGGTTGTCAATCACACACTATTTTTAATAGATGTCCTCTTCACTGCCAACATATCTAATAGTTGTGAGGAAAACTCTATCCTCCTAAGGAATTGCAACTGCATATGCGGGGGTGGGAAACAACCACTTCTTTCCTGTGTGTCAAAATTTGTTGATCACATCTAGACACGTTTGGTTGGCTGTTTCACACTGTAAACTTCACTGATATCATCTGATAGACAAGACAGACAAGTAAGCAGGTAGTTAGTAAAATGTATTGTGGATGACTGGTGTTTTCTGGGAGCAGCAACAATCAAGTCGCCAGTGATGCACACCCTAGATGCAGGTCATGTAAGAAGAGCACCTGCACATCTCATTCCAGATGTGTGCCTCATTCCAGTCAGCGCAGGTGTCGCCACAACTCTTGCTCGTTCAACAGAACCAGCTTCTACAGCAGGTTGTATTCTCATGGAGCCAAAGAAAAGCATGTTGTTGCAGCCTATTACAGCCCCACAGGTCTTCAACGGCAGACTAAATAAGATCAAGGTGGAGGTCACCACAGAAACCAACTAGAGGTTCCATCTACCATCGACATGGTGTCAAAAATTCAGAATTCAGAAGTGTCTGGCAGACTTCCAGTGTCAGCGAGATCCTCCCAAGAGAAGACATTTGACGTCAGGGCGTGATTATCTTCCTGCCCAATCCTGGAAGGATAGATCTTCACGTCCCAAGGCCTTTCTCTGAGAATGAGCAGCCTTTATCACAACATCACGGAGGTAGGGGTAGAGGCGGCCCCAGAGGCGTCACCCGTTGCATGCTCAGCATATCTCTCCAAATCCTATCTATCGACCTTTAATAGTGTGATCGACAGCCTAAACAGGAATTTATGGCTAACAGACGTAGGGTATTTGAAAGGAATTATATAGTTTCATCACATTTGACACTACTTGCTTACAAGACCTTAGCCTAGATTTTACACATGGACCAGTGACAGTTTTTCATTGGTTTACATCTTACTGCCAGGTAGGTACATCTGCAGAACCTACTGAGTAGCTGTGAGATGAGGTAGACAGCCTGTCCCCACATAAAGATGCCGTCAGTTGACCCCACCGGGCTGGCCAACCTCTTCTGACTTCCGGGTTTGCTCTTCTCAAGCTCAATCTTGTCTGCTGGGACGTAGTAGTACTGTGGGATCAGCAGCCCTGGGAGGGTTACAACAGTAGCTTATTACCCTGGGAGGGTCACAACAGTAGTTTATTACCCTGGTAGGGTTACTACAGTAGCTTATTACCCTGGGAGGGTCACTACAGTAGCTTATTACCCAGGGAGGGTTACTACAGTAGCTTATTACCCTGAGAGGGTCACAAGAGTAGCGTATTACCCTGGGAGGGTTACAACAGTAGCTTATTACCCTGGGAGGGTCACAACAGTAGCTTATTACCCTGGGAGGGTTACAACAGTAGCTTATTACCCAGGGAGGGTTACCACAATAGCATATTACCCTAGGAGGGTTACAGAAGTAGCTTATTACCCTGGGGGGGGTTACAACAGTAGCTTTTTACCCTGGGAGGGTTACTACAGTAGCTTATTACCCTGGGAGGGTTACAACAGTAGCTTATTACCCTGGGAAGGGTTACAACAGTAGCTGATTACCCTGGGAGGGTTACAACAGTAGCTTATTACCCTGGGAGTGTTACAACAGTAGCTTATTACCCTGGGAGGGTTACAACAGTAGCTTATTACCCTGGGAGGGTTGCTACAGTAGCTTATTACCCTGGGAGGGTTACCACAATAGCGTATTACCCTGGGAGGGTTACAACAGTAGCTTATTACCCAGGGAAGGTTACTACAGTAGCTTATTACCCTGGGAGGGTTACAACAGTAGATTATTACCCTGGGAGGGTTACAACAGTAGCTTATTACCCTGGGAGGGGTACAACAGTAGCTAATTACCCGGGGAGGGTTACTACAGTAGCTAATTACCCTGGGGGGGTTACAACAGTAGCTTATTACCCTGGGAGGGTTACTACAGTAGCTTATTACCCTGGGAGGGTTACAACAGTAGCTTATTACCCTGGGAGGGTCACAACAGTAGCTTATTACCCTGGGAGGGTTACCATAGTAGCTTATTACCCTGGGAGGGTTACAACAGTAGCTTATTACCCTGGGAGGGTCACAACAGTAGCTTATTACCCTGGGAGGGTTACAACAGTAGCTTATTACCCTCGGAGGGTTAAAACAGTAGCTTATTACCCTGGGAGGGTTACTACAGTAGCTTATTACCCTGGGAGGGTTGCTACAGTAGCTTATTACCCTGGGAGGGTTGCTACAGTAGCTTATTACCCTGGGAGGGTTACTACAGTAGCTTATTACCCTGGGAGGGTTACTACAGTAGCTTATTACCCTGGGAGGGTTACTACAGTAGCTTATTACCCTGGGAGGGTTACTACAGTAGCTTATTACCCTGGGAGGGTTGCTACAGTAGCTTATTACCCTGGGAGGGTTACTACAGTAGCTTATTACCCTGGGAGGGTTACTACAGTAGCTTATTACCCTGGGAGGGTTGCTACAGTAGCTTATTACCCTGGAAGGGTTACTACAGTAGCTTATTACCCTGGGAGGGTTACTACAGTGGCTTATTACCCTGAGAGGGTCACAACAGTAGCTTATTACCCTGGGTGTGTGTGTGTGTGGTGTACTACAGACGCATGTCATGTGGGTGGGTGGGGCATAATTTCATGCGGACAAGAGTAATGTTATGGGGGATTTCACCTTGACATTTTCGTAAGTGAGACACATGGTCAAAGCTCCACACCTTCATAAAACTCATCATGCAACAAAAAATGAACATCTTCCCCGTACATTCACGCAAAATGCATGTTGGAGTGGTAGTCACTTGTCTATGGACATGATGGAGTAGTATTCGTAACTAATTACAGATTATCCTCAGATTCACCTCAGGAAACTAAAGAGGTCCCCCCATGAACGTATCACATAGCAACAACAGCAGTGGCTGCTCTCACCATCAGGACTCTCCACTAGCAGCGGCTTCAGCAGCTTCTGGTACTTCTCCGCCCCCTCCTTGTCTCCGTGGAAGATACCTGGGAAGCATCACACACGTCATCAAAACACCTCCAGTAGGATTTGCAAACACTACAATAATTCCCAAATTCAGGCAGAAGTGTAACAAATTCCTCCAACACACAATGCAGTTCCTTCTGGTCTCCCATAACAACAATAATAATGTCATGATTATCATCCACTCTGTGGCAGTCCTTGAAGCAATAAAGGCATCATTAAATAGCTGATGACATGAACAACCCTTGAAGCATTGAAGCCATCATTAAATAGCTGATGACATGAACAACCCTTGAAGCATTGAAGGCATCATTAAATAGCTGATGACATGAACAACCCTTGAAGCATTGAAGGCATCATTAAATAGCTGATGACATGAACAAACCTTGAAGCAATGAAGGCATCTTTAAATAGCTGATGACATGAACAACCCTTGAAGTAATGAAGGCATCATTAAATAGCTGATGACATGAACAACCCTTGAAGCATTGAAGCCATCATTAAATAGCTGATGACATGAACAACCCTTGAAGCATTGAAGGCATCATTAAATAGCTGATGACATGAACAAACCTTGAAGCATTGAAGGCATCTTTAAATAGCTGATGACATGAACAACCCTTGAAGCATTGAAGGCATCATTAAATAGCTGATGACATGAACAAACCTTGAAGCAATGAAGGCATCTTTAAATAGCTGATGACATGAACAACCCTTGAAGTAATGAAGGCATCATTAAATAGCTGATGACATGAACAACCCTTGAAGCATTGAAGCCATCATTAAATAGCTGATGACATGAACAACCCTTGAAGCATTGAAGGCATCATTAAATAGCTGATGACATGAACAACCCTTGAAGCAATGAAGGCATCTTTAAATAGCTGATGACATGAACAACCCTTGAAGCAATGAAGGCATCTTTAAATAGCTGATGACATGAACAACCCTTGAAGCAATGAAGGCATCTTTAAATAGCTGATGACATGAACAACCCTTGAAGCAATGAAGGCATCTTTAAATAGCTGATGACATGAACAACCCTTGAAGCAATGAAGGCATCTTTAAATAGCTGATGACATGAACAGCCCTTGAAGCAATGAAGGCATTATTAAATAGCTGATGACATGAACATGTCCCTAGACAGTTCTCCACATAATTTATCATCCACAGGAGTACAGTACTGGTCATTATCAGAACGGACGAGTTCCAGACATATATCTTAAACCAATGAGTAATGGAATGCTCGTTTCCAGAATGTAAAAAGGACTGTTATGGTATTGTGCCAGCATCATTCAGAGACCTTGTGTTGTACATTCGGATTTTGGTGCCAAAACTGAGACAAGGGAATTTGAGTACTATACTATTAGCCAATGACAAAGCAGGATTAGGAAGAGATACATTTGCTGCTGACATGAAATGACGTATTCAGTTGAAAGCAGAAGGTGATGACAGATATGGTAAACAGAAGTTCAACACTGTTCTGAGGAAAGTTTTTCAGAATAAACAGACAAGGTACAGTAACAATTAATCATGAGAGCGTAAAGTATTGTTTGCCTGCATATTTAATACAGTTGTAATTTGCAATCCGTCCGTATTTCATAACTTTGTATCCGTACAGTACGCCAATACAGCATCTATCTGAATCACTGCCGAGACAAAGGTTTGCTATAGTTGCACATACTTGTACTGCCTCATGAACACACTATATACTTACAGTCAATCATGATGAACAGGTAAAAGATTGGCCATTCACTCTCAATGCCATCAAAATTCTGTGAAAGAAATATAATAGTTTAGATATTTCAGTCTTGTTTTAGTCATGTGTCAATAAACAGTTAGTGAATACATTTAACAATGAAGCAAAGAAAGACACAAGGCTCACCTGATTTATTCTGAACGTTAGTTTCAAAGGTCATAAAAAAGGGTAAACAAGAAAATATAACATACATACACTGTTTCTCATGCCTATAAATATTGACTGTGCTTAGACAGCTCTCATATAACTTTCTGCTATCAGGTGCACAAATGAATGAAGTAACTACACAACAGCATGAACAGCAAGGTCACGGGGAAAAAGGGAAAAAACAACAACATACATGTGATATAACAGTTGAGAAATGGACATTCACTGAACTTTCAATGTGGCTGCAATAAATAAAATTGTATCAGAATTCTTTTAGCAGTTTTGAAAGACAATTGTCTGGATCATGTACACACAATTTCAGCTTCATAAACCCAAAAGTTTCAGAGGAGAAAAATGGAGGCATGTGAACATGGTGAAGGTTGAAGAACACAGAGTAAAACAGTGTGAACTGGAATGTGTTTTTACAAATAAAAAACATATGTCTCCCCCTTCCTTTGCTTGGATACAGTAGTTCAAGATGTTCTATAGCCAAACAATGTAATGCATGGTATTCCTAACATACTTGAGATTTACCTCCACAACAAAGAGCAGATAGGTATTTTAACTGATATTCAAAACTGGTGACTCACTTTTATTTCAGCCGGCCTGTAGTACTTCCTGTTCTTGTCCTCCAACTCTGTCTTGTATCCGTCCCGGAAGAAGCGCTTGATGCCGTAGTTGCCCTTCAGTTTGCGGATCACCTTGTTGACGGCCTGGCGCTTCACGGGTTCCTCATGTATGGCGAACGCCGGCCAACAAATGGTAGGCAGGAGGGAGGCGTCAGTGTTCTGAATAAACAGTGAAATAACTTATCACAGGGTCTCAAAATGAAAACAAGGTTGACTTAAGGATTAAACTTCTTTATTTTTTCAGAGCAGGTTTTGGTTCCGATGTTTGATAAAGTGCCAACAGTATTTCAGTTATCTCACAAAGTGTCCTTTCAATGTGGGAGGAAAGCCCAACGTGATGTATTCACTGTTTACCACGGATGAAAAACCAAGACGGGAATGGATCGTAGTCAAGACAGATCTGGGATGAGAGACAATCATAGGATCCTGTCAAACAAAAGGGATGTAACTCCACAGCGAATTACAGCAGCTTAGACAATGGGCCACCCATGCCTGCAAAATATTTAAAGTTCGTCCAGATTAACTCAGATTGCAACAAGTATGGAGTAGTTCTGCAACAAAATTAAGGCCTAGAATGAAGATATCCTCTTTCCTTATAATCTCGTAATTGAACTGCTCTGCGTCACACAGAATGAATCTTATGATGAATCAGTAGACAGTCCTGTGTTCAATGACCAGCTGACAGTTGATTATACCTATCTCAACCCTGTGAATCTGGGTTAGAACTGGGATCCAGTTGTCTGGCTCGCTGACTTGGTTGATGCATGTCATCGTATCCTGATTGCATAGATCGATGCTCATGATGTCCATCACTGGATTGTCTGGTCCATACTTGATTATTTACATACTGTCATCATATAGTTGGAATATTACTTAGAATGGCAAGAAATAAATATACCTATCTCAAAAGCCTCTTTTCATAGCAATTATCATTACTGGTGGCCAATTTTGCTTCAAAAAGTGTCAACAAGTAACCTTTGTGTTGGTCATTTGTGGTATTCTCACCATAATCATTGAGAAACATCCTGTTTCTTACCTTCGAGTTAGATTCTCGTGGAAGAATAGTCTCAAAGATTGTCCTGTTTCTGTTGTGGGCGTCGATGTCCACATAGATGACGGACCACGCTGCACCCTGTTCCCCATACACATTGTTTCCATTCACAGCTTCAAGTGCTGCCTTCGCCATGCCAATTGAGCTGGAAGGGGAGCAATGAGACATGGGATGGCTGGAGAGTCATGGTATCAACATTAAGCCTTCAAGTTACCTTGTACTTCCCTGGAGCCATTGCGTTGATCTTGCACGTACTTCCACAGAGTCATTGTTGTATTTACCTTGCATGTATTTGCTGGATCCATTGTTGTATTTACCTTGCATGTATTTGCTGGATCCATTGTTGTATTAACCTTGCATGTATTTCCTGGAGCCATTGTTGTATTTACCTTGCATGTATTTCCCGGAGCCATTGTTGTATTTACCTTGCATGTATTTCCTGGAGTCATTGTTGTATTTACCTTGCATGTATTTCCGTGGAACCATTGTTGTATTTACCTTGCATGTATTTCCCGGAGCCATTGTTGTATTTACCTTGCATGTATTTCCGTGGAACCATTGTTGTATTTACCTTGCATGTATTTCCGTGGAGCCATTGTTGTATTTACCTTGCATGTATTTCCGTGGAACCATTGTTGTATTTACCTTGCATGTATTTCCGTGGAGCCATTGTTGTATTTACCTTGCATGTATTTCCGTGGAGCCGTTGTTGTATTTGCTGCCTCTCTCCCACATGCCGTAGTCCGGGGTCCTGTACGCTCTCTCTACGTAGAACACCAGGTTCTGTACAAAGTTCACCTCATCCGTTGTGAATATTAGCTAAAACAAGATAACAGTTTGTGGAGTTATGAAACAGAAAGTCTATTATTTCCTACAGTATCAGTATCACACAGTGCCCTACAGTATCACACAGAACCCTTCAGAATTACACAGAACCCTGTAGTATCACACAGTACCCTGCAGTATCACACAGTATCACACAGTATCACACAGACCCTGTAGTATCACACAGATCCCTGTAGTATCACACAGTACCCTGCAGTATCACACAGAACCCTGTAGTATCACACAGAACCCTGTAGTATCACACAGTACCCTGCAGTATCACACAGAACCCTGTAGTATCACACAGAACCCTGTAGTATCAAACAGTACCCTGCAGTATCACAAAGTATCACACAGAACCCTGTAGTATCACACAGTACCCTTCAGAATTACACAGAACCCTGCAGTATCACACAGTACCCTGCAGTATCACACAGTATCACACAGAACCCTGTAGTATCACACAGATCCCTATAGTATCACACAGTACCCTGCAGTATCACAAAGTATCACACAGAACCCTGTAGTATCACACAGAACCCTGTAGTATCACACAGTGCCCTGCAGTATCACACAGAACCCTGTAGTATCACACAGTACCCTTCAGTATCACATAGAACCCTGTAGTATCACACAGAACCCTGCAGTATCACACAGTATCACACAGAACCCTGTAGTATCACACAGTACCCTACAGTACCACACAGAACCCTGTAGTATCAGACAGTACCCTTAAGTATCACACAGAACCCAGTAGTATCACACAGTACCCTGCAGTATCACAAAGTATCACACAGAACCCTGTAGTATCACACAGAACCCTGTATCACACAGTACCCTTCAGTATCACACAGAACCCTGTAGTATCACACAGTACCCTGCAGTATCACACAGTATCACACAGAACCCTGTAGTATCACACAGAACCCTGTAGTATCACACAGAACCCTGTAGTATCACACAGAACCCTGTAGTATCACACAGTACCCTACAGTACCACACAGAACCCTGTAGTATCAGACAGTACCCTTAAGTATCACACAGAACCCAGTAGTATCACACAGTACCCTGCAGTATCACAAAGTATCACACAGAACCCTGTAGTATCACACAGAACCCTGTAGTATCACACAGTACCCTACAGTATCACACAGTACCCTGTAGTATCACACAGTACCCTTCAGTATCACACAGAACCCTGTAGTATCACACAGTACCCTGCAGTATCACACAGAACCCTGTAGTATCACACAGTACCCTGTAGTATCACACAGAACCCTTTAGTATCACACAGTACCCTGCAATATCACACCAGAACCCTGTAGTATCACACAGTACCCTGCAGTATCACACAGAACCCTGAAGTATCACACAGTACCCTGCAGTATCACACAGAACCCTTTAGTATCACACAGTACCCTGAAGTATCACACAGTACCCTGCAGTATCATACAGTATCCTTTAGTATCCCACAGTACCCTGCAGTATCCCACAGTACCCTGTAGTATCACACAGTACCCTGTAGTATCACACAGAACCCTGTAGTATCACACAGTACCCTGTAGTATCACACAGAACCCTGTAGTATCACACAGAACCCTGTAGTATCAGTATCACAGTACCCTGCAGTATCACACAGAACCCTGTAGTATCACACAGTACCCTGCAGTATCACACAGAACCCTTAAGTATCACACAGTACCCTGCAGTATCACACAGAACCCTTAAGTATCACACAGTACCCTGTAGTATCACACAGAACCCTGAAGTATCACACAGTACCCTGCAGTATCATACAGTATCCTGTAGTATCACACAGAACCCTGTAGTATCAGTATCACAGTACCCTGTAGTATCACACAGAACCCTGTAGTATCACACAGAACCCTGTAGTATCAGTATCACAGTACCCTGCAGTATCACACAGAACCCTGTAGTATCACATAGTACCCTGTAGTATCAGTATCACAGTACCCTACAGTATCATACAGAACCCTGTAGTATCACACAGTACCCTGTAGTATCACAGTACCCTGCAGTATCACACAGAACCCTGTAGTATCACACAGAGCCCTGTAGTATCACACAGTACCCTGTAGTATCACACAGTACCCTGTAGTATCACACAGAACCCTGTAGTATCACACAGAACCCTGTAGTATCACACAGAACCCTGTAGTATCAGTATCACACAGTACCCTGTAGTATCAGTATCACAGTACCCTGCAGTATCACACAGTACCCTGTTGTATTACACAGTATCCTGCAGTATCACACAGTACCCTGCAGTATCATACAGTATCCTGTAGTATCAGTATCACACAGTACCCTGCAGTATCATGCAGTATCACACAGTACCCTGTAGTATCACACAGAACCCTGCAGTATCACACAGTACCCTGTAGTATCAGTATCACCTACCTGGCAGCCTGACGAGACCATCTGAATCAGGAAGATGAGGTACAGAGCCACAGCATCTATCTAAAAACAATGCAAGCTTTCATCATACATTTCATCATGTGCTGCAACACAACTAATAAGCTATGTTCTGTACACATTATCAGTGGGATACAACTTGATATAATCATGATAACCAATGCATAATTGTTATCCTGAGTTTAATATCATAAATACTGTCTATTATTTTAATTACTCTCTCCAGATTTGTATCTTTTAATGACCATCACCCAGAAGCTGTCATGTCACCTTCCCTGATTTTGAAATGAAATAGTACTGTGGGTGAAAAACAAGCAAGGGCTCCTCATACGATGCTAGTGGGCTTGTCCTACCCACCAGCCCAAAGCCAGAGTCTAGTAACATAACCGGCATCCATATGTATCTCTTTCTCATATTTGTTTCTTGCCAGGATCAGTGTTTGAATAATATTTTGAATGCTTGACTGTGTGTATGTTTTGTTATATTTCTTAAAAATCACCTTGGCACCATTTCCAATACTTGTATTTAATTTTCCCCAAATGTATACATACATTGTCTTCAGAATGTGAGGGTGACCATTGCCCTGGATGGCCATCCTCCTCATGTAACGGAGAAAAGGTGAAATAAAATGCTAAAAAAAAAAAAAAAAAAAGAAAAAAAAAAACATAACCGGCATCACTGTTGGACTATTAAACTATCACCATTCCCAATAAGACAAATTCTAGCTTGGAAGTTCGTGGTAAGTAGGGGTGTAACAGTCAACTCATGGTGAATCGAAAATTATCAGCTCTCAGATTGTATTCAGTGTTCAGGTTCCTTAAATCAAGCCCTGAAAATAATCATTCGGGTAGTACTTTGGTATATTACTGGTTATGTTTTACTTGTGTAACAGTTAGATAATTCCCACTCCAGTTGCAGATATGACTGTGCACATACAATGTTCTCAGATATATGTAGGTTTAATATGTAAACTTACCTGCAAATGTTCATAATCGTCATCAGCGTAGATTGGATCACCCGTGATGATGTCAAATATGGAATGTAGGGCAAAGTCTGGGTTCTGGTTGGATTTGAACTTCTCTACCTGTGGAAAAAAAACACGAGAATATATTAGCAGTAGCAGTTGTTGTGGCAGTAGTAGTAACAGCAGGAGTAGCAGTTACATTGTAGTAACAGTGAGAGTATCATAGCAGTTGAAGTAGTACTGGAGTACTTCTAGTAGTAGTAGTAGTAGTAGTAGTAGTAGTAGTAGTTGCGCAGTAATAGTAGTAGTAGTAACAGTAGCAGAGGTGACCAACGCGATCAGGTGGTCAGGCTTGCTGATTTGGTTGACGCATGTGATCGTATCCAAACTGCGTGGATCGATGCTCATGATGTCAATCTCCAGACTATTTACAGACCACTATCATATAGCTGGAATATTGCTGACTGCAGCAGTAAACACCAAACAAACAAGGTGTTATGGAAGAGTTGTGAGTGAGTGAGTTTGGTTTAACACAGGTATCTCACAGAAGGTGGGAGAAAAGCCACAACAGCAACTTTACAACATGAGAAAGGGTATGTAGGATCATATTTGCTGTGAATTTGAGATTCAAACCCAGGATCATAGAATCCTGTGTGGCCCAGGGCATATCATTAATTCATTGTCTCTGCTACTACATATTTACGTGTGGTAGCCATTTGGTGATTTCAGGGAAAATAATGGGTGCCAAATAGCAGACTGGTACTTTGGTACTTTGAGTCTCAATCCGATTCATGTACCTTGTCTGTTTGGTTTAACACAGGTATCTCACAGAAGGTGGGAGAAAAGCCACAACAGCAACTTTACAACATGAGAAAGGGTATGAAGGATCATATTTTCTGTGAATTTGAAATTCAAACCCAGGATCATAGAATCCTGTGTGGCCCAGGGCATATCATTAATTCATTGTCTCTGCCACTACGTATTTACGTGTGGTAGCCATTTGGTGATTTCAGGGAAAATAATGGGTGCCAAATAGCAGACTGCTACTTTGAGTCTCAATCCGATTCACATACCTTGTCTGCCTGACGTATCCAGCAGAAGAGAATGCCTCGCATACACTTGACAGCAATCTGGCCCAGTTCATGTGTCTTGCCCTTGTCATCATCAATGCGTCTGAAACAACACAACATCAACAGCAGTGAAAGTATCATCCTCGAGTATCCAGGGTACTATATCTCCAACGAAGCTTTGAAGGTGAATAGGTCTAGCGTATTTATCATAGAAAAATGGAGATATACAACACAGGATAATGAAGGAGGAGACAACTAGGCCAGTAAATACCAATTTTTGACCAGTAAAATTTTACTTGCATCAGGAACTTCAATGGGACTGAAAAAATATTGTTGAGCTCTGATCAGGATTACAAATAACTGAGCATTCTCATCAAATTACGCTGGGAGAAAATTATGTCCAAAGCATAAATTTCATGTTTCTTTTTGTTTTCCTTACAAACCATGACAGGTACTTCCTGTATCGATTCATAAGTTACTCCTCCCACACAGAAATGCAAAGGTTTTTGTTACTAGCTAATATACTCTTGAAGCAATTTAGTTGAAAGACAAACTTGTTTCAGAACAAAACATTGCACATGCATAAATAATATTGAGGATATTCATGCAGACGTCACTCTTCCTTTGGTCACAAAAGGGGAGAAATTTGCAAGTGGCAATCATAATCATGATAATAAACAAGAGTCATCAGAAGATGACAAATCCCCCTGGCCCCTACAATTTCAAAAGAACAAATCATCTGACTGTTACCTTAAGTCCAACTTGATGAGAAAATTTCTATCTAATCTGTCTGTAGTTATTGAGCTATCAAAACGATACCATGGAGGTAATCTTTTTTTTTTAAATCATGCCATGTTAACTGGGTCAGTCACCGATGCTTAGGTCAAATTCATTTTGTGTAGGACCATTGTCAGCTGAAAGATTTGTCTTTTGTAGCTTTTTCTTAGAAGATAAAGGGGATTATTTTATTGGCAAATCCAGTGTGACAAGGACAATAACTAGATTTATCATATAATGGGTAGGTTTCTCGGCAGGATAAAGCCAACGGATAAAAACGATATCCGTTGGGGTCATATGCGGATAGAGATGCAAATATCAAAGGTCAAGTAGGACTACTTTCACTGTTTATAAACAAACATGGCGTCGCCCTCGTCATTCGGCGATCAGAATTAACCATCGGGAATCTGGATAAACTACAGGGATAATTGCTATCATTATCAAAAGAACAGTCTAATATACTGAAAATCAGTGTCTAACTGTGACGTAGCTAAGGCATTTTATAAGTTTTGGCAACTTTGGAGATATAAATTTTGAAACAATTTTGAGAGGGCACGATCGAGGCCTAGCCAAGCGGGATCAGTAGCCATATCTGTGCTTGTAGACCTCTGCAGCTTGAAACCTCCACAAATTAAAAAAGTTGGATTTGGCGGAAATATGTTTGAATTGTTACCTTGTTTCGTTTTGTCACTGTGTGTACATCTGACTACACTTCTAAACATTATGACAGGACAGACCGACTGTCAACAACGTCTGACCGTGGCCGTGACATCTCATAGACTAGGGTTAGAGTAGCTTCCCTTTGACAAAGGGCAGTTACTCTAGCGGACAGACCGATGGATTACCGTGAAAGGCAATTAAAAACAACTGTTGTTTTGCATATATGTTGCTTCGCCACTGTATAAGAAACAGATTTCAGTTGGAACTATATTGGCTACTGTCACTGTCCGACTGACACATCACTGACCCTGTGACGTAAAAAATATTAATGCGCGCATTCCAGGAAAACTCGCAATGTTTCGGTAATGTTTGTGAGAGAGGGAAAGCGATTTTAAAGCACAGAATTAAAGAATGACATTATATGATAAAGAGGTTATCACGCTTGTGTGTTTGGGGATGGTAAATATCCTGTATTAGGAATAAACACTATGTATTTAGCTCGCCAAGGCTCGCTAAATACAATGTTTATTCCTAATGCAGGATATTTACCATCCCCAAACACACTCGCGTGATAACCTCTATTTATTATTTTCTTTAAAAAAAAATCATCCCAAAAAAATTAGTGTAAATTTGATTATTTTTTACTCAGTTTGTGAAGAAAATAGGGTTGCAGATCCGTGATCCAACAAAGAAAATATAACTGCCTCAGCATATCATGTTCTGAAAACTGGTGCAAATTAGCCAGGACTGGTATTCTTAATTACTGCAAGTCCATATGACCCGTAGTTAAGTCAGCATAAACAGTGTTAATGAAAATACTCCTCCTAACAATTTCTTGGAATTGAAATCAACAGTAGCAATAGGTAGTTTCTCCCAACCTGTAAGCCTGTGATAGTGACCATGCAGCGACAGCGCAGTAGATGCTGTCTCGGACGTTGGCAGCACGAGACTGGTTATCCTTGGATCCAATGGTTGGGAACAGACCGAGGGGACAACTCTGATACTGCAGAATCTGACGCTTCACTGAAACAACACAAACAGTGGACATATCAACGTCTTGCAAACCCAGGGAGGTAGCCTCCCAGAGCATGGGGTCAAGTTGCAGTTCATGCTAAATGCTTATCAAACTGATAGTCAGGTGGCCTCAGTACAGTCCATGGCAGCATAAGAAATTGGCACTAGTCCTGTAGTTCTTGCCAAACTACCCTATAGTTGAGGTATCATAAGGACTTGTAGAAATTTGCCCTTTTTGAGGGTTTTACTACATGTGTTCATCATAAGGAAAAGTGGACTAAATCTGTTAGTTTTTAATGCTGCATGGGATGATGCGTTTAAACATGGATGATTAATGTTGTATTGCTTGACAACGGTATAAGGATCTACATCGAAACATCGCCCTTACAACAAAGAAGTTGTTATCCATAAATTGTGCCCAACATCATCCCACTAGTCATGCTAGATCTAAATGATGTCAACCATTATTTTCAAGAGGGACTATGCTCCTTGGTCTGTTTTCAGTTCTAATTGGCCTTGACACAGTAATGTGCAGCAAATGTGTGAACATGAGACATTGTCACTATGTAATGAAAGTATTTAACCTTAGAACTATACAATTTACAAAGCATAGAAGAAATGCCAAGAGGTTCATCTTCAATACTTGAATAAACCAAAGACGTATATGAATACACATTGCTGTGACCTCCAAATTCCATGTATCCAAAACTTAGTTTCTCTTAAGTTTTAATCATAGAAACAGCACTATCAGCTGATTGTCAATTGCCATTCTCTGTCAGTTTAACAACAAGTTTTAACAAATTACATATTTATGTTTCGAATTTATATACTCGAAACGTGTAAAGCGTTAAAGTGTCCTAATTTCCTAATCCCACACGAGCGACACGATTTGCACGTGTTTAAGACACACCAGATGATCTGTCAAAACAAGGTCATGGACGTCATGGTCATATCGATGTCCTTAATAATATTCTCCAAATAATGTAGCATTTTAATTAGCAAAAGGTGTATGTGAGAAGGCTGTGTTTTAATGTCAATAAGACTTACTCATTGTGTAATAGTCATCCAGTTTTTTGACCATTTGGTCGTGATTATTCTCCGCTTCCTCCATTGCGACCCTCTTAATGCCAAGGCGGTTGTCTAACCTTAGGTTCAAGCGCACGTTGTTCATGCCTGCTGATAGGTCCAGTCCTTATGAATATTATAATGAGGTAAACAAGTTGGGGGGTCAAAAGTTAAATTGTTATAGCTGTAGGTCGCGCATCTTTCCGTCGCTTGGATGTTTGTCAACGGCCACTGTGTCCTCACGCAAGCTAAGTCAATGTGACATAATCACAAATTTGACATGAATTATTGTCGTAAATATGACAAGAGATTGAATTTCAGTCGTAAAATTACTTTCCTTACAACTTATACACAAGGGGAGTTCGTGTGCGCGCTTCTACTGAATTCGTGAATAAGCAAAGGCTGACTCCACTTAAAATAGCGTTGCATGCTTGCCGAAAAATGCGACTATGCTGTCGTAAGAGACGACTAACGGGATCGGGTGGTCAGGCTCCCTGACTTGGTTGATGCATGTCATCGCATCCCAATTTTTCGTAGATCGATGCTCATATGATGCGCGTAATCACTAAAATACATGGAAGATCCAAACACTGGCACTGGTTTATATATAACCCATAAGGGTTAGCACCCATTTATATATATAGCCCAGAAGGATTGGGACTGGTTCATATATAACCCAGACTTGATTATTTAGAGATCACCACCATACAGCTGGAATATTGCTGAGTGCGGCGTTAAACAACAAACATACAACTACAAATAGCATTTTTAACTGACAACATTTTTCGTTTCAGGGCCACTTTGTGTCCCTTCCTCGGGCGTATTCCGAGTAAGCGTCCTGAGGCAATATATATAAGTGCTGATATGGCCACACAGGGTAGGATTCATCGGGTGGCAGGCTAAAATAGCACCTCAGCAAAACGTCACCGATTTTGGCTACTGGAGATAAAGCGAAAACGGCACCTTATATTTATAATAAAGATAAAAACGATTATGTAGTATTATTTATTTTTAATTATGAAGGGGCAAGAAGTGGCCCTGAAATTGTGGTACATAAAATAACGAAATTGTCATCCACAAAGTGGCATGTATTTATGATCTTCCAAGTTACAAATGCCTATGAAAGACTTCGTTGACATACATTTTCTAATATTTGAACATTCGTAAATGTAGGTGTACAACTATTCAGCTCATCGTGTTCAATATGAGAAAACCTATGTACACATTGTACAGAAGCCTATATATTTACGTAGATTTGTGGAACAACAGAACAAGATCAGCTACGTGTTGGTCATGCTCTCTGCAATCTCATTAAAATCAGATCTTAGAACTAAGATCTTATTTGAATGAGATCGTGCTCTATGACGATTTTATTCGTTTTCAAACTGTTGTGCACCTCTAATATTTCTAAGAAATACATGATTAACATCGCTGGATAACTTTGAAAATACACGCTGAGGGATATCGATATTATAAAGACTAAACAGTGGCAGCCTCATGCAGCTGTCAATCAGAAGGTGACATTGACACGTGCACGGACTTCTGTTGACATGAAACGGACAACAGGCACACGTGTCAGTATTGGCCCTCGTCTGACACGCAGACCCTGAAACATTATATATATGTATACACTTACACACCTGATGAAATCACTTTTATATATATCCAATAATGATTACTGCAGTATCAGGTCTGAAAATGAAGAAAGTATCTGGGCTCCTTTTTATTATATTTTATAACTATCATTTAACAATTGGTTGTTTTTTTAAACAGTTCATTTCAGAGGCTATAGATGTTTGTCTATATTGGTCTCTGTGTGTCATAATTTTCGACTTCAGAGTGGGTGAGTTGTTATTTCTGCCATATAACGAAGAGAAACATATCAAACATATTTTAGCATAACAATATGTTCGACTTCAGCCATTTTCAGGATAGTATTACTCTCATAATTCAATATTGTCACGTACACCTTGACAGAAGACAGATCGTATGCATAGTATATGAGGAATAACTGTGGATGCACCTTATATTCGATAGTAATATGTCCACTCCAACTTATTAACCAATTACAATAAGTACAAATAATAAACTTACATATAGAGCAACAGAAATAATTATAAAATATCGCCTCCATCGTTAAATGTTTTATTCAATAATAGGATTGATATATTGGCGTGAAGTTCACCTATTTCATAACATTACCTATCTATACACACGTTCTAAATGATCAGATCATCTTTTGAAATAAAGCGACAAAGTCCTTTCCACAATCACACATCTCTGCTAAAAGCAGAGTCCATTCTCTCATTCTGTCTATATCATGAGCATATGTTTCTGCATCAGTATCAAATAGTGATGATACCAGGTGTTTGCGAAAAGGATAGCGTATCCTGTCCCACTGGTGGCATAAACACATACCATTGAACGTAATTTGTTCAGCAGAACAAAAAACGGAAACATATATGGTACAAGTCAAGGGTCATAGAGAAAACGGTCACGTCAAAAAATGGCCCCAGGTAATTTGGAGAAACTCTGGCCTATCTGCTTATTGAATTGGCATGTTCTTTTGAAAATAACAGTTAATAATGTCAAATGGGAAACACAGGTCTCCCATGTATAAACTGTATAAATGTATAATCTAGATAACTAGAAGGTAGGGAAATATTCGCGTCGCTTCTACCACACGGTTAAGAATATCTCCCACTCTGACGTGTTTATAAACAATTTATGTCTTGACAAAGTAAATGCCGCTTTCAACTTCAAACATATATACAAGACTTGTGCACATGTGCATTTTCCTGGTGGAAGAGTACGCTTTTCCCCTTGACATTTAGCCTTGATATTCTCACGCAGTTGCCAAAGAGTATTTGCATAATATATTGGTAATTCATGGTCTGACTTTTCAGGAGGTAGTCAAGCAGTAGAATTCCTTTGGGGTTCCAGAAAACCGAAGCCATCACCTTTTCAGCTGATGGAACAGTCTTTGCCTTCTTCGGAGAGGTGGCGTTAGGTGTTTCCACTAACGGTGAACCTAAGACCCAGCCATAGTTGAACTACTCGTTCAGCGGATGTTTTTCAAAACGACGTATATTCTCACGAGAGAAGACGAACCTGGAGCGTTTGTGGTCAGCAATCAGAAGCCTGGCCCTGGAAGCCAACGTGAAACCTTTGTCATGCCAAATTCAGTCCTCAGAATTTTCTCTAGTGTGTCTCCCATACCAGGTACGTCTCTGCACAGACCCAAGAGAATAAATTAAAAAAGGAGTCCAACTCAAGTCTAGAATGATTTGGCAAGTATAGGTTGTCTCATGACTAAATATTGTCCTTGGCTCCATTTTTTTGTGTGTAGATATGTAAGAATGAATTTTACACCAGGGCAATTTACCCCCAAAATACCAATATATTTCAGTCATTTGACAATTATTTTTACATTTATTTTATGATGAAGAATTCTCATAATTTTGTATGCTCTTTTTCATCACCCAGTGACTTAGTGAGAATGACAGGATTAAAAGAATTAAACGAAAGTAACAATTTTGGCTTCTAATCCTACCACAATTAGTCTATTGTGATGGGTTTTTTTTAACCCTTTTGAACTTCTTAATAACTTTTAGACAATCTGACGTAAAAATAATTGTACAATGACATTTTGGCATTTAATAAATTACCTTTTTGAAAAATTCAGCCATTTTACACTTTGACTAAATAATATAACTTTATTTGTGGGCCTAAATGTCAGTGTAAATGTTCTCAACTCATGAGAAATGCCTACTGTATTGGCTATATGTCTAGTGGTAATCATATAAAGTGGTAATCGACAAATCCGGAGAATGCGCTATTACGATATTAGTGTTTAGGTTAATACTATGTTATAAGCGGAAACAGTATGGTTTGCGACATTTACGACATTTGAGTTGGTGCTGACTCTGAAGATGCGAATATGTTTCTCAAATTGACATTAGTTTTGATTATTTTAGAATGTCTTTCACTTCAATGTATGGCGTCATTGTCCGATGTGACATCTCTGGTGTTTGGCGATTCTTCAAGGGGGATTGTTGCTGCCTTTGGCGACTTTGATGCTGATAAATCAACGGATATGTTTGTGGTGTCAAATGATGGTAATATACAAGCATGATAGTTGACTACCTGACTCTGACTCATATCTTGATGTCATGTGTTCTAATACGGATTAAGATTTAGATTTAACGATTCCAGATATGAGACACGGTTTCATATCGTTTCATTTTCTCAGACACTGACTGATTATCATCCAAAATGTTAAAACTTGTTTATTAGGTTTCTCGAAAGTTGATAAAATATGAAAATATCCTAATGTCATTTGTCTCCAGCATAATCAAATTAGCAATTTTCTGAAATAATAAAAATAAAAGCATGTGCTGATGTCCCTTCGAGGAATGTTTATATCCAATGTCTTGTAAACATTCTCATAGCAAGTGCATGCATCAGGACTGGAGTGATCATATTGCTAGATATAACATGTTGTTGTTACCCTTATGTTTAAATTAAATAAATTGCAATGACAACATACAGAATATGTCTTTGAAGCCCACAATTTATAAGAAAACAAATTTATAAGGGACAACTGATTAGAGCTAGACGCTTAATACAATGAATATGATAGTAGTGTTACATGGACCTTTCTTGTGTATGCTAAGCAGCCCTTGAAGGTCTGTGTGGTCTGTCAGTCAACTGAAACATTCATGACCTCCCATTAATTTCAGCCGTACTTCTGTACCAGGGATTCAGTGTTATGTACTGTACAGTGTTGGTCTGCTGGTCAAAACGTGTACTGATTGTACATGTATATGTCAAAAGGAGCTCAAGAGATAGAAAAAGAAAGAAGTAATGTCTTTAGAATCATGGTGAACACACAAACACACACAGCAGGCACTTACACACAAACACATGGTATACAGGGTAGACACGCATAGACACACACACAGCCAGTGTTTGACACCAACACTGGTCCACAGGTCTGTATATTTTCTTAAAGTGCAATTAAAGTGAAAGAAATGATTGCAATCTTTTTGTGAATATAATTTTTTCGAGATACGTTTAGTCAATTTCCGAAAGAGAAAAATTATTAATATTAGTAGAAGGTATTTGAATGTCCTAGTGAAAATGCTGCAATCACACGCTCCATAATCAGGCTTCCAAAACCAACCTATTTAGGGGGATGGCCAAAAGCTACAGTTAAAATTTATTGTTTTCACTGGCTGTTACGTTTGCCACGTTTATCTATCTTGTGATTCTCAGCCGTTATACACATACTGTTTCTGCTATTTCTGTTAATCCTGTAAATATTATCAACATTGCATATATAAATTGTTGAATGTGTGAAATGACCCTTGATCTTGACATTGTGAACAATTCAGATAACAATTAATGATCGGTAACTAGAGTTTAATTACTAACATCCTGTTTGGGTAACAAAAAAACAGCTGCCCTCATCCCTAATCCCATCAAAACTGCCTGTCAGGGATTTATCCCCTGGGTAAACAACTGAAGGCATCTTCGGTAGTGTGACTAAGGTGACATAAGTTGTGGACACACTAATCAAATAGATAAGCAGACAGTTATAGGACATGTGTATTGCAAAACCCGAGGCAGAAGCAGGCGTTGGCCCAATTGTCATGAGTGTTGAATTTGTGCAGCGCATCAAACACCAGGAACACATTTGAACCTCCAGTAGGGGAATTCCATGCTGTTGAGGAATGTTTTGTTGTGGCGATGATTTGCCTGTCGCTTTTTTTATTGTCTGTTTTACGCTTTTTCTGGTTTTCAAATTTAATTGTGGTCAAGCATTTGTGATTGAGTATGCCCTAAAGTATTAAAATCTGCAAAGTTGACCATCTTCCTGAGGCAAGGGAGTTAACTATAAACTTAACTATAAAAGTCCATTTGCCACCCTGAAGATGAAAGTTGCCATGTTGACTATATTTGTCCTTTAAGGACCAGAAAAGCTGCATAAATGCTGGTCAGTTGGTCTAGCTGTCTAGTGTTACTTTGGGGACGCAGAGAGAAATCTAAGTTTGTATGACTTTGGAAATCAGCGATAGATTGACTCTGAACTAACTCAAAGCAAAACTGGCAACCTAAACAACCCTGCGTGGAACAGTGGTTACTTTCCTGACTCATACACATGCACACAAACGCACAGGCATGCATACGACTCGAAATGAAAACAGTAAATTACGTTTTATTTATATAGGCAATGCAACGACTATAAATTAATTATAAATCAGTCAAACATACATATGTATGTAATCAAGTGTGCAAACCCTCAACATCATGTAATATAAAATCATTTTGCTGGATCTGAAATAACTTGCCTTGCTTTTATATATACCCGGTAGCTTGACTGAAAACATGGAGACTACAGTACAACTAACCATGGAACATGATCTTCACACTGGAAGTTGTAGTAGTTTTAGAGACATTCCAACGAAAGTGATCCTGACCCAGAAATCCATGATATCATCCAGCCCATTATCAGTCCCATGCTCAAAATACAAAATCAAGTTTATCCTGAGACAAATGTAATGTATTAATGTCAAATATATTGTTTTAACTAGCAGTCCATTATTTTCCTTTGAAATCCAGGTCAGTATTTTGACTTACTTATATATGTCAGAACTTAGCATCGAAAACTCCAATCTTTATGTGGTTTCCAGTGGTAGGTTCCTCAGTATCCAAGGAAGTTAGTTACTGCACATGTGCAGCTCTAGGAATCTCCTCACTATGAATAATGTGTATGGGGTACCCTTTTTGGTTTTGTCAGCAATGGCTATTGAATCATTAACATCATGTGAACATGATTAAAGAAGCCAGACTTGATTAGAGATTCCGGACATTTCCCACTTGTTCTCACGAGTTATGTTAAACATGTATGCAGAGTACTATTGTTTTGTTTGTGATAAAATGTCGGTATTTATTCTTAACATGTTAAAGGAATACTTTCTATTCTCAAAACATGCCTGGATCTGTAGATTGGAATTTTACAATCCCTTCATACTTTTACCGATGCCTGAAAGTCCTAGACTCAACCCCACTTAGGCCTCTTTAGCTGTTCAGGGTGGTGGGGCAGCCTAGTGGACTCAACCCCATTAAGGCCTCTTTAGCTGTTCGGGGTGGTGGGGCAGCCTAGTGGACTCAACCCCATTAAGGCCTCTTTAGCTGTTCGGGGTGGTGGGGCAGCCTAGTGGACAACCCCATTTAGGCCTCTTTAGCTGTTCGGGGTGGTGGGGCAGCCTAGTGGACTCAACCCCATTTAGGCCTCTTTAGCTGTTCGGAGTGGTGGGGCAGGCGTGTGGTCAAAGCAGTCACTTGTGATGCCAACGGCCCAGGTTCGATTCCCCTCATGGGTACAATGTGAGGAGTCCATTTCTGGTGCCCCCCACTATGATATTGCTAGAATATTGCTAAAAGCAGCATTAAATCCAACTCACTCACTCTTTAGCTACTCTACAATGAGATAAAATCAGGCCAGCTTGTTCAAGGCCAAAAGTCGTCTCATTGTTTTTACAGATTCTGCTAGATGATACTCAATTAATCAAATTTTCTGATTTGCTTTTTTAGGAAAAAATCTGTGTTTGCTTCTGGGTCATGCTGACCTGACACCAACTGTGACAGACATTCCTTTCCTGAATCGCACTATCCTCGACAGCACCGATATAGCCCCTCTGTCTATCACCAGCGTGGTGCCAGCAGACTTCAACGGGGACTCCATGATGGATGTGATGTTAACACTTCAGGATAAAGGCCAGACCAGCAACTCCTTGAGTGTCAGGATTTACTGGGGAAATGGAGTGAATGTTGATAGAAGTAAGGTGGAAAACATAGACAAGAAAATGTCTCTGTCTGAAGAAATCAGTTCGTCTGACTAGTTTGGATTTGTAATTAAGCCAGTATCAGACCTTGGACCTCAGATGACACTCTTTTAATTTTCAGTTTATTGACTGACCTGAAGAAAAAAAGTATTCAGAAAATATGATTTTTTTAACTTATCCTGCATTACTCCTTAATGCATCTACTGCTTGTTCTTGATAGTAAGAAATAGGTGTGTGAAGTATTGCTGAAGAAGTTGTTCCAACTAGTTGTGTGGTTTAGCCCATCACAGCTCCCACGTGACCACTGAAGTGATGACGTCACAGATCAGCACATTACTGCTGTCACTCACAGAAGCAAGACCTGTGTTTTGAAAACTCATGCAATACTTGTGTGTTTGATATCTTTAGTGATATATCTTGTGACTATATTGTGCCTCCGGTTTGTATTCTCATATATTTCATATGATTTACGCCATAGCATAATAATTGGACACCTGGTGGTGCGTTTTTCACCAGGTACTTATTTATTGAAGTATTTTTGCAATTATTTTGTTAATTAAAGCGGTGTTGTTTTATGTGTTCATGAAAACATTTTTTTCATAAACTCACATGGCTGGGAAAAAAGATAGCATACAAAATCAGACCGTGACACATTGTGATTAAAGTCTGCTTCAGATAACATGCCATCTTGTAACAAGTGCTGATGTAATAAATCGGCGTGGGATCCCCATCCCTCAGTGCCTAAATTGTACGTCTCCATGCTCCCAGTCTACAAAATGTAAAGACTGTCTCCCTCATTCCCCCACAGCTTTTGGCAAATATTTTCAAGTGTCTCGTAAAGACGCCGTACATGGACCCTCTGTGGCTCCACTATCAAATGCTACTGCCTCAGTTCCCGGCGTCTTCGGCTTTGGCCATGGTCTCAGCTACCCCTGCTCCTACAGCATCTCTACAAGCGCCCTACAGCCGCCTCCCCTGACGTCTTCACAGCCGTCCCTACCGGTGTCCCTACAAGCGCCTCTACAGCATCTCTTCAAGCGCCATTACAGCTGCCCTCCTGGCGTCTTCGCAGGCGTCTCTTCCCCCAGTCGTCCAATGTGTCGAGACTCCTGTAGGAGACTAAGCTGACCAATTCCGAATAATCCACAATCTTGCTACCTTCAACAAGCGCTACCTGACTCATCCACCATACTACCAGATGACCACACTTAGAAAATTCCTCCGCTTCATCTTCATGGGAGTCCACTATCAATGGGCGGTCCTCCCATTTGGATTTTCACACGTCGCCAAGCCAATAGCCTCGTTCCTTCACACGAGGAATGTCCAATTCGAGGCATATATAGACAATTGCCTCCTGAACCACCAGAACACGGCCACACTCCTATGTCACAGGGACTGCACGCAATCTCCTCCTTCATCTGGAATGGATGATCAATCTACGGAAGTCAGAGCTCACGCCTTCATTCCGTCTTCAATTCATCAGGGGCTTCTTTCAAACCAGGTGGGACCGAATCAAACTCCACTTGCTCCCGACAATCCATCAATAACACACTCTGCGCCAGTTGCAAGCGCTCTTAGGTCTCCTAACATCAGCACAGGACCTGACTTCCAGAGGAAGGCTCCAACTGATACCAGATGTTCCTGGCCCCATACATCACGCCCCAAACCTGTTGGCGTCCATCGTCCTCCCAGACCGTCTCAAGCCTCTTCACCAGTGGTGGTCTGGGATGGATGATCAATCAACAGAAGTCAGTGCTCATGCCTTCATTCTGTCTGGGGGCCTCTTTCAAGCCGACCGAGACCTCCTCTCTGTACCCAGACCAGAGACCAGTAGGACCAACTCCAACTCCACTTGCTCCCGGCAATCCACCAATCACACACTCTGTGCCAGTGGGCAAGCTCTCTTAGGTCTCCTAACATCAGCACAGGACCTGACCTCCAGAGGAAGGCTCCAACTGCACTGATACGTTCCTGGCCCCCGACATCAGTCGCCAGGACCGGTCGGCGTCCATCATCCTCCAGGACCGTCTCAACCCTCATCTCTGGTGGTTGTCGGTGGAATCGAACATCTTAGACGGCATCTCTTTGACAGCTTACACCTATTCGTCGACTCCTCTCTTCATGGATGGGGAGCGCACCAGGAAGGGCAAGTCGCCTCAGGGCTGAAGTCTGCCGCTCAACAGCATTGGCATATCAACAACCTTGAACTGGAGGAACCATACTGGCTCTCCAGCAAGTGTGGATCACCACTCGATGGACAACATTACCATCGTCTGGTGTCTCCGGAACCAAGGAACAACCAACTCCCAATCGCTCATTCAGCACATGTTCTGGATCTTCAATCTGGTCTATCAAATTGGGCTCCGATTCCGGGTCCAACACCTCCTAGCCCTTCCTGTACTCTTCCCAGGGTCATTTGAAGATCAGGTCAACACAGAGCATCGATCTGACTTTGATCACGCCCTGGTGGCCAGCGAGGGGTAGGATCGTTGATCTCAGAAAGATAGCTGCCACTAACCCTCTCCCACTTCCAGACTGGCTGAATCTTCTGATTCATCCACACAGTAAATGACCACACCAGACAGGTTACAACTACACGTCTGGTCCATCTTCAAAGAGCCCTAAGTGCCAGGAGTTACTCGGCCAGAGCGGCAAAGGCCATTACATTGGCACATCGACCGTCTACCAGAAGTCTGTATAACATCAAGTGGTTTTTGCAAGGAAAAACATTAGAATCCCACCTCTGTGTCTCCTCAATTCCTGACGGAGTTCCTTTTTTTCCTGCGCCACAAGCATCATCTGGAGGGAAGCACCATTCAGACGTACCTTGTGGCCCATCAGGTACATTCCAAAAAATCGGAAAATGAAGTTCCCGTCACTCCAAGCCTTGACTCGCTCTTTCAGATTGGAAGACCAGAAGGCTGAGTTTAGACCTCCAGCTTGGGATCTGAACGTAGTCCTCACCCTCCTGAGAGGCACACCCTTTGAATTCTGACAAAGAAGACGGTCTTCCTCCTGCCTCTCGCCACGCTGGTGCATGTAAGCGAGATCCACACACTGGTTGGATGCCGGTCGGGTTTGAGGAGTGGACTGGGACTTTATTGCCAAGAACCAGCTCCCAGGACAGCCAGACAGATCCTTTTTAATCCTACCTCTATCATCGATAGTGGGAACGGAGGATGAACAATAACTCCTACTGTGTCAGGTGAGAGAGCTACCATGTTTCATCCGCCAATCCAAGGATCGCCGTAAACAACATTCCGGTGTCAGCAACATTGCAGGTGGTACTCAGCCGCAACACCATCGCCCTCTAACTTTGGGCCATCATTATCCAGGCCTACGAGTCGGCAGGTCTGGATCCTCCAACAGCCAGCAACCCACACTAGATCCGGGCGGGTGCCTCCACCATGGAGCTTCACAGCAACTGCTCCACACACGCCACTATGGAAGGTTGTTTCAGGCGTTCCGACACCGTGTTTGCCAGTCACTATCTGTGAGATGTCACCTTAGAAAATGTGCAAGGCATGCACAGCTTAAGCCCTTTAGTGGTGGCCTGATCCGTCGGATTCAGATGCATTAAGGAGTAATGCAGGATAAGTTAAAAAATCCTAGAGGTTTTTTATATTTGTATTCTTATCCTGCATTACTGCGTCTAAAGGGACCCATCCGTCGCAGAGCTGCCTCCCCACGATAGCTTCAGATGTTCTGGTTTTTAGCAGTTATGTGCTAATCCGTGACGTCATCACTTCCGTTGTCACGTGGGAGCTGTGATAGGGTTGGCCTCACAACTAGTTGAAACAACTTCTTCAGCAAGACTTCACACAGCTCTTTCTCACTGTCAAGAACAAGCAGTAGATGCATTAAGGAGTAATGCAGGATAAGTATACAAATATAAAAAATATAAAAAATATCTAGAATTTTACTTGTTTCATATTAAGATAAGTCAATAGTATTTTAATTTATTTTTTATGTCAGTTTGCTCTTTGATGGATTTGAAAAATAGAAAGATAATACTACAAAATTACCTAAGAAGTAACTGACTCTTTAAGGTAATAATTGGTCAAATGTATTGTATGTAGTTTCTGGCCAGTGCAAACAAATATTAAATGAACAAATCCTTCTTGTACCAAACTAAGTGTATATATACATGTTGCGGTAATAACAGCACCTGCTCCCTTTCAGCAGAATGAGCATTTGTTTTTCTCCACTATACCAACCGGACCAAACAACGAAGTGATATATACACACAGTTATTTTCATTTTCACCAAGCTAACAAAGCTCATTGGTTTAAAATATATGTTTTATAAATTTATAATCTCAAAACTTGTGTATTTTGTGTGTTATCCAAGATTAATTAATATGTTGTATTTCAGAATCCCCTCTGAACCTGGAAGAAACATTAAGGGATCAACCAACAGTTCTTGAGTAAGCTTCATGACGTTTTAGCTCACCTCTAGTGGACCAATGAATACCCTTGAATCTGTTCAACAGGTTTTCAATATGGCTGCCACAGCTTCCATATTGAAAAACCAATACATGGCTAGTTTTTTATTTTTTTTACAATGCAATACAATTTGTATTTGCATTGTTAGTCATAGAACTGAGTACATATATGTAAGTTGCAGTATTTGCAAATATTATAAAAAGAATTGCCTTTGCGTTTTGACCATACTCATTTTACCTTCATCTACCATGGTGGCTGCCGATAAGACCTTGGCAATCATAATGTAAGCTTGGCCTCCTATATAGCCAGTTATGAATGCATTAATGAATAGTTTAATCAGTAGGCTGTGAGGATGTCAGTTGCTTAGAAACTTCTGCTATTTCTTTACTTATTTTTCTTTACCTTGTATGTTCTTTCTGATCTGATATCATGTTCTAGAAAATTTCAAATATTAACTTGACTGAGAGTGTGTATCTTGACTTTCCAGTGCTAATGGTGACATGATCCCTGATTTGCTTGCGGAGTTCACAAACAAGTCTCGGGCTTTTTGGATATTCAGGTAAACTTCAGTATGGGAACTTTGGCAAAAAAGAACCCCAGTCCCTAATGCTGATTGTAAAAGTCAATCGTGGAGAACTGCTAGACCTAGTAGATTATATTTTCTTGTATTTGATCCTTGGTATCACCACTTCACATCGGCGATAGATTGACTTACATTTTGTCGTTAAGCCTCACTCCCTGACAGCTGGAGCCATCCTCCCTTGCCTCCTGTCTCCTGTATGACTCACTCTGTCCTGTATGACCCACTTTCCTGTATGACCCACTCTGTCCTGTATGACAGACTCTGTCCTTTATGACCCACTCTCCTGTATGACCCACTCTGTCCTGTATGACCCACTCGGTCCTGTATGACCCACTCTCCTGTATGACCCACTCTGTCCTGTATGATCCACTCTCCTGTATGACCCACTCTCCTGTATGACCCACTCTGTCCTGTATGACCCACTCTGTCCTGTATGACCCACTCTGTCCTGTATGACCCACTCTGTCCTGTATGATGGACTCTGTCCTGTATGACCCACTCTGTCCTGTATGACCCACTCTCCTGTATGACCCACTCTGTCCTGTATGATGGACTCTGTCCTGTATGACCCACTCTGTCCTGTATGCCCCACTCTCCTGTATGACCCACTCTGTCCTGTATGCCCCACTCTGTCCTGTATGACCCACTCTGTCCTGTATGACCCACTCTCCTGTATGACCCACTCTGTCCTGTATGACCCACTCTCCTGTATAACCCACTCTCCTGTATGACCCACTCTGTCCTGTATGCCCCACTCTCCTGTATGCCCCACTCTGTCCTGTATGACCCACTCTGTCCTGTATGATGGACTCTGTCCTGTATGACCAACTCTGTCCTGTATGACCCACTCTGTCCTGTATGACCCACTCTGTCCTGTATGACCCACTCTGTCCTGTATGATCCACTCTCCTGTATGACCCACTCTCTTGTATGACCCACTCTGTCCTGTATGACCCACTTTCCTGTATGACCCACTCTGTCCTGTATGACCCACTCTCCTGTGTGACCCACTCTGTCCTGTATGACCCACTCTCCTGTATGACCCACTCTGTCCTGTATGCCCCACTCTCCTGTATGCCCCACTCTGTCCTGTATGACCCACTCTGTCCTGTATGATGGACTCTGTCCTGTATGACCAACTCTGTCCTGTATGACCCACTCTGTCCTGTATGACCCACTCTGTCCTGTATGATCCACTCTCCTGTATGACCCACTCTCTTGTATGACCCACTCTGTCCTGTATGACCCACTTTCCTGTATGACCCACTCTGTCCTGTATGACCCACTCTCCTGTGTGACCCACTCTGTCCTGTATGACCCACTCTCCTGTATGACCCACTCTGTCCTGTATGATGGACTCTGTCCTGTATGACCAACTCTGTCCTGTATGACCCACTCTGTCCTGTATGACCCACTCTGTCCTGTATGATCCACTCTCCTGTATGACCCACTCTCCTGTGTGACCCACTCTGTCCTGTATGACCCACTCTCCTGTATGACCCACTCTGTCCTGTATGATGGACTCTGTCCTGTATGACCAACTCTGTCCTGTATGACCCACTCTCCTGTATGACCCACTCTGTCCTGTATGACCCACTCTGTCCTGTATGACCCACTCTGTCCTGTATGACCCACTCTGTCCTGTATGACCCACTCTCCTGTATGACCCACTCTCTTGTATGACCCACTCTGTCCTGTATGACCCACTTTCCTGTATGACCCACTCTGTCCTGTATGACCTACTCTCCTGTGTGACCCACTCTGTCCTGTATGACCCACTCTGTCCTGTATGACCCACTCTCCTGTATGACCCACTCTCCTGTATGACCCACTCTCTTGTATGACCCACTCTGTCCTGTATGACCCACTCTGTCCTGTATGATCCACTCTCCTGTATGACCCACTCTCCTGTATGACCCACTCTGTCCTGTATGACCCACTCTGTCCTGTATGACCCACTCTGTCCTGTATGCCCCACTCTGTCCTGTATGACCCACTCTCTTGTATGACCCACTCTGTCCTGTATGACCCACTCTCCTGTATGACCCACTCTGTCCTGTATGATCCACTCTCCTGTATGACCCACTCTGTCCTGTATGATCCACCCTCCTGTATGATCCACTCTGTCCTGTATGACCCACTCTCCTGTATGACCCACTCTCCTGTATGACCCACTCTCTTGTATGACCCACTCTGTCCTGTGTTGCAGTGAGCACAAGAACTACACAGTCAAGTACGTGCACAACGACACCTCTACCCAGCTGCCGGACCTGTACATCCCACAGGCATCGGGATTCCTTGACATCAACCACGACATGACACCAGGTAGCTACAGCAACCATTTTCTCAGGTCTCTCTGTTCTAGAGTAAGTCTGCCAAATTCGTAATACGCACCAAAAGTGGGGATTGTTCATGCTATCATCCACATCTTTGTTTCTTGAGGAGACAGCGATACATTCTGTGGTGGGTAAACTCAAGCACTGTTTGACAAGTCAGCGTTGTTTCCTACCAAATAGTTAGACAAATTGATATAATGAGTAAACAACGGTTATACTGTTTTTATAATATTGGTGTGTTGCATGAGCTACAAGGTTACCATCTACACTTTTTCAAACTTTCAAAATGCTGTTCCTTGCATTGAAATGTTGCTTTGATGTAAATAAGAGTAGTAATTCTCCATACCGTCCTTTGTGAATGGCCTATTAAGGCAGATACTGTAATATCTATTGCAAAATACATCATTTATTATGTTTGTTTGCCTCTGACAATAATGTATCCTAATTCTGAGGGTTTGCAGACTCCCTTGAGCACAATCCGATTCGTATGGCTGGGACGGGTAACTCGGGTACTCGGGTCAGGTGGGTCCTGAGCAGGATCCGGGTACCCATTGCACTACCCAGAATGACATTAACAGTAAAACTCCATGGTTACACTACAAGTTTAGCAAATGTTCACATTTCTTTATGACTATGCAAGCATTCGTTCTGACGTTTATGTGTTCGAGTAAGGACAAAGCATCTGACAACTTCAGTGTATACATGATCAGATCATTTGATACATGTATCTAAATAGTTTTTGCCAGGGCTGAGGTAAAACAATTCCCAATCAGACATTCTGTACTCAACTCTTGACACCTACAGTGGGTGCCCTACAGTGGGTGCCCTACAGCGGGTGCCCTACAACGAGTATCTTATAGCAGGTGCCCTACAGCAGGTGCCCTACAACAAGTATCTTATAGCGGCTGCCCTACAGCAGGTGCCCTACAACAAGTATCTTATAGCAGGTGCCCTACAGCGGGTGCCCTACAACGAGTATCTTATAGCAGGTGCCCTACAACAAGTATCTTATAGCGGGTGCCCTACAACGAGTATCTTATAGCAGGTGCCCTACAGCGGGTGCCCTACAACGAGTATCTTATAGCGGGTGCCCTACAACGAGTATCTTATAGCGGGTGCCCTACAACGAGTATCTTATAGCAGGTGCCCTACAGCGGGTGCCCTACAACGAGTATCTTATGGCGGGTGCCCTACAACGAGTATCTTATAGCAGGTGCCCTACAGCGGGTGCCCTACAACGAGTATCTTATAGCGGGTGCCCTACAACGAGTATCTTATAGCGGTAGCCCTACAACGAGTATCTTATAGCGGCTGCCCTACAACGAGTATCTTATAGCAGGTGCCCTACAGCGGGTGCCCTACAACGAGTATCTTATAGCGGGTGCCCTACAACGAGTATCTTATAGCAAGTGCCCTACAGCGGGTGCCCTACAACGAGTATCTTATGGCGGCTGCCCTACAACGAGTATCTTATAGCAGGTGCCCTACAGCGGGTGCCCTACAACGAGTATCTTATAGCGGGTGCCCTACAACGAGTATCTTATAGCGGTAGCCCTACAACGAGTATCTTATAGCGGCTGCCCTACAACGAGTATCTTATAGCAGGTGCCCTACAGCGGGTGCCCTACAACGAGTATCTTATAGCGGGTGCCCTACAACGAGTATCTTATAGCGGGTGCCCTACAACGAGTATCTTATAGCGGGTGCCCTACAACGAGTATCTTATAGTGGGTGCCCTACAACGAGTATCTTATAGCGGGTGCCCTACAACGAGTATCTTATAGCGGCTGCCCTACAACGAGTATCTTATAGCGGCTGCCCTACAACGAGCATCTTATAGCGGCTGCCCTACAACGAGTATCTTATAGCAGCTGCCCTACAACGAGTATCTTATAGCCGCTGCCCTACAACGAGTATCTTATAGCGGCTGCCCTACAACGAGTATCTTATAGCGGCTGCCCTACAACGAGTATCTTTTAGCAGGTGCCCTACAGCGGGTGCCCTACAACGAGTATCTTATGGCGGGTGCCCTACAACGAGTATCTTATAGCAGGTGCCCTACAGCGGGTGCCCTACAACGAGTATCTTATAGCGGGTGCCCTACAACGAGTATCTTATAGCGGTAGCCCTACAACGAGTATCTTATAGCGGCTGCCCTACAACGAGTATCTTATAGCAGGTGCCCTACAGCGGGTGCCCTACAACGAGTATCTTATAGCGGGTGCCCTACAACGAGTATCTTATAGCAAGTGCCCTACAGCGGGTGCCCTACAACGAGTATCTTATGGCGGCTGCCCTACAACGAGTATCTTATAGCAGGTGCCCTACAGCGGGTGCCCTACAACGAGTATCTTATAGCGGGTGCCCTACAACGAGTATCTTATAGCGGTAGCCCTACAACGAGTATCTTATAGCGGCTGCCCTACAACGAGTATCTTATAGCAGGTGCCCTACAGCGGGTGCCCTACAACGAGTATCTTATAGCGGGTGCCCTACAACGAGTATCTTATAGCAAGTGCCCTACAGCGGGTGCCCTACAACGAGTATCTTATGGCGGCTGCCCTACAACGAGTATCTTATAGCAGGTGCCCTACAGCGGGTGCCCTACAACGAGTATCTTATAGCGGGTGCCCTACAACGAGTATCTTATAGCGGTAGCCCTACAACGAGTATCTTATAGCGGCTGCCCTACAACGAGTATCTTATAGCAGGTGCCCTACAGCGGGTGCCCTACAACGAGTATCTTATAGCGGGTGCCCTACAACGAGTATCTTATAGCGGGTGCCCTACAACGAGTATCTTATAGCGGGTGCCCTACAACGAGTATCTTATAGTGGGTGCCCTACAACGAGTATCTTATAGCGGGTGCCCTACAACGAGTATCTTATAGCGGCTGCCCTACAACGAGTATCTTATAGCGGCTGCCCTACAACGAGCATCTTATAGCGGCTGCCCTACAACGAGTATCTTATAGCAGCTGCCCTACAACGAGTATCTTATAGCCGCTGCCCTACAACGAGTATCTTATAGCGGCTGCCCTACAACGAGTATCTTATAGCGGCTGCCCTACAACGAGTATCTTTTAGCAGGTGCCCTACAGCGGGTGCCCTACAACGAGTATCTTATAGCGGGTGCCCTACAACGAGTATCTTATAGCAGGTGCCCTACAGCGGGTGCCCTACAACGAGTATCTTATAGCGGGTGCCCTACAACGAGTATCTTATAGCGGTAGCCCTACAACGAGTATCTTATAGCGGCTGCCCTACAACGAGTATCTTATAGCAGGTGCCCTACAGCGGGTGCCCTACAACGAGTATCTTATAGCGGGTGCCCTACAACGAGTATCTTATAGCAAGTGCCCTACAGCGGGTGCCCTACAACGAGTATCTTATGGCGGCTGCCCTACAACGAGTATCTTATAGCAGGTGCCCTACAGCGGGTGCCCTACAACGAGTATCTTATAGCGGGTGCCCTACAACGAGTATCTTATAGCGGTAGCCCTACAACGAGTATCTTATAGCGGCTGCCCTACAACGAGTATCTTATAGCAGGTGCCCTACAGCGGGTGCCCTACAACGAGTATCTTATAGCGGGTGCCCTACAACGAGTATCTTATAGCGGGTGCCCTACAACGAGTATCTTATAGCGGGTGCCCTACAACGAGTATCTTATAGTGGGTGCCCTACAACGAGTATCTTATAGCGGCTGCCCTACAACGAGTATCTTATAGCGGCTGCCCTACAACGAGCATCTTATAGCGGCTGCCCTACAACGAGTATCTTATAGCAGCTGCCCTACAACGAGTATCTTATAGCCGCTGCCCTACAACGAGTATCTTATAGCGGCTGCCCTACAACGAGTATCTTATAGCGGCTGCCCTACAACGAGTATCTTTTAGTGGCTGCCCTACAACGAGTATCTTTTAGCGGGTACCCTACAACGAGTATCTTATAGCGGCTGCCCTACAACGAGTATCTTATAGCGGCTGCCCTACAACGAGTATCTTATAGTGGGTGCCCTACAACGAGTATCTTATAGTGGGTGCCCTACAACGAGTATCTTTTAGCGGGTACCCTACAGCGGGTACCTTATAGTGGGTGCCCTATTGATTCCTGGAAACACACATCATAGAAGCTGGTTCCGAGGCCGCCAACTCAGCTGGATGAGGAAGTTTGAATGACAGATTGTGTTGCTTGACTAATCCGGGCTTGTTCTCTGTTCAGATTTGATCGTGATGTCTGTTGACTCCCAGATGAAGAAACAGTTTGAGATCTGGAATAATACAGTGAGTTTGCCCTGCGCTTTGTGATTGGATATCTCTGTCATACATGACACTCAATCAAAAGTATCAAGTTGTGAAATGTTCAATGTCTGTTTTTAAATAACATGAGTAAGAGGCGACTAACGGGACCGGTGTCAGGCTAGGTGTCTTGGCTGATGCATCTCATTGTATCCCCATTGCGTAGATCAATTACTGGATTGTCTGGTCAAGTCTCGATTATTTGCAGACCGCTGTTATTTAGCTGGAATATTGTGAGTGAGTGCAGTGTTAGCAAACAAGCAACTAACAAGCAAAGTTAACATGATTGCAACATTTCCATGTCTAATAATAAACTATAAATCCATTGGTATCTGATGAAAGAATTTTGTGTCTTCAGAATGGAGAGTTCATTTGGAACCAAACAATTCCTCTCCCTGAGGAAGCCATAGAAACGGGACATCCAACATTTGTTGACATGAGTAAGTACCTTGTTGCTGATTCATAGCATCCTGCAAGGCCTTCTTCATATATCTGAGAGTTGTGTTCCTTAGGCCCAGAAACCTGTGATTGTGGGTTCAAATCCCAGAGTCACTGTGATTATGTTTCTAGGTTTGTAAACAATATGAATGCTTGTGTGTTTCACCAATGAGGTAAATGTCTAAGACCTGCAGCGCTTTCCTCTTACATCAAGATGACATGTTGGATATAACTTGTTATCTGAAATACTGCAACCACAAAGACCTCATTCACTCCCATTTGGGCCAAAGTATGTAGTACTCAACATGTTCAGAGGTGGTGAAACGTCGCTATTTAAGTGCAATAATCTGGACGCGACGTTAAACCCAATTTGACCTCACCAGAGGTGGTGAAATATCCAGAAGATGTATCCCTTTTAATGATTTTTAACAAATCCGACTGCAGCCGTACATTTGTTCTGCAACAGTGATTAGCATGATTGACAAGTAACAGAAATAAAATGAATTTTCACTTTGATATTAAAAAGAAATTATGAATACATATTGCAGAATTTGTTATAAGTTTGATATGTTTGATATTCTATAATTGTTGCAGATAGCGATCACCGCATAAACATTGTGCTACCAGCATGCACGGACGCCACATGTTCCTCCAGTATGATCTTTGTGTGGTCTCGGCACAAGGTAGACAACTCCACTGTTCAATGTTGCAAACACCTCTAAGAATTATTTTTATTGAATGTTATTTCAGCATTATTCTTGATATAAATAGCTTATTATGTAGTAGCTGTGGAGGTGCCATGTACCATTTTAGGTTTTTCTGAATCATAAAATTTTGTTTTCTGAATGTCATCTGACTTAAATCTTTTACTTAATTTCATTGTCAGTGTCTCACAAATGTATCTCTGTTTATCCAGTGGCACAAAATGGGCGTTAACTTCAAAGAATCAAATGGCAGAACATGGAACTTTGTGCCCATGGCAAATCAACCTCCTCAAGTGCGTATTCCCCCGATGCTACGCGCAGGGGACTTTAATCTCAACTCCTACCCCGATGCTGTCACCGTCCTTGCAACAAACTCTAATGGGTGAGTAACAATTTATATTGCAGGAATCGATCTGACATCCTCCATTATCCACCGTATTGTCTTGCCTTTATATGATGATATTCACCACGATAGCTTCATTAAGGAAGTAATGTCAACATCTCCTGGTCTCTTATCACCAACTATGCACACAATTTGTCTCACTCTTAAGCTTGAAATCAGCAACCAAAAGCAAACCGTGAGTTCAACATAGCTCCAAATTCATCTTTCATACAAGCCCTCGATATTTTTATTGAACCAGAAGATTGAATATTAAGACAGGGGGGGAAGGCCCAGTTGGATTAGGGATTTAACTGCTTGTTTCAAAATTGATTGACGGCTGTTTTTAGATTTGCATCAGACTCAAAATAAAGCTATGGTGGCATATGGGGCTATATCATAATAGAATGGGGATGTGATACACTCGGTGGTCAAGGAGGAGGATCTGATGATGTATCGGATGTTACACAGTGTATCTCAGTGCCATGGTTCTGTCACGGTGTAGTAGCATGATGTGTCCTGGCAGTCCTAGGTGTCACAGAGAAGTGTAACAAAGTGCCATGGTTCTGTCACGGTGTAGTAGCATGATGTGTCCTGGCAGTCCTAGGTGTCACAGAGAAGTGTAACAAAGTGCCATGGTTCTGTCATGGTGTAGTAGCATGATGTGTCCTGGCAGTCCTAGGTGTCACAGAGAAGTGTAACAAAGTGCCATGGTTCTGTCACGGTGTAGTAGCATGATGTGTCCTGGCAGTCCTAGGTGTCACAGAGAAGTGTAACAAAGTGCCATGGTTCTGTCACGGTGTAGTAGCATGATGTGTCCTGGCAGTCCTAGGTGTCACAGAGAAGTGTAACAAAGTGCCATGGTTCTGTCATGGTGTAGTAGCATGATGTGTCCTGGCAGTCCTAGGTGTCACAGAGAAGTGTAACAAAGTGCCATGGTTCTGTCACGGTGTAGTAGCATGATGTGTCCTGGCAGTCCTAGGTGTCACAGAGAAGTGTAACAAAGTGCCATGGTTCTGTCACGGTGTAGTAGCATGATGTGTCCTGGCAGTCCTAGTTGTCACAGAGAAGTGTAACAAAGTGCCATGGTTCTGTCACGGTGTAGTAGCATGATGTGTCCTGGCAGTCCTAGGTGTCACAGAGAAGTGTAACAAAGTGCCATGGTTCTGTCACGGTGTAGTAGCATGATGTGTCCTGGCAGTCCTAGGTGTCACAGAGAAGTGTAACAAAGTGCCATGGTTCTGTCATGGTGTAGTAGCATGATGTGTCCTGGCAGTCCTAGGTGTCACAGAGAAGTGTAACAAAGTGCCATGGTTCTGTCACGGTGTAGTAGCATGATGTGTCCTGGCAGTCCTAGGTGTCACAGAGAAGTGTAACAAAGTGTCATTATTGTCTCCATCTAGGACTTGTAATGTCCAGCTTTAGTAGAACAAACACCAGCATTTGATGTTCATTTTTGTTCCAGTAACAAGACATATGGAGCATTTTTCCTGGAGAACGTTGGGTGTTCCTCTGCGTGTGATGACTTCTCCCAGACCTACCGTGTTGCCTTCAGTGCTCCACTGCAAGCCCTGGGGCCCGACATGCAGCAGGTGTCCTTCTTCGACCTGCAGGATGACGTGAGTACGCTGGACACCGCACTACATGTGTGGGTGTTTCACATTGGTAGGGCAGTCACAGTTGTCAGATCATACAGTACACATACTTCCATGGATGTACTATATAGCATGAAATGACTGCTGTTTAATACTGTTGCAGCTATGGTTTGAAGGCCAATAAATTGTCAGTGGATGGAGATTAGAGTTACTTCCCTTAGACTGGCGTGTGGATGGGGAGCCAAGTGGAGAAAGTAATGTGATGTGATGTGAAATGGGTTTAATGTGGCATTCAACTTTTCAAGTTTATTTCACTCATACATGCACGACATACATGCACTTGTGTATGTGGCTGCTTGCACTAGTCAGGACTTTCGCCTAATTATAGTTATAAACCACTGAGATACCATGCCACAGTTTAACATGGATGCCCAACTCATACACAGGCAGATTCTGAGCCTTAGTGCTGAGGGCCACACAGGCTAATAGCAAGTACCACTTTAATGTCTTTTGGGGGATGAAACCACCAAGCATCCACTCTCCGGGCAGATGCCCTATCCAGGTCAGACAGATTGAATCTAAGGGTAGATACTTATCAGTAAAAGATGAATGAAGGTCAAGCAGGTAGCATCTTCCCCAGGCAAGGGAGTTAACTGACTACATATGTCACGTTTCCACCCTTGCCGAACTAGGCTGGAATTATGGAGTTATGTATTGGCTGGACTAACAAGTCTATGCATATTCCAATCAAAATCGTGTAACGAAATCGACATCCGGTTCGTAAACTGCCTTGCAGGTTTCGGTTGATTGCAGGATTTGCTGGGCATGTGTACTGACAACTTAGCGTCAGCATATATTTTCCAAATCTTTTCATGTTTTTAATCTAGGTGGTCACGTAATTTGAGACTCTTTGCGAAGTAAGACCCGTTTTGTTACAATGTAGATTATCGATCAGATTGTCTTCACTGTATGACGCCATTTTGTTTGAAGCAAATGCAATTGATATGAGAGGTGGAATCCGATTGGACAATAGGAGGGACATAGAAGGGACATAACTAGTAATAGCCTCTGATGGCTCTACAATTGAGCCCAGAAATTCAAGCCTAGTTCGGTATGGGTAGAAGCTGGACTTTTACAGTGAGTTAAATCCCTTGCCTCAGGAAGATGAGGTAGTAGCTACAAATTGCCACTGTACAGTTTATCATGGTTAAATACTAGGATTGCGTATGACAGGAGTATGATTTATATCTGTCACATGGATATTTTGTCCTGGTTTCCAGGGAGTGTTGGACATCTTGATTAACACCATCAGTTCCAAGGATGCACACATCACGGCTCTCAGACAGACTTTCTCTGAAGATGCTTGTTTCCTGAAGGTGATGGGTGAGTAGGACATATGTTTCTGAGTTGTAATACCAGGTGGGTCGTCTCAAGATCAAATGAGAGTGATATTCACCATCACTGAGGTCATACACTTTAGTTATTCACTGTCCAATGGATTTAGCAGGTGAGCAGATTACCATCCTCCATTTAGTTCACAGTTGTGGTCATCCGTAAATGTGTAATGCTATTTAGGTAACAACAGTAAATAAAACACTGGAACAGAATAAGGAAAACATCGATCGGAATAAATAATGGTAGTGAAAAACATATGGTCCGGGCTTAATCCTTTTGTTAGCCATAATTCTTTGGCCAGTAACTGTTAGATTGGCATTCCAGAAGTTGGTAAATAAGTAAGAAAAATATACAATTTAATAGCTTGATAACAGTGTAAGAATCTACTTTGAAATGTCGCTATATGCAATAAAAGTTGTTATCCATAAAGTTAAACGTTTTTCATTCTTACTCTTTGGCCAGTGTTTTGAACCAAACCTGGTTCTAAACAAAAGATAGCTTTGTGCAATCCTCCACCTCAGTGATCAGTGCTGCAATTACTCTTCAGTATTGATGAGAGCAGTCTGCTGAGTCTGTTAGGAATAATGGAGGCATCTAGCAGCTTGAGAGTGAAGCCACCTATATGCCTGTGTTATGTTTCAGTCTGTTAGGAATGATGGAGGCATCTAGCAACTGGAGAGTGAAGCCACCTATATGCCTGTGTTATGTTTCAGTCTGTTAGGAATGATGGAGGCATCTAGCAGCTTGAGAGTGAAGCCACCTATATGCCTGTGTTATGTTTCAGTCTGTTAGGAATGATGGAGGCATCTAGCAACTGGAGAGTGAAGCCACCTATATGCCTGTGTTATGTTTCAGTCTGTTAGGAATGATGGAGGCATCTAGCAACTGGAGAGTGAAGCCACCTATATGCCTGTGTTATGTTTCAGTCTGTTAGGAATGATGGAGGCATCTAGCAACTGGAGAGTGAAGCCACCTATATGCCTGTGTTATGTTTCAGTCTGTTAGGAATGATGGATGCATCTAGCAGCTTGAGAGTGAAGCCACCTATATGCCTGTGTTATGTTTCAGTTGTCAGTGGACTTTGCAATGAGGAGTGTCCCGGTGGCCACAAGGTAGGTTAGATAATCACCAGTGTCCATTCAATGAAGTCATGTAATGAAAAGTCATAATTCAAATCCTGTCGTTTTGTAAGCATGAAAAAATATAGTGCTTATATAATATGAAATAATTAAAGGAAGTTACATACTGTAGTAATAATCATGCTAAGTCTTCCTGTGTTCTTAGACATGAGGTAAGGTAATCAAACACAACAATGTCGTCATTCAGGTTTGAGATGGACTTGAGCACAGAAACACATCATGTCTTTTGTTTGAAAACCTGATTATGCGCTTTCAGTATGTGTCAGTATGGTTGTTGAAGAAATGTTTATATCATGAACTTTGGGCAAGAGAATTAAAATATTGGGCAACTGAAAAGTCAGTTTACTTTGGTTCAGCTAATGTTTGAAATGTTTTGTAACCCCGGCCATGATCCTGGTATTGTCCATTAGCTAGTCACTGTAGCAGAATTCACACTGAGTCGCCACCAAGGGAGGTCATGGTAGGAGATAGATGAAAGTTGGTTGCAAGCTTGTAGCTATATAAACCTGCTCAGTTTTTCTATTAAAATTGGTAATTTAGTTTTTGACTACTGTTATAAAAGTGATCGTGTTTATGACAGAAATCTAGTGTTGTAGGTGCACAGATGGAGTTACTGCTAGCCGTATGTGTCCAGTGTTACACTGGGAGTAAACCTGTGTTTATTGTGTGCAGCCCTATGGCGTGAATCAAGTGGGGCCAGTCGTCCGATTCACCACCACGAGAGCAGATGGGGACACACAGATTGGAGTGGGTGAGGCATCAGTTCATGTCTTGTTCTGTGTTTGTGCCGAGCAACCAGTCACACTCATTCATTAAGGGGGCATGTTCAGGGTTAGCAGTTATACATTTCATAAAAATCATGCAAGTACACTCAAAATTATGTAAAATTATATAGTCCTTAGTGTTCTTCTTACCAGAAATTGTATTTCTTATAAAATGGAACTTAATATGTCTTCCTTGTTGTCACTGACCGAGGACAAGGGGTTGACAGTGTGTGACCTCTGATGATTTTGTGTCACTGGCCCAGACAGCATGGATTGTTTTTGCTCATGCTATCAACTACTGCTTTTCCTGGCACAGACGCAATTATCTACACGACACCATGAATTATTGGTGTTTTTTGTTTGTTGTTTAATGACGCACTCAGCAATATTCCAGCTATATATCAGTGGTCTCTAAATAATCAAGTCTGGACCAGATAATTCAGTGTTTGACATCATGAACATCGATCTACGCAATTGGGATAGGATAACATGCATCAACCAAGCGAGTCTGACCACCTGATCCCGCTATTCAACTCTTATGACCAGCATGGGTTGCTGAAGACCAATCCAACCCGGGTCTTCTATGGGTCAGATTATCACTGGATTATTGCTGGCTATAAAACAACAGTCACTCACTGTTGCCACACAATGCAGAAGCTATGATATTGATTATATTGTTATGACAAAGTCAGAGAGATCAACATCAAATAGCAGTAAGACATCTCTGGCCTTGTAGACTAAGTAATGAGGCTTATAGGTTACACTCAACCAAATGTTTTCCCATACACTTCTATAGTAACGTTATATTTGTTTTTAAAATAACTGAGCATTCAACAGCTATTTCATGTACATGTGTGTGCAAAGTCTGGCCTTAAAGCAGCAATAAAAACAAACAAATTGACTATCTTAGCCGGTTCCTTTTGATGAGTACAGGAAGCTGAACACATACCACCCAGCTTGGTACAAAATGTCACTTGCTTGAAAATATCTGTTGTCACATGCAGCATAAGTCATCATGTTAAAAAATACAGCACTAAATAAAGAAAAACATGGTCAGTTTTAATTACTGGATAGATGTATATCTAAAAGACATACAAATCATACACAAAATCATCCAGTCACAGCTGCTAGATGATTCAGTCTGCACGGAAGGCTCTCTTCAAAAATTGCTGGTTGAATGACTGATCCTGATTTGGTGTAGTTGAACCTAGAGCTTGTGTCCTTGTCATGAGTTATCTCCCCTTATCTTCCACAGCCTCCCAGCTTACCCAGACTGCCTACTTTTCCCTCCAACTTCCGTTCATACATTTTGGTCTTGGACAGATGCCGAACTTTGTTGATAAGTTGGAAGTGGGTATACAACATCCCAAGAACAAGGTACAAATACTTACTGTCTACAAAAGGTCTTAGTGTGAATTGTGTCCCTGTGACCAATGGTTAGACACCAGAAATTGTTTTGAACTTTATTTATGTAACCTTTATCTTAAATTAATCGTCATCTTTAGTGGGGTAAATCTTTAGATAAGCTGAATTAGCGGAAAGGTTAGTTATTTTGATGGTGACGTATATAGTGTACATTGCTAAACTTGTTCTATTTTCTAATTCATGAAATGCAGTGAGCACCAGTAATTGTCAGTACAGTTGAGCTGCATAGTGTGTTTACAATGATGCGAAGCTGTATCTCCCATGCAATGACACATCTGATGTATGACCACGTGTTTCCAGCCTCCGCGTCACAAGGAGTGGACTCAGCTCATTCCCAACTCACAGCTGGTTATAATCCCTCATCCACCAGATGACCCGTCATCGTAAGTAACTCGCAGACACAAGGATTAGTCTCTGTACTGTCTCCATTGTATTATGATGCATACCCTGGACCTATTTGTCATAAAAGCTTCGTTTCAGAAGTATCGTCATCATCTCAATCTCTCTTATCACCCGTGAAGATTAGGGGTAAAATGGGTCTTCAGCAACCCATTCTTGTCATAAGAGGCGATCATGCTTGCCATAAGAGACAACAAACGCAATCAGGTGGTCATGCTCGCTGACTTGGTTGATGCATGTTATCATATCCCAATTGCCTTGATAAGTGCTCATGATGTCAGTTGCTGTATTATTTACTCAGACTTGATTATTTAGAGACAGGCATCATATAGCTGGAATATGGTTGAGTGCGGCGTAAAACAACAAACAAACTAACTTAGCATGTGGAGCACAGAATTTCTTTCTTTCTGAGATATTAAAAATGACATGAACATTTTAAGATTTAATATTTGATAGACTGGTACATAATAAAAGTGTACTAATTTCCTTAATTTTGATTAAAAGACTTCATAATACAGTGAGAACTATTTATTTTTGTTTGCTGTAATACATAATGTTTGGTAATTAACAGCTGACCCTTGTGTTTCTGCAGGTGGGTGAACATCCTGTTCATGACCCCAAGTCGTCTGGTGCTGCTGACGGGGGCAGCCCTGTTGGGAACCTGTGGCTTTATAGCAGGAATTGTGGGTATTTTACACTGGAGAGAAAGGGTAAGTCTTGCTGAGTAAATAGTTTGTCAAATGATGATATTATATTTACAGAGAGCATGGGGAAATTCCTGAGCCATTCTTGGTATTGGACATGTGCTCTCTTTTTTATTTATTTGTCATTCATTTGTGTGTATGCTATACCCAAGTCTTGAAGTGAACAAACGACATGATTGATAGGTTGGCATATTAAGTGTCTGAAAAAAGGATATGTGTGTGTGTGCACCCCCTGCATCCCTCCTCTGAAAGGTAAGTACGAACGTTAAGTTCAAGCCATTTGTACCTTACGTACATTTGAGGGTGCATACTACTGATGCTTATGAAACATGTCAGTCAGCAAATGCAGTTATGTATAGATTACGCCCTGGACAAAGCAACTATGAACCATGGCCTTGTGATAAGAGATTACTTTCATTCAACCTCTCAGAAGTCAGCAGTATTCCAGCCATGTTAAATAACTGAATCTGGTCCTGGCAAAATAGTGATCAATAACATAAACCAATGCCATCCACACTTGGCCAGGGCTCACACTGCTGCCACGTGGCCCTCACTGTACATAGCACATGCAGCCGGCTTGGTGTACTGGGGACATATCTGCCCTGCAATCCCAATCTCTTTAAAGTCCGATCTTTGTCTGCTAAACAAAGATCTGAGGACACCCCATTTCGGGTCATGTCAGAACAACCTTTCGCAAACTTTGACCGACCAATGAAATGACAATTAAGAAGAGGCCAATAGCCAATCAGAAATTAACTAGGTTTAAACTGGCGATTACATTTCAAAAGAAATCTTTTGACAAAGTTCTCAATTTGCAAATTTGAAAAGTGAACAAAAGTAAATTCTTGAATGTCTTATAGATGGTTGAGATTGTATGGCTGTACTTCCCATGGGCTATGGTAAGTGTCTTCCGTTTTATATGTTTATCTAACTGAAGCAGCATGGAATCAGTGATACAGCCCGGAACTGTCGTTTGGAATACCCCGTGTTAACCTTTCCAATGTCACATGATTCGAAAATCACATTCCGGCTGTCACTTTCCCAATCTGGTAAGTAAGGCTCTTATTGGTTGGAGGAAAGGTTGGTCTGACATGACCCGTAATGTGATGTCCTCAGATCTTTGTTTAGCGTGCTGTTTTGTCTCAAATTACACAGACAGGCTTGTTGAATCATTGAACTGTTTCTGACAGCAGTGCAAGATTCCGTCACTCACTGTGTTTCTTGGGGCACAGGTGGCCCAGTCGTCTAAGGCGCCACGATTCGCTGTGCAGAGTTGCATCCCTTGGGAACGCCAGAAACCTATGATTGTGGGTTCGAATCCTGGTTCGCCCCGATTATGTTTCTAGGTTTGTCAGCACCATACCCCTGCTCGTGGGTTTAACCGAAGTGGTAAACGTCCGAGACCTGCATCACTTCGGGATTTCCTCCAACATTAAGCTGACACGCTGCGATATAACTGCAATACTGTTAAAAGTGGTGTTAAGCCCAACTCACTCACTCATTCACTGTTGTGTTTTCAGGCTGAAGATAAGAAAGAGAAACTTCAGGAAGCTCACAAGTTTCACTTTGATGCCATGTGAAGTGGTTGTTAGACTTCCGACCACACTCAGCTGACGTGACACTTACTCAATCTACTGGACATCTTTGGGGCATGATTTGACCAAGTTCAAGAATTAACTGTAATAGAATATGACCAGTATATGTCTGGTAGTAATAAGAAATATTTCTTTGCCCTGAAATCCACACCTTGATAGAGGATTGGTAGACTTCTCCTTACAGAACTCTCCGCTAACTTAGTTGCCCCACTTTAGCAACACCTTTTTAGTTGCCCCACTTTAGCAACACCTTTAAAACACCTATTGTCATCACTAGTCAGCCATAGCTATGGATATACATGTAGTTAATTATGGGGAGTGTAAGGTGTATCTAAAATTCTGATCAAAACATATGGTCTTGGACAGTGTTCCTCAAATTCTGTTTTAAGAAGAACTGAAGTTTCCTTCCAATCCACACACCAATCCCAGTAACTTACCTAGGTTCTCACAGGCTTGAAGCAGGCCTGTGAAGTCAATAAAATGCCTCGACAGGCCTCACATGTGGTGACAGTGGTAATCGCTGCTGTTTTCTAATGTAATGCCATCATGTCGCAAAAGTTGAGTGTGTGACTTGAATATTTTACAGTGTAATTGGATGTGTAATCTGACAATGAAGTACGATTGTCCTCAATCGTGTTTGGAAAATCATAATTGGAAGAACTCTTTGATCTTACTTTTTGCCTTGAAAAGTGTGATCTTTGCCTACAAATATGTTAGCTGAATAGTCATACCAGAGATGGCTTTGTGGATTGTGGATCTGGTACATTATTTAACTTTTGAAGAAAACACTGCACATGTAACACCTTGCCATTTTATAATTAGATCCTTGTGTTAAAGGGTGCAAGGGACAGGGGAACTTAGGTACACACTGGGTGTAGCTCGGTTTCATTAAAGTGAGATGTTTTACTCTGATACTATATCCCTCTGTGTAAAGACGTTTGTTGCCAGGTCAACTGCTTAATCAGCCAATAAGTGGTACGAGTGAGCGAAGTATTCAGACAAGCGTGTCTTATTTCTGTATCTCGAAAATGAGTATCATCGGTGAGTTCAAAATGCATAAACATAAAAGCAGCATTATGTGGTGGATATTTTGTGTTTCTGTCTATGCTGAGCGTCGTGCCTTTACACCCAGAAGTGTGTACTATTGAGGGTATATTTGTGTTCTGTGGCATTTCTCTTTTGGTAAAATTAAACTTTCCGAATTGAGGTGAAGAAATGAAACCAATTCTTTATCGAAAGCTGACACGTGATTGGCTGAAGAACCCAAGTATCATTAATTTACATTGGACAGTCAACGTTTCCTCAGAGTTCACCTAAAGTGACCTATGGACATGTTGTGAGGTCTTCATGCAGAGAGGTATCACATAGGAGTATAACATGCTATTTTGATGAGATTGGGTACAGCTTTCATAGTTGCCATATATTGTCAGGATTTATTCATAACAAAATCACAAAATTCCAAAACTTCTTTTATTTTTTTAAATTTATGCATACATTCACAGTTTATTATTTCTGTATTATTATTTGATTTCGAGACATGGGGAAGTTGGGTCCATTCTGAGGAAATAAAGTTGTCAAGGAAACAATATGGTGTGATGCGCTTGGTTTTCTGGGCGTTGTCACCGAGTGCTTGGTATTTTTCTGTGATATTCCAGGTAGTACCTTGGTTGCCTGCAGGTTTAGTTAGAATCAGGTAGACTTGTCTACATTCATGTAGATAGGGTTTATTGTAAACTTTGTTAGTATTGTTGCTGATATCTATGTACTTTGTAAAGCAAAAATGTTTTTGACCATGTTCTAAGATTTTATTCTAAGTCTTGATACAAACTGACAGTGCAATATGCTTCACCTATTTCACAATTAACTTTGCCTGTTTTTCTTTTTAACATCTAGTAAGAGATTTTGTTTGTCACTCATTTGTAATTGGTACTTTGTATACTTCTCTAATTTGGCAGTTCCCCGTGTGGTCTTCCTTGATGCTGACACTTATGTGTAAAGCCAGCCCCTCACTAAACCCATGTGTTGGCAGCACTGCGTGTCATTAGCAAAACAAAACAAAACACACTCGTTTTAAGAAAAGCAACCTAGATTAATGCAGCGCAGCATCAGCAGTATATTTTTTTAATTGCAAAAAAAGCAATTTTTGCTGCTTGCGGCCCTGACGCTTTGGGAAGTCCCCTTTTTTATGATGTCATTTCCAGGTGATAATGAAACACATGGTTTGACAAAGAAGTCTTTCTTGAAGAAAAAACAATGCTAAAATCACAAATAAATGAAGAATTATTGATTCTTGAAGAAAGGAAACATCTGTGTCTGTATCCCATTACAAAAAATGTCGAAATTGCAAATAATTCTTAGACAGCCATCAGCAAAGTTTGTCAGTTTAAATAATTTAAATCAAATCCCTTTGCACATTTAAGATCTGAAAGATTATGTCTATTCAAGGGATATCTTATTTTTTATATTTCTTAAACAAATTTCATCTTTATTTGGTAAATGACAATGTTTACTGCATTGAAGATCTGTCCAAATATGGGTTAAATAATTACACACCGACGCGATGCACTGCACGGTGCTGTCGCAGTGTTGGGTTTAGTGTGGGAAGGCCTTAAGGTTGAGAGATGTGATATGTGTTAACTTGATCTGTATTAGTCTTGCCTTTCTGCATAATGGTAGCCTCTGAGAACTGGAAGCATGGCTGTGTACGTCTGGCTGTGCTTTACACGACAATTTGCTTCAAGAGGAGTGTGTTGGGTTTAATGCTGACTTGGGCAGTACTTCAGTGATATCACCAATTGTTGTTTTCCACTTATGATAGGCGTTTAACAAGAAACAAGAATGACTGTTGGCGTGAATTTGTGCTTTGAAGCGCCATGACCAGGTGCTGCTGCGATGACTTAGGTGCTCTATTCTGAACTGGGAATGGCAGCACCTGTGGCCACCCATGCTCTTTCTATTCCAGATAGACCTGTATGAGAATATACACATACACATACACATACACATACACATACACCCAGACCAGATTAATGACACTACAATAATCCATGGTCTATGGTGCTGCAAGTATCTGTGCAGAGTTATGTCCCTTTTGTCTGTCTGGATCCTGTGACCTGAATATTAAATATTCAGATTTGCCCAAATTATGCTCCTTCATTTGTCAGCACCATACTTATGCTTGTGGGTTTCACCAAAGTGGTAAAATCTAAGACCTGGATGCCATGGCTGTGAAATAACTGGAGTACTGTTTAACTCACTCTCTCACTGTTGAACAACATTTCCCTAGTCTGGAGTAGGGTCTGCACCAACCAGGTTTGTTTGTGTATATGATTTATTATTTATTACCTTTAACATCACCTTTTATTTGTATATCCTGGACAGTTCATGTTCCGAATGTGTCATCTTGTGCTTCCATGATATCATTTCTCATCGTGTGGTAATCAGCATGATCTTGTGTGTATGGTTTAAGGTTTTTAATATTTTCAGAATTTCTGTTTTGTTAAGCTCTCAACATTCCAAGACAACTTTGTCTGGGCAGCATGATGCCAATCTGGCCCTTTTCTGTTTCCTTTTACCTCGTTTGCAATTTTGCATACTTGAAGTTACATGCTGTACATTTGGAAACCATTAATATTGATCAAGTGAAGTAACTCTTCTTACCTGATAGCAATGTGTCGTTGTGTTGCAACTGTTATATACACAGTCCCATGTATAAATGATTTCTTGGAAAGAGATGCATTATGGGAAACATGCGCTCGTTTCCTTTGGATCATATGCACAATACAGAAAGTATGATAGTATGTTTTGGCAGAGCATCTTTCGTGACTAGTGATATAGAGTGTGTGAAAGAGTGAAGGTATTATTTCATTGCATGCGTGGTAGTTTACAGGTTTGTTAGAAGTGTTTAGCTGAGGCCCCTGTATGCTGTTATTTACCTATACAGACAACAAGCAGTTAATGGAGAATCAGTCTGCTCAACTGTAAATAGATGACAATGTGAAACTATTTGTGTTGGCCAATTCACGACCTAACATGAGAATACAATGATGACAGTGTTTGCAGGAAGTTGGTTTGTGGTTGCTAAGAACTACTGTCAACCACATCTGTTACTGGTAACTATTCCTATGAAAATAATCATAGGATACATCATGTACATCTCAAAATCTAATTTGAACTGTTTTGCTTTATGACTGGTTTTGTCAGGTGGTGTCCGTGGTCTGTGTAAGAGATTGGGTGACAATCTTTAGAGAACAAAGGTCCAGTTTGTTAGATCTTACGACCTGGTGCTACCCTACAAACTGATCATCTCCATGCCCTGTTTACAAACTTGTATACGTATTTATTTTCAAATGCCTGTACATACTGTGTCTATATATTTATGTCTGTTGACAATAAAAGTTTGTTTTCCAAATAGTTTTTGTCGTCTTCTCCAACATTCCAATGTTTTTTGGTGATATATTTTTATATGGCTCAACGTTGTCTCACATATTAAAAAATATTGTTTGATAATTCAATCTTAGAAGTGATTGTGTGCGTGTGCGTGCCTGCTTGCCTGTGTGTAGTTTAGTGCTGCGCCCCCACCCCAACATGTCCAAACCGTTCCGTCTATATGTCAATGGACCGTAAATAATGGAGTCTGAACCAGACAATACAGTGATTGATATGATGACTCATATCATCCAGCATTGGTTGCTGGGAATCCCAACAGGAGAGTACTGATAAGGAATTTTAGGATATGTAACTAAACGGAAATAATTATGTTTTTATGGTTAACATGTTTATTGATCTGGAAACAAATTCCTAGCACTATCAGTACACAATACAACTAATCAGGACAAAGATAGAGGGTATGCAAATCATACAACAGGCAATGAAGGCAACAGGTTGTACATAGTGATACCTGTAAAGACTTGTACATCTCTATAAACCAAATAGCTGCTACCCTGTTACACAGAATGTTCACATCAATAACAAGATACGGATGCAACAAACAATATGTAAATCAGTACCGCCAACTGCTTTTAGATGTGATATTGAAAAGCATATCTGTTGATTCCAACCCTGAAAAGTTGAATTGTTCCCTGCAACTCTATGGGACATCTTGGTTTATGGCCAAGGTAGACTGTAAGACAAGTTACTGCTTCTTCTTCTGTTTCTTGGCCATGAGTCGGACCGAGTTGGCTGGATAGGATCCATAGCGACGCTTGCTGTAGTTGTTGGGTCGGATCCAACCATAGGCCATGCCCTCCTCGTTAGCTGGAAGCTTCTGCTTGATGACCTGACCTGGAATGTTCGAATTGTTTCAAAACGCTGACATTAAAAGGGTGACCAGCAAGAGGGTAAATCATCAAGGATTTGTTAAACATACAAATTAGAGATTGATACGCTGAAATAATCCATCCTGCATAGTTAATGCATGTCCCAAGGTGAGTAAGTGTGTTTGATGCTGCACAACATTTAGCCCTAATACAGCAGGGGAAATACCAAGAATGGAAGTATGTTTTTGTACCAATGTTGGAATTGGACTTTCAATAATGCTACAAGCTGTAACCACTCCATTTCCTTAACACCCCAGTGTTCAGAAGAGATACCTGCAGGACCACGGCACTACAATAATTAGTGCATATTCAATTGCCTGACAATGGCAGGGAGAAGTCAAAGCCAACATATATACCGAAGAAAACAAATTAGGGATCAAGAGAGATTTTTTGTGAAGTTGCTGATAATGATGATATCACTTCTGTAGCTATGGTAGCAATTCGCTCCAGGGTATTTATCATAAATATACTATACACGTAACACTGGATTATCAAGGATGATTTAAGCATGGAAGAGTTGTGTTAAATGTCAACTTGGTTTTTTTTTGTTTATTAATCGCGCTGTGATCTAGTAGACAATGCATAATGCTATATATCTTGAAGGCGATCATAAACACCCTTTCACCTCACCTGTTTAAGTTTTTCAAAATTCAAATTAATTAGTATTTGATTGATATTGTTGCTACAATAGGTGAGGTGAAATGAGGTTTAACTTTGCGCTCAAGGTTATTGCACTTATATAGCGATGTGCATGCAGTGTCTGCTTGTATTAGTCCGACAAATGCCGATTTTATAGTGCTAGCCCACTGAGATACCATGCCCCTGTTAACATGAACACCCGACTCAGACAGACTGATGATTATACTGACTCCGAGCCGACCGGTCCTTGTTTTGGGCCCTTTATGCCGAGCGCCTGGCAGGGTAACAACAAGTGCCATCTTTTAACGTATTTTGGTATGACGCGAGCGGACGCTCTACCACTAGGCCACGGAGGCGGTCTGTTGCAAAAATACGACCTACAGAGCCTTAAATGGATTTATGGAAAATATTCTTATGGATATATAAAACGTTCATAAAGAGCACAAGCACGAAAGAATTCCCCTCAAAGAATCATCAGCTCACCAATTTCATACGACAGTTCAGTTAACTGCCGCGACCAGTGAGCGCGGATGGCTACAACTCTGACGTCACTGAGCCTGGTGACGTCGACTGTACTCGTCGTCAGCACCTCCCTGTCAGTGTCCCCGTGACGCCGGAGTCCTCTGTCCTCCTCCTCTGACCCTTCGTCCGACCCCGGGGGCTCCCAGGCCATAACGGGGGTCGGGGAAGTCGTGGGACGTTGCAGGTGGGTATCCGAATCTAACGAAGATGATACATGTATGACCCCACAGAGTGAGTGAGCGAGTGAAAATTTAAAGTCACGTCGGTGATGTTTCAGCCATACAGTGACTAGAACAAGTTATACATTAATAATAAATACATTTATAGTTTAAACTGTATTTAAACCTGTATGTGAACCTGTCGACAATGGACAGTAAAACAATTAGAATATCACAGACACAGACTGTTAGAAAGGGCACAACGCCTGACCCCACAAAGATTCCAGTGCATTCACAATGTAGATATAGAGAATCTCACCTGAGTGTCTTTTGATATCAAATATATCAACACGAGTTGATAAAAGTGGAAAAATTCCGAGGCTTGCCGAGGATTTTTGCCACTTTTATCAACGAGTGTTGATATATTTGAAATCAAAAGACACGAGGGTGAGATTTTATTTATCATCCAACATCATTCTTCAAACTTTTTCAGTTTGTAGACAGTAATTAGCAGTGTCTTTTCAGTGTAAAAACGTACTGCTAACAGCTTAGTAGCAGAGCCATTAGTGATGTCATTTGATTGTGACGTCATGGTAACCAGTGACGTCACAATGGTCTGCAAAGCATTGTGATGCAATTTCATTTAGCGATATCTACAGTGTAGATATATAGAATACTAAACGAGCTCCCGTGTAATACCAATTTTATGAAACGAGTGAATAGTTCTGGTATCTGACGAGCGAAAGCGAGTCAGATACCACAACTATTCGCGAGTTTCATAAAATTGGTTTTACACGGGAGCGAGTTTAGTATTTTATTTATTACTTGCCATTTACAACGTTTTTAGAATTATACTGTTGAGTATGAATAGGCTAGCTGACACCTACACGATCCACGGCATAGTCCAATTGAGTTTAACAGAATAATACTTCAAACACGTCAAAAGTTGAAAGGTATGAATTTAATACCATACAACGGTCCACCTTTAGAATTCACAAAATTATCGTAGGGCTAAGACTATCGCAACTCACATACTTTAACTTAGACTAACGACTGTCGTTGCGCTATAATACGATCGCCTTGTGGAACGGGCCTTGTACCTCAAACTTTACAATAACGTCACAATACCCGATGACGTAATTTGTGGAATTTTGTTGCAAGACCCATCGGCGAAACAATGCCATGTGACGTCACCCTAGCAACAAGGTTGCTGGGGTCATCGAGTGTGCATAAGCTCCTCTCAGTGATCTATCAACTCCACACGCAATGTCTTTGAATAAGCCAAGCGATGTTGAGAGCTTTTTAATATGTGTTCGTGAACCGTGTTCCGAGAGTACACAAGCACGCGTTTTGGTATTACACAATGTGTAATACAGCTGTATGTTTATTAAACGGGTGATCTCTTCACGGGCAAGTAATAAATCGCTTGATCTCATCCAAGCGATATCTCCTGTGGGAGCCAGTTTTGGATGATAAATAATATACTCAAAAGAAGTTAAGGACCACCCGATGCTTTCATATTACTTTAGTTAATGTCATGACACGACAGATTAACTATATAAATATGAAAGAATCTGGTGCTCCTTAACTTTTGAGTAGTATATAAAAGCATATGAGCATCTGCTATGTTGTGGCCTTGGGTGACATCCATGCATGTTTATTTGTTTGTTGTTTAATGCCGCACTCAGCAATATTCCAGCTATATGACGGCGGTCTGTAAATAATCGAGCCATCATGAGCATCGATCCACGCAATTGGGATACGATGACATGCATCAACCAAGTCAGCGAGCCTGACCACCCGATCCCGTTATGGTCGCCTCTTACGACAAGCATAGTCGCCTCCATGTTTTTACGAATGGTTCATTCATATACTAACCATATGACTTTTTTGTTCATAGACACAGTGAATGAGTTTGGTTTACGCCACTTTGAACATACTTCATTAATGTCACGGCGTGTCCGCTTATTATGGGAGAACAGACAAACACGGCACCGGTCGTAGGCCGTGAAACCGGTTCACTGAAACTCACCAGCACCAGCGTGGTGCGCCGATAGACCAAGGGAACTTATCTGATAGGTTAATTATAAGTAAAGATAAAATGGCTTAGATACAATTATTTTCTCAAAGATTTCTCGGAACAGTTGCATTTTGTACAAATTGAAACGTACCTCTCTGAGTCCGAGCAGTTGACAAGACTCTGAAATAGAAATAATACTTGTATTGTCTCTTAATGAAACATTGTTCTGGGTGGTGCTAGATTTATCCCCCAAAAGCAGGGTGAAAAAACCATAGCGACCAAGCATGTACAAGGGAACAGGTGATAAATTATCTGACCTCAAGCATTAAATGTCTGTTCGTTATGGCGATGCAAAGTATTAATTGTACCCAGTGGCACCAAATGATGGTCACAAACCATGAAGATCCGAGGGATAGAATAGGTCTTCAGCAACCCATGCTTGCCGTAACAGGCGACTATGCTTGTCGTAAGAGGCGACTATGCTTGCCGTAAAAGGCGACTATACTTGCCGTAAGAGGTGACTAACGGGATCGGGTGGTCAGGCTCGCTGACTTGGTTTGATGCATGTCACCATATCCCAATTGCGTGGGTCGATGCTCATGATGTCACTGGATTTTCTGGTCCAGACTCGATATTTACAGACCGACGTCATAAAGTTGGAATATTGCGGAGTGCGACGTTAAACAACAAACAAACTACAAACGCGGTCACTATTTGGACTGCACAACAACCATGCCAATTCCGGGGAAGAATTTGCCCACGTGGACTCAAATGATTACAAGATGGACCTAGCAGATCTTGAGTGTAATCTTATCCCTAACGCGCGGAGGGCCCAGTCATCCGATGCCCCGCAATTAGCAGTACCCTGTTACGCCGCATGGCGTCCCTGAAGCCTACGATTTTGGGTAAGGCTGGGACGAGTCCAAATTTACTAACGTATTTAGATACATGTATTAAACGATCACATCGGCAATATTTCAGCTATATCGTGACGAAGTTGACTTAAGTTATATCTTTATTCAACCATATGAAAAGTCAGAAGGAATGGGTGCATAGTCTGAAAGAAATGCGAACATTAGTGACTTGTAGTATAAGAGTTCCAGATAATTTTTGTCATTAAACTATATATCACATGACTAACCACGGGTCTGGGTAGTCTTGTAGGTACCCGGGTCCTACTCAGTACCCACCCGACTCGGGTACCCGAGTTACCCGTCCCAGCCTTAATTTGGGGTTCAAATCGCGCTGATATCGCTTCTAGGTTTGTCCCCATCATACGTACTCACTGGTTTCACTAAAGTGTAAAACGTCCTGCTTCATTTCGGGCTTTGCTCCAACATCAAGCTGATACAACTGAAATACTGTTGAAGGGGGAGTACCCACTCACGCCTATAGTTACTCATATTATCAACCACACGTTTGCCTATCCCAGGTTCCAGTCGTGATACACCTGCAAATATGCTGACATTGGCGCAAAACAACCAACTCATCCAAGCCCGTTGGACAAAAATTCGAAAATAAAACACATACATAGTTGTCTCGCTATAATAGTATATGGAAGACCGTTTCTATTCCACACATGGGTACAATATGTGAAGCCCATTTCTGGTGTTCTCCGCCGTATTATTGCTGGAAGATTGCGAAAACACGTAAAACCTTACTCCCTCACTAATTCTCTGTCTACACGCCACTCACAACTCCCTGCTGTCTGGTGCAGCTAGGTCAACATCACTGGTGTCGTCCACTGTGGCCTGACCGGCCTTGTCCACCTCGCCGTGTGACCGGTAGTCCTTCAAAGCACAGTGGACAATATTACCCATAGGTGCACGGACACATTGTCATTGCGCATTATAATGTTAGCTTCATGTTGATTGGCTAGTGCCCATTTCCCCCTGTTTTCATTGTTTACGAAGAGGCCATAGCAACGTGGCGTCATATGAACGCATTGTCGCAAATAAATTATAAGTTGTAGATCATGTCATCCATTGTTTATCTGGTCACAGAGGATTTTATGTCACGTGCAACACCTAAAGCGCGTTGCAAGCCACGAATCGCTTAGAGTAAGCAAATAATCGCTCATCACCTGCAACAGCTCGAAGCGCATGCGCACTCTTCCAAAATGGCGCCGCGACTACCGCCTGCTTGCCTTGCCCAAATAAAGAACGTAATAGAAGAAGTTCGATGACAAGCCGATGAATTCGTGACTGTAGTTGGCTACTTTGAAGATGTGGAGCAGATTGGGGATGCTTGGACTTTAGCTGCATTTGCCCATTTCTTGTTCCTCTGTCAAATTCAAATTTCGATCAGCCGCCATTTTGGTATGAGAACGAAGCGGTGCGGTTGCAAGCGGCTGAAAGTTAGCGCAACGCTACGTAAGGCGAACCGCTGCACATTGCTTTTAAGCGATTGGCGTTTTGCGAAGTTTTGCAACGCTAACTTTTAGCCGCTTGCAATCGCACCAATCGCTGGCTGAAGTCGCTTTCTCGTTCTCAAACCAAAATGGCAGCTGAGTTCGACAGCGGAAGAAGAAATTCTTGACTGGATCAACTGGGAAATGGACACGTCTTCGTTAGGACAAGGCAACCAAGCGGTAGTTGCGCCGCCATTTTGGAAACGTGCGCAAGCGCTTCGAGCTGTTCGAGACCCGGGGGTGAGCGATTAAATTGCTTATTCGTGGCGCGCTTGCCTTTCATTGAATGATCCATTCATATAATTTTCACGCTATTTTGTCTTTTTCGACCAATTGAATCTGTTTCCGAGACTGGTTGTATATTTCCAACAACAGACTAATGAACTACAATTTCTGCTTGAGATCAGGAAACCCACATATTTCTACTTCTTCTCAGACAAAAAGACTGTGGGTATTATAGAGAATAACATGCTCGCAACTCGGAATTAGTGTTTTTCTGTCCTTCGTGGGGTAGTGTGAAGTTTACAAAATAAATTCCCGTCAGAAACCATATGATATAATTATATGCATATGGTCTCTGTTCCCGTACAAGAAATTCCTCGTGGTTAATAGTTTATTCTCTGAACACATCGTGTACAGGCCGCCGCGGAGTTCACAATACATTCTGTCAGTTCATGAAGAAAAGGAATGAATGGTGCTTGATGACCCGGTAAACAATTTTCATGCAATTAGAATGTTTATTTCTGCGTCCTTGTTACAGAACGGATTATGTGTCCATCCGGGTTAACAATACAGCAAACTACGGATATAACGAAGTCGGTAATAGCGTTGCTGACGTACCTCGAACTTAGGGAACGTGTGTTCCTTCGCGAACAGATCACTGTACTTGTTCACAGCGTCCGTCACTGAAAACCCCTGCACCATGCTCTTCAGCTTGGCGAGTCTCTCCTTGCTCGGGTCTCTGGCAGTGAAGGTTGGCGGAAACACAGTTATAATCAAAGCTTCGTGGTAATAAACAATCCTATTCCATCGTCAGTGAAACATGTATAAACGATTATGTATCGTTTTGACGAATTCGAGTCTTGGAAAAGTTTCTACAGTAGATCTAGTGCAGTCCGTCTTACGGTAGATCTGGATGCGGTAACCTTACCTCTGTGCATCTCCCATAAACACTTTTGATACAGTGTGTAGCGACAAGACAATATAAAATCGTTTATTGGGAGCAGCAAAGATACAAGTATATGGTTACGGCAGCTAACAGTAGATCTAGTGTTGTCTATCTTGTCGGTAACTTTATCATTTGTTGTCAAACAAGACACTGTTCGAAAATACATGTTATCATCAGACTCATCTACAAACGTGTTCTTTGATTCAGTACACATTGACGACAGGTTTACCTCTCGCTTCCATCCAACATTGCCAGATCCTTGAGCATGTCTCCGATCCTGTCACACACAGCGAGCAGACGCTGTAGCTCGTGGTCGTTGTAGGCCGCCTCGCACTCTCTCATGTCCTACAGGGGAACCAGCGTGAAGTGAAGGTATTTCAATCAGATCAGGTGAGCTGAGGTGGAATGGGGTTTAACGTCGCGTCCAAGATTATTGCACTTATATGGCGACGTGCATGCACGTGTTTGTGTGGCCGTGCTTGTACTAGTCCGGACTGATGACGATTTATAGTGCTAGCCTCTGAGATACCATGCCGCTGTTACCCACATGAATACCCCACTTAGAGACAGTATATGGACTCCGAGCCGGCTGTCTTTATTTTAGCCCCTTAATGCCGAGCGCCAGGCACGGTAACAACAAGTACCATCTTGTACCATCTTTTTGCATACGCTCTACCACTAAACCACGGATTCTGTCGAATCAGACCTGAGAGGAATTGGAAGATCATGGTTATATGGGTATGGAACATAATCGGGTCGAATGTGGAATTCGAACGCGCAGCGCATACTGACAACTAGGGGACATAACTCCGCATATGTAATTGCATCGTTCCGAGCTAACTATAAAAGTCCAGTTTCCACCGTTGCCGAACTAGGCTGGAATTATGGAGTTATACTTTGGCTGAACTAACGAGTCTATGGATAGTCCAATCAAAATCTCGTAACGAAATCATTCGGTTTGTAAACAACATGGCGATTGGCGTTCAGATTTGCAGAGCATGTGTACCGTCAACTGGGCGTCGACAGATTCTTTTTTTTCAAATCTGTTCTTGCTTTTAATCAAGGTGCTCAAGTGATTTGATGTACTTTGCGAGGTAAAACCCATTTTATCACAAAGAAGATCTTGATTATCGATTAGATTATCGTTGTGACTGGGCGCCGCCATTTTGTTTGAAGCAAACGCAAGTGATATGAGATGGTCAATAGCAGGACGTTAAAGGGACATAACTCGTAATCGCAACTGGTGGTGCTTCGATCGAGCCACGACATTACAGCCAAGCTCGGCAAGGGTGGATACATTTTTTTTAAAGTATATTATCTATTAATCTCCGTCTCATCTCGTTTCATCCCTCCATCCAAATACATGATGAAATGAAGAGCAAAATATTAATTCGAATTTGCCTTACATATACAAATCGTTCATCGTTGTTTAAAGTTCCTTCAACTCACGCGAATGAACTCCTGTCTGTTCATGGTGTCTACTCTGAGACGACTCTCGTACCGGAGGTAGGTGTCGGTGGCCTGGCGGGACAGCTCCGCACGCTTTTCCTCCAAGTCCTGGTGCTTGGAAGAGGATTCACTCCGGAACGGGAACTCTGCTATGGCCTTCTGCACGTGCTCCAGGGCGTGTTTCTTCCGGTGGTATTTCTGAACACGTGCGTTCGATTATTACAATTTGAGTGACCTGAGTCAACCGATGTTACCACATTTCTGGCAACCAGGGTTGAGTAGATTCAACCTGAGATGACGACTGACCAGTGTTAACCCGAAACCATACATAATCCGGTTTAGCTTGGGGTTTACCTTGGTCAACATTGGTTCACCAGGGTTGGCTAGGTTATTTTTTAAATCGAATGCAAGATGTGTCAGAATTTTATGTTCACCTTTGCTGCTTAATTAAAAGTTATCGTAAGTTACAAAGCCATGCCCATGAGCGTGTCACTTTTAGTATGAGTATATATATCACAACATAGTTTGATTTATTGGCCAATACTGGCTTCCACACAAAAAAAAACAATCCAGGCGAATGTGGGATTCGAACCCATGATCATCGGACCCTGGTACGGCTAAGGGACGCAACCCTGCACAGCCCATGTACCATACAATGGTGTTCGTGGCGTTGTGAGGCTAATTTATTTGCAATGCCGTCTGGCAACAGTCCCTAGTGAGATGCGAGCTCTACTTGACGGCTCTGTGGTGGAGCTCAGCAATGAGGAATGAGAATCATGAGAGGGCGCTGCACGGAAGAACTTGTCAACATTGTAAGTAGAGTACTCCCCCTTCATCAAGTTGAGGTTAGCTATCACGGGGATACTTGTCCCGAAACGATATTGTGATGGATCGTATCAATAAGATTCTAAACGAATATGGTGCATTCTTCGTTGTGACCACATATATTCCCAGTGTGTTTTTGTATGTAAACTGTTTAAACACGCACTTAAGCTGTCGTAATATAGCAACGAAGAGTGTCATGAATAACACTAACCGAAGGTACGAACAAACTATACAAGCTCTTCAGAAATATATCTCGAGTTATTGTTTTGACATTTTATTGACGAGCACATCACTTGGAGCTTTCCTGACATAATGTGATTTAACTGAAATACTGTTCAAAGCGGCGTTAAAATAAACTCGCTTACTCATATCAGGCTCATGTGATGTGTTTGGGTTGCTGGTGTTCGCAAAAATGCAAAATATTTGTAGATAATTTATTGTGTAAACCCTATTCCATATTAAATAAGTTCTACTGAAAAAGAGGGTCCCCGTACAGAATCATCTTCATCGTTACCAACCATGGTACTATCTGCTTCATAAGGGTAGAGGAATCTACACAGGAAGTCAAATGTGCCGTTCACTCAATACTCGTTTACCCGTACAAAATGTGTGTGCTTTAACGTGAAGATACTGTCGTAGGTCTAATGTACCTTTGTGCAGGTGGGCCTGTACATTTGGGTACAAAAGAAGAACCAGGCGGCCTTGTCATTATGCTCATTTTGGGTACAAAGAAGTACCAGGCGGCCTTGTCGTTATGCTCATTTGGGTACAAAGAAGAACCAGTCGGCCTTGTCGTTATGCTCATTTGGGTACAAAGAAGAACCAGGCCTCATTTTTTTAAAGGATCAAACTGGTGAACATGCATGACTATTGGTCCGTTGAAAGTTTAGATTTGAAAAATGAGAGAGTCAAAGTCACATGATAAGTATTAATTCCGCTGGTATAGTCACTCCATAACACTTTCTCTCCGAATCTCAATATGAGCAGGGTCGGTCGGGTAGCCTAGTGGTTAAAGCGTTCGCTTGTCACGCCGAAGACCCGCGTTCGATTCCCGACATGGGTACAATGTGTGAAGCCCATTTCTGGTGTCCCCCGCCGTGATATTGCTAGAATATTGCTAAAAGCGGCGTAAAACCGTACTCACTTACTCACTAGATATGAACAGGCTATCCTTACCTTCTTAGCTTTCTGAACTCTCTCCTCTAACTTCATCTGTTTCTCCGTCGCCTCGGCATACTTCGCCATTGTAGCGGATTGAGCCTCGCGCTTAAAAGTGTCTTTGTAATGCCTAAAGACGTATAAACACACTCGTTTTTACCATCGCTAGAATTATTACCTCATGCAAGACATTCAACTACATTAAGTAAGAACCGTCTCATAGATCCAGAGGTGAATACACACAAAACCAGTAACCGAACTCAGGTAACGTCCATATCTTATATCTCTTAGACATGCAGACGAGTGTAGTTATATTAAAACTGGTTTGAACAAAAAATAACTTACTTAAATTTGTTGTAGTAAGGGCAAATTGGTCCAAATCAAACATCAAGTCATCTGAATATGTTTCTTACGGGACAATAAAAAACGTAGTGTAAAGGTTTATGAAAATATAATCAAGGATATAAACTTAAAGGAAGCTATAGAAGTCTTCGAAGTAGAAAACTTAGAAGGATTAGGCAAGGTTGTGGGATGAAGCATCGCTTGGAATGATCGCTCGATGGCTATCTCCATGGTGGCGATAGACATTTCTTCGCATCAATAAAAAAACATGCAGATACGGACATTTTTCACCGAGACAAGCATCAGCATATATGTACTTACATACACGTGAGGACGGGCGGCCCAGTCGTCTATGGCATCGCAATTCGCTGTGCAGAGTTGCGTCCCTTAGGCGTGCCAGAATCGTGTGATCGTGGGTTAGAATCCCGTTTCGCCCTGATTATTTCGTGCTCTTGTGTTTCACTGAGGTGGTAACCGTGTGCAAAAGACCTGCATCAGTTTCTTCCCACATCAAGCTGACACGCCGTGATATAACTGAAATACTGTTCATAGCGGCGTTAACCCCAACTCACTCACATACAACTACATACGCTATAATAGCTACATGTATAGCTATGTCTGTCTCGTGGTATTCAAACTGCAAACAAACCCAGACACGAGTCTGGCTTGCTCACTTTTTCAGCATGGTCGCCTCGTTCAATATCCTGTTGGCAACTTTGTTGTGTAGAGGCGCCTTGTCAGTCGGTTCATTGAATGTCTCTCTTAACACGTTGCGGAACTCAAGGTACTCGAAGTCTGTGAATAAGCCCCATGGAATAACACAGCTATCATTATTCCATTACTGCTAAAGGCATAGAGAAGACAACTCTAAACAGGTAGACTTTATAGGTGTGTAGTCAGTGCCCTGTCCCCTCTCTCTCTGAGAAGTAAAGTCTGTCGTATGACGTTATTTTTACAATACAGTACACAAGAGCAGTAGCTGCCGCCATGTTTTTTTTAAATTGACAAAGGATTAGGCAAGCGACACACTTCTAAATGGCCCTCTCTCCTTACGAATTTTGAAACATGCTTATTAACAGAAATAAACAGCATGTAACAAGCAACTTAAACTATGCATGTGGTTAATAGTCGTAAATGTTATACATACGATATAGTATAGCGAAAAGCTTGAATGTGGTTATTAATATCAGATTTAAGATTTAAAAATATAAATAGCAATGCAGCATGAGGCTTTTTTCGTAATTTTATCGAATTATTTCCAAGGAATATAATTCCAAGGTGCGTTGTTTGTGACCATTTATTCATGTACGTTGCTGTAGTTAGGGTGAGACAAAGGAACTGACTGCACTTGTATTTTTGCCTTCCAACTTCCAATTTCCATTTTGTTCTAACTACACAATTGCTTTATATATCTATAAGCAGACCTTTTGCCAAGGATTAAAATTTGAAAGTAATTACATAGGTTTCAATTGTGTTAATATGGATGGTATAATCCCTTGACAAGAATCCTACGATCAGGTGATCATTTTCTGCTGTGCTGTTACTTTCATAAACCAACCTAATGTATCGGCGAGTTTCCTGTTCCATCTGGCTGCCAGTTGTTCTAGAGCCACGGAGTAGTTCATCTCAACCCGAGCTCGTTCCTCCATGTACTCCGACAGGCACTTCAGAGACCTTCGGCGTAAGCACGAGAATATTAGAGCAATAGCCATGAAACAAGACAAAGTGTCGGCGGAGTCGTATATAGCACTGCGCAATCACGCCCATCGCAAATTGTTACCATTTTGGGAATTGACTGTTGGGGTGTGGCGTGAGGAGCGAGCCCGCAGCAGCAGCAGCAGTTGGTGATTCCGGGTAAGAATAAAACTCAGTGAATGGAAAAGGAAGCTGTCAACAAGCGACACTTGTCTCAACTGTACTTCAGGCTGCGATGTTAGCCGTATTTCTTTCTGCCATATTGTTACACTCGATTCAGCTGAAAATGGTTTGGGGCAGAAACTGGTGCAACAAGTGCAATCTTACCCTTAAAATCAAAAGTAATTTTCTTCTTCTTTTTTGGGAGAGAGATAATGGGTACTAAACGAAATAACCAGCTTGAATCATGGACTCCCAGGGTAGAAATAATCCCCAGCAATCGATGTATTGTTGTGGGAGGCAACTAAATGGATCGGGTGGCCAGGCTCGTTGACTTGGTTGATTGCTGGTCATCGTGTCCCAATTGCATCGATTGATGTTCATGATGTCAATCACTGGATTGAGTGGTCTAAAAATAGTTGCTGCAGTAGTAGTGGTAGAAGTAGTTGCGGTAGTAGTAGTGGAGTAGTAGTAGTAATTACAGTAGTAGTAGTAATTGCAGCAGTAGAAGAAGTTGCAGTCGTTGTAGTAGGTGAGATGAGGTGAAATGGGGTTTAACGTCGGGTCCAAGATTATTGCACTCATATAGCGACGTTCATGCATGTGAGTGGCAGCTTTCACCAGTCCGGACTAACGCCGATTTTATAGTGCTGGCCCAGTGAGATACCATGCCGCAGTTAAACATGAATACCACACTTCGACACAGTATACCGATTTGGTATTTTGGTATGACGCGGCCTGGGCTCGAGCCCCGGACCTTCCGCTCTGGGCAGACGCTCTACCACTAGACTACGGGGGCGGTCTGGTATTAATAGTAGTAGTGGTAGTAGTAGTTGTAGTAGTAGTTGAATGAGTGGTTTTACGCCGCTTTTAGCATTATTCCAGCAATATCACGACGGGGGACACCAGAAATGGGCTTCTCACAATGTGTCCTTGTGGGAAATCGAACCCGAGCCTTAGGTTTGAGGAACGAACGCTTTAACCACTAGGCTACCCCACCGCCCAAGTAGTAGTAGACGTTGCTGTGGTAGTAGTAGTAGTAGTAGTTGCAGCCGTAGAAGTAGTTGCATCGGTAGTAGTTTCAGTAGTAGTAGTAGTAGTAGTAGTAGTTTGTTTTGTGTGTATGTTGTTTAACGCCGCACTCAACGATATTCCAGCTATATGAGGGCGGTCTGTAAATAATCGAGTCTGGTCCAGACAATCCAGAGACCATTATCATGAGCATCAATCCACGCAATTGGTATGAAATGACAAAGTGCACATTTACCATCATAGCTCATGAACACAGCATCATATCCGCTGTGAATGTGTCTTTAATAGGCCGCTTCCATCACGCAACACTCCAGTACACAGGACAGAGGCTCAAAGCACGTGACATGTTATTACCCGATGAAGGGATTAGTTTGCGCACAAATTGTATGCTCGGATCCCTGTAAATCATATGTAACCGTACTCAGCTTACCGTTATGTCTCCTGTTAAAGGCGGCTCAACGGTGTACCGTTATAGAATATTTAGCAAATGGCTTCAAACAGCCATGAATGCATATATATAATATAGAATATCGATTGTAACAACGTCTCTAATTTTGATAACGCTATTGTCGTAGACTTACTGTTTAGTGTACCTTTCATATACCACACATTTTGGAACCAGCTGCAAAGACCCTAGCCATGTATGGCTCCGCTTTAACTTTTCGGCATTCACTGGTTTTCCATTATATGTGAGTTAGCGACCAGTGGCTGTCGGAGAGTAATTTAAGCGGTTCAGTATATAGCTACAATTTTCGTAGCTGTTTTGCATAAATGAGTGAGTATGGTTTTACGCCGCTTTTAGCAATATTCCAGCAATAACACGGCGGGGGAGACCAGAAATGGGCTTCACACATTTTACCCATGTCGGGAATCGAACCCGGAACGCTTTAACCACTAGGCTACCCGACCGCCCCTGTTTTGCATAGAGCTACTACTAGCTTTAAAGGTATTCACATAATAATGGTCTACATTGAACAGTTAGTTACTCGAAGGTTTATAAATGATGATTCAAAATATCTATCATACCTATTCCCAGAACTGAAACGCTTGAAAGCATCCTGATGCAGATATCTAGCCTTCTCCGGCACCGCCATCGCGCCGTCAACTACCCGGGACAGCGGCACTTCGGCGCCGGGCGACTTCAACACCGGTGATTGTCGCGCGGGTTTCTAAGTAAGAACTCCTTTAGCTACGCGACGTGTGAGTGTAAGTCATCTGTGACGTCACAATTGATGACGTATTCCTCAATATAAAGCACTCAGTCTTAACAACAACTATCGTCGGAGTTCCTTTAGTAGATGTGTACCCGTCGATATATGGAACGGACTCTAACACTACCATCGCTCCCCCCCCCCCATGTCAGACATGCCGATAGGCAGACATCAGACAGTACGAATGAGGAATGACATTAAGATCATTTGTCAACCAAAGAAATATTGTTCCGATTTTTTTGCATGGGTGTTAAGTGGTGTTGCGAATAACGTGAACATAGTCACAGGGAGCATATTTTAGCATCTTACGGGACAAGAGTCCATTGGCCTATATATCATGATATATGAAAGCCTAGTTTCGTAGAACTAGTCCTTCATAGGGCTTTTTATGTGTAACAGTGAGGTTGAAGCTTGGAAATTGGAGGCATATATATGTTTTAGGTTAATGTTAAGGAAAGATTGGATGGAAAGACAATAGAAGTAATTGACCACTAATGCTTGTATCCTTGTCGTATATGCATACAAAATGTGGATGTTGGTACTATTCTAATTTGATATATTATCATTGTTATGTATCCATACCAGTAAATGATATAGGTGTTATGGACTGTGTGTATTGATTATTTATAGGGACATAGTTGTGAGCAATACTTGAATTCTTATGTACTAACACAACGCATTATGTGAGATATGGCTGGATGGCCTACATTTGTTGACTGATAAAGGCTAGTGGACACGCATGCCTCGGGAAGACATACATTCATACATACATACATACATACATACATACATACATACATACATACATACATACATACATACATACATTTTGCATAAGTAAACGCAATTTCCTGAAATAACCGCATTTGTTCGTTTAACTTCCCGTTTTTTACATTTTTTAAAGTGTTTTCAGAACATTAGCGAAATGTACATATACCCAAACAATTCTTAAATAGTTTCATATTCATGTATGTTGAGAAGGAACGCATTCGGGGAAAATATTTAACAGGAACAAGTGTTTCTTTTATCATGCAGCTTTAACTCTTCATCAATCAACATTCAAGCAGTTTGTTGATCTCACACAACAGTCTGATCACGATTTATGTGACAAAAACTTTCAAAGGTTAAGTCACATACACACACAACAAAAACAAAAACAAAAACAAAAACAAAATAAACAAACATCAACAACAACAAAAACCTGTATGCATCCCGATATTACAGAGGAAACATGTAGAATTATGCATATGAAGTTGGTGGTCGGGTAGACACTTTCTTTTTCACATCAACACCGATGTCGCTAACATTTGGCCTTATGTTTCTGCTTCATAATCCAATAGTTTAGCGAAGATACTCGACCCTTGATTAGCGGTAGACCTCCATTTCCACTTCCAATTATATATACACCTGGAAGTGCATTTTCCGCCCACAATGATATATACACTGCCAAATCTGAGCCCCACCCTACAACTTTGGAAACTTCCTGACGCCGCCGCAGTGCATCTTCCCGAGGCAAGAGAGGTAACTGACTATAAAAGTCCAGTTTCCACCCTCGGAACCGCTGTAGTAGATGTAGTAAAGCAGGTGATGGAGTCGCACTACATTCACGCTGGCTGACACGTTGTCGACTTGAATCAGTCTTTTTTCCTTCTTCCGAAACATATTACAGTAAAATACGTTTATAACGAACACGCTGACGGATATTACGAACTTAATTTTTGGTCCCGGCCATTTGCTGTATAGATGTTGTATATATGCTTATAACGAACTGCGGTTATAACTAACTAAAACTAGTGGTCCATTTGAGTTCCTTATAACCATAGTTTACTGTACATCCTAACTAAGTGTTATGTTTACGGAAACGTTTTCTTTTATTTATCAAATATACTCCACCTTCGACAGCACAATGTACCAAGCAGCGTTTCTACATTATGTATCCATTTGGTTAGGTGTCGTCAGTTTCTCACCTTCATTTAAATGTTTACAAACAAAAGTATCGTCCACACACTCGTAGCACGCGTTCCCTCGAGGACATAGGCGCATATGAGGCGAGTTCTGTTTTAATTAGGTAATCCCTAGTTACTAATACCTTAGAACTTTTCACGGCGGCCGCCCGTTTCTAAGACAGGCTGATTAATGTCCGTAAGCCTGGCAATCGAGACCAAAGCTTAAATATGACAAGTAAACAAAACGGTAATCGGGAGATTATGTCGGTTTAATTACCTACGAAAATAGTTGTTATAGCGATGAACGGTCGCATCCCGACCACTAATACACCACGTTGTTGTTAATATCCAAGTGAACTAGAATATGCATTAAATTTACATGTACGAGATAGTCTATGTCACGCTACATTTATTCACATGAATTATTAAAACATAATATATTGAAGCATTTACAATAATAGTTTGTATTTAACATACATTCATAAAAGTAGTCATTCCTCTAATGATACAAAAAGTGGGAAAACTTCGTTTAAGACGACACTAGAATAAAAGAGCACATCTGTATTTGTAATAACCTTTCGATAAATGTGTTTCATATTTTTACAATCAAAATGTATGCTAAAAATGTGCATATAAATATTCTATAGGTTTATTGTTCATCTTATTTGTACATCCCATGTTAGTCATATAGATGTCTTAATTCCATTCAGATGTTACATTCACATGCGTGTGTAAATAAAATTTTACTACTATCTCGTGCCATCTCCATGTTTGATAGTATATGAATGAATGAAAGCTACGCTGACGACCTCAAAGAACTTCCCATATTACCGCAGCAACCACGGTCAGAGGTCATACGCGAATGACAACAAACGGTACGCGTCACAACCGGAAATACACTATGCCTGACATACAAAGTAGAGCGTCAACTAGTTTCTAAGAACATTATATAAAATACCTTTTTACATCTTTTTATTAGCAGGAATTACGTAACATATTCATCCATAGTTGATGTAATAAAGCAAATATATATTGAATCGTTATTCACGATTAAAGCGATCGTTGTGCTTCCTTAGCAACGCGCAGTAATATTACGCAGGGATTTGTCCCTTGACAACTACACTTAGACACACACCACACAACGGATCCTTCACTTGACAACTTGGTGATCAAGAGAGAAGTGGCATATAAGGGCTAGGAGCAAGAAGTTCGGTAGATATTCTCCTGTAAAGTCCCTTAGCATCAGTCGAAATGTTCAAGAACACATTTCAAAGTGGATTCTTATCCATACTTTATAGTATTGGAAGCAAGCCTCTACAAATATGGGACAAAAAGGTGAGCAAACCACTAAATGTGCGAAACAGTTTTCCCATGGATACAGATGGATAGCAACCGGGAAGCTAGTCGATTTCTCAGTCTATGTGAACATTTGTGAAATGACAACTATTTATACAACAATTATACGATATATACAGGCGTTAGGTGGATTTATTTTACATTTTATACCTACCATTTTATTATATTAGCGTTGATTTGTGACTCGCTCAGTTCTATGCAGTCGGTCTACGCCTGTCAGTTAACTGCTACTTCTGTTTTTTTATTATACGTGTCTTGTTTGGTATTCTTTATGGTTTTGTCCAACGCCTCGACTGCTTTTAACCTTATGTGATCATGAAGACTTACATTTCTAGCATCAATATTTTGGTTCATCTCAAACTCTGTTTTCATAGGATCGTTTTCCCTTACCACAGTCTTTTTATGTCGTTATTTATCAATATTTATGAGTAGCAGTGTTAACAGATAGCTATGTAATTAATATGGAGTGATTATTTTAGATTAAAAGGACGGTTGCTATGATATTTTAAAATTGTTTCATTTCAATACACATCAAGTTGTCCGCCATTTTGGATTGTTCACTGACCTATTTCGCCAACTAATACATGTGTTATTATATTTCAGGTCCGAAATGGGCATATCAAGCGTATCACAGACAACGACATCCAGTCACTAGTCTTAGAAATTGTTGGGACAAATGTCAGGTGAGTTGTTTTTTCGGAAAGCGGAAATAATTATGTCCTTTGTACCGGTGCCACATGGGAAGGGCGGATAACTCTTACGTTCGTATGCGCTTTATCTAATGAAAGAAACGTCATAAAATATCCATTGAGACTCAAAATTGGCAACACAAGTATCACACTAGTCTTCAGATAAAGTATTGATCCGATAAAACCACAAAAAATATAGTAAGTGGTGAAGATGTTCATATGTGATATCTATAATATTTCTGTTTTCTCTCTCTCCCTACAGTACAACCTACATCACCTGTCCAGCAGACCCAAAGAAGACCCTGGGTATCAAGCTTCCTTTCTTAGTGATGATCATCAAGAACTTGAAGAAATATTTTACATTTGAAGTTCAGGTAATGAATCATATTGGTTTTTTTATCAAATGTTATGAAAATGGAAAACAATTTGTCATTATATGAAACGATTATAATTAATTAAGAATAACACAAAGGTAATATTAATATTTATGCAAATTATTGAGATGTATTTCAGTCAACTAAGTCTTCCTTTTTGTGCTATTCAGGTATTAGATGACAAGAATGTAAGGAGGCGCTTCAGGGCTAGCAATTACCAAAGCACCACAAGGGTGAAACCCTTCATCTGCACGATGCCCATGAGATTGGATGATGGCTGGAACCAGATCCAGTTCAACTTGTCAGACTTCACCAGGAGAGCCTATGGAACGAACTACATTGAAACTCTTAGAGTACAAGTAAGTAATTCACATACGTCATATATCAACCATTACAGCAATATCATTTCCCTGTGATCTGAAATTCAGTTCTTTCCCTTCATGTTTTAGGTAACATGGGAAGATTCTCCTATAGTATTTGAATCTGAGAGCCCCTAAATCTTTAACTTTTAACATTATTAAACAATAATATGACAAAGACACCTTGACTACCACATTTAATATCGAACTGTGAGATAAGATGAGTTTAGTGTGAATGAATTATTACCAAGATAACTGCTTTCCGATAGATGTTACTTATGTGTTGAGAGTAGCTATTATATGTTTATACTTGTGTTTTCAGATCCATGCCAACTGCCGTATTCGTCGAGTGTACTTCTCTGACAGACTGTATTCCGAGGATGAATTACCAGCAGAATTCAAACTTTACCTCCCCGTTCAAAACAGCAAGAAATAACAAGCCCGACCTTGGAAGTAACTCATCATTGTAAATATCTATATGTTACTACTCAAACTGATCACAATGGAACTACAATGTACAAAGGATTCTTGGAGCCAATGCAAATGCCATTGTGCTTGGCTAATATACATTTTAAGTTACACATATCTCGGGGAATATTTGTTGAGAATAAATGTGTCACAGAGGAGTGCATTGTTGAACACAAAACAACTGTAATGAAACAAAACAGGATAATACTTTTTTCGAAAGGACACTGTCCTTTTTAGGCAGTGACAATTGGCATGTTAAATTATTTCGCTGCACACAACCACCACTGTGAAGAATTTGGGACAGCTGAACCTCAGTTCATACTTGGCGTGGCGCAGCAAGCAAGATACAGACCCATATTGGTGACAACAGTAGTAATAGAAGCCTATTTTGTCGGTTCAAGTTTGGGGACAGTTAAAACATTTTGTTTCATCTGTATAAATTTTTCATGGATTTTATATTGTTTACAGTGAAACACAGATTGAGTTGTTGGGACCTGTTGCAATATGCCAACACAGTAGTCCCTGTTATCTATTTGCTTGAAGCTTCCCAGCTCCTCATTCTGCTTGTTCGTTAAGGATTGATTGTGTACAGACTGCCCTGCCCAGTAGGCATGATGTATCTGCATTTGGAGGAAATGTCAATATTGAATTGTAAATACCACTTCCATAGTAATAAAATGTTCTATTGCCATAATTAGCATCTCTTATGTCTTTCTGTTTATTTCAATGGATTTTTGTCACATGTGTCCACATAACCTGGAACTCTCAGGGGCTAGAACTTACTGAAAAGCTTTACTAGCCTGGGTGAAGATAACATGCCCTTGTAATGTTAGAACCATAGGGAAGTTGGGAAATTTGTACTAGCCTGCAGGAATTTGTATTAGCCCCGGACTAGCAGGCTAGTCTTATGTTCTAATCCTGAACTCTGATATTTGTAAGGGTTCAGAACAGTATGGGTATTCATAATTTACTGTTTTGATTAATTGCATTTGGCCCAGATGCAGGTTTATAAAATATTATTATTTTTTCTAATATAAAAGCAAGAAAAATGTTTGAGGTGGGTTATATGTATACATTATTAAGTTTGGTTTCCTTTTCTGATTTTAATGCAGTAGGGAAGAGTAACTTCAGATTATGTAACTTGTCATATGAGTCGGTTCAGTAGGCATGCAAAGTGATTCTTTGTTTTATTGGTGACAGAGTTTGTAGTTAGATGTATCCTCTCAATATGATTGGAGGAAAGGGGCACATAAGAGTAAAATGAGTGTCTTCAGTTCTTTAATATTGAGGCAGATATGTTCTTGTTTGGGAATGTTGATGTGCACCAGTTCCTGCATTATTCACTTATGGTTGTCATTTGTCTACTTCCATTGTGATCAATGGCTATAGGATGTAGAAACTGAAAATGAAATACGACCATACGAGCATCTGTACTCCGAGCTGGATCTTTGAAATAGTATCTTGATTTCTGGGTTAATAAGTTTTCTCAGCATAAGAATTTATAGATTCTTTGGAATTTTCAAGAATATAAATAATTTGAAAATGAAAACAGCATGTCCTAGATTTTCAAAACAGAGAAAACATTAGTTACCATGGTAACTGGAAACCTAAAATGTATCAGTTTCCTCTTTCTCGTCACTGCCTGAACAGACCTGCTAGGCTGTTAAAAGAAACCACTTGCACTACCTCTTGCATTCTGTTGACATGTTACAAATCCATATAACATATCAACCATTATTACATAAGCTAAAAGTGTTCAGGGCTTTCAGGAAAACATATAGCTATATGAGTGCTTTCTTTTCTTTACCAAGGATATTACAAGTCATAATTTTTCAAGGATATTCCAAGTCATACTTTTTCACATTCTCTGAATTTTCTGATATTAACAACCATTTATGTTACAGCCATACAGCATGGCTGTATCCTTATATTACTGGGTTTTAATTTAATAAAATAATCTTTAGTTTGTGTTTATTTTTGTTTGCCTATTTTGGAGGCCTTGGGAAAATATGACTGAAAGTTTTTTTATGGTTTCAATTGTATACATGCATCTATACTACTCAAAAGAAGGTAAACACTCAATTCTTTCATATTATTATGGTTATCTGTCATAGCCAATTAACTATAGTAATATGAAAGAACTGGCTGTTCTTAAGCCTCGTTTGAGAGGTATTAAGGTAGGTTGTGTGTAAATCAGCTAAAATTCATACAGTCTGAACAATGGTTGATAGCATGTGCAATAACACTGCTGTGGGGAGGATGGACCAGGTCAAGTAATGTAACCACTCCAGACTTAGATGAAAATCAGATAAAGGTATCTCAATTCCAAGGGATATTTAGAATATAGTTAGTCTTCCAACAGGAACATCCTCATAATCCAGTGTGTTATATCTGGTTATGTTATGATAAATGCTGTTCACCAAGCAGTGAATGGGTACCCCAGTAGGATAAAATGGTGACTATTAACCTTTTAGTGCTTCACGGACAGCTGGCATTGTATACTCCCCAGGGAGCTGAGAATATAATTGAGTGAAATGGATCCATTGAACTGGGTAAATATTCAATGTGTGCTTTTCAGCATGAAAAAGCCCCATACAAATGGATTATTATTGTTGTTGCATACTGCGGCATGGTATCTCAGTAAGCTAGCACTATAAATCAGCATCAGTCTGGACTAGTACAAGCAGCCACACACACACATACACATGCATGCACGTCGCTATATAAGTGCAATAATCTTGGACGCGACGTTAAACCCCATTTCACCTCACCTCACCTCACCTATTATTATAAGTGCAATGACTGGGGACATCAATCCAATCCAGATAGTCCTGTGTTCAGCCACCCCAAAGTCATGAGATGGGGTATCTAAATAATTACAGAATAAAGAACAGAATTATATTAACTATGACATTTCCCTCCTAGAAAACAAAGAACTAGGACAAGGGTAAAGGTTAATCAGTTTCACGTGCAAATTCTTTTTTATTAAAATTCCCAGGAAAGCACTTTATATGTGCCAGATCGTGTATGGTAATAGAATCGAACAATGGCACCCAGGTTCGTTCACATCAACAAATATGATAAGGATCAACACGTAATTCGGTGGTGCTGACCTGTTCCATTATGTGAGTTCATACCCGCTCCCGCAAAGAAAACAACACACCTTTATAAAAATATATGGATATGAATCTGCATGAAATTCTTGGCAGAATGTTTGTTTTCCCCCATCCCATGGTCAAGACGTATACTACTACATTGTTTTAACGAGTGTTGATATTGCCTTGAGTGGCTATTTGTAGGTGCCTTGAAAACACGCAGGTTTTATATAAACCATACAACTTTCCCCTAGAATCAGTATGTTAAATGCGGGAAGCTGGTATTACATATAAAGAATCTCACCCGAGTGTCTTTTGATATCAAATATATCAACACGAGTTGATAAAAGTGGAAAAATTCCGAGGCTTGCCGAGGATTTTTGCCTTTTTATCAACGAGTGTAGATATATGTGATATCAAAAGACACGAGGGTGAGATTTTTTTATCATCCAACATCATTCTTTCAACTTTTTCAATTTGTATACAGTAATTAGCAGTGTCTTCAGTGTAAAAATTACTGCAAACTGCTTCATCAGCAGAGCCATTAGTGATGTCATTTGATTGTGACGTCATGGTAACCAGTGACGTCACAGTGGTCTGCAAAGCATTGTGATGTAATGTCAATGCAGCGATATCTACAGTGTACAGTGTAGATATCGCTTGATCTCATCCAAGCGATATCTCCTGTGGGAGCCAGTTTTGGATGATAAATATTATTCTTTAAGACAAAATCGCGAGCTACGAGGAATTACGTCCTATTTTATGACGGAGAGATAATCCGAAAGTCCCTGTAATTCCGAGTAGCTTTTCATTACCAGTAGTCTCTTTTCAGAGAAACGAATAAGAAAATGTAGAAAATGTGTGTTTCCGGATATATCGAATTGAGACATTATCATTTTGTTAGACCGGCGTCACACAGTCATCTTTGACGTCATTAACAGTGGATGACGTCATCTTCAATTATTTGCGACAATGCCCACTCAAGACGTCACGTTGCTATGGGTTTCTTCGGAAACAATCAAAACAGCAGAATAGCCAATCAGCCAAAGCAAACGATAATGCTCAGTGAACGTTATTGAATATAACTTCACTAGCTGTTACCGTTGCCCCTGTGGGCACTATTTAATGAATAACCAACGAGTTACGAGGAATGGCGGATTATCTTATTTATCTTATTATCTGTCCCGAGTGAGTGAATGGTGCTAATCCTGTCCCTTCTGGGAGGGACTTACAGGATTCATTCACGAGGGACAGATAATCCGTAATGGCGGGTTTCGAGTAGGTTATTCTATACGTCATTGACATTCAGGCAGACAAACACAAACATGATGAATTAGTATATTTCATAAAGACACCCTGTAAAGGTTATTAAAAAAGTAAGAAAGTGTAGGTTCTTTGAGACATATATGCTAACTCCCTGTTCTATTCACGGAATCTGACCCGTGAAGATCCGGGATAGAATAGGTCTTCAGCAACCCATGCTTGACGTAAATGGCGAATATGCTTGTCGTAAGAGGCGACTAACAGGATCGGGTGGTCAGGCTCGCTGACTTGGTTGATGCCTTACATCGATCCCAATTGCGTGGCTCGATGCTCATGAGGTCAATCACTGGATTGTCTAGTCCAGACTCGATTATTTACAGACCGCCGTCATATAGCTGGAATAGTGCCGAGTGCGGCGTTACAAACAAACTCATGGAATCTGTTCACTTGAGTTATAGCTGTTTGACTGTTCAAGAAGCAATTATTTCAAGGATGTCGTGATATAGCTGGCATCATATACCGACTGCGGCGCCCAACAACATTCGCAAACTTATTTGTAGCTTAAAATAAAAGCGTCAAAACACTTTCCATAATCATCAGACATTTCTGATGGAATCAAGGGTCCAATGTACGATTCCGAACATGTCATGTGTTTATGAATCACCATCAAATAGTGATGATACCAGGTGTTCGTGAGCCTAAGCTGCCTGACCAACCGTTGGGCCCCGTCACAAACACATGCAAAGGCAAATCATTATTCTTCACCGAAAACAACACGGTAACATGTACAAGTCAAAACAGGGAATTGCACTAGACATCTTTTTTTTGTCGTTGATGCGTCAAATATGGCAATGTTTACCACATCCTGTACCAAAAGTACGTTCTGATTATTGAGAACGTACCACTCAGTATAAAACACACACACAAGGTCAGAATAATGTTATAGTTGTTTTTTTTACGTAATTTGTTCGAATACCCGTTCAGTTAGTCAGTTCGACACATACATGTTATGACACGCCTGGTTGTGTGGGACACCAGTTTAAAGGTTCACCTTTATCTATAACCTCTGTATACACTTAAATTATTGGTAGGACAGTTTTACGACTCCGAGTGGCAAATCCGAGTGGCTGGTCTCCAGTGCCGTTTAACTTGGACCGTAACAACAAGGCTATCATTTATTGACACCTTATATAGCACGAGCGGTATCAATTAATCTCTCTCCATCAGTATTGACTGGGCGTGTCTGATGGTCACGTTCTCATTACCCAAGGATGTAACACTATATATCGCAGAATGTGACGACGCATGATATTTGGTCTTCAATTGTTATGGTAACAGTGATATGAATGTGTTATGGATTGCGAGGTATAAGTATTTGTGTGGTGATGTGTGTCGTTCCCATAGTAACCATAATCATAGGTTAGCAACAAGTATTGTATTCTTGATTACCGTTTCAGGCTGAATAATTTACAAGCCATATATATATATAGTGATTGAGACAGTAGCTGAGTAGGGACATAAACACACGGCAACCTTGGACACCTGTCCGTTGATAAACAATATTATTTCAGCTACAGCCGCAAAACCAGATATGTTTTTTTAATTAAAACTATCAGCCTGAATATTTTTTGGTGGCAGACAATTTCTTTTGTTTTCAACAGTCTGAAGCATAATTATATTGAGAATCTCACCCGAGTGTCTTTTGATATCAGAGCCATTAGTAACGTCATTTGATTGTGACATCATGGTAACCAATGACGTCACAGTGGTCTGCAAAGCATTGTGATGCAATTTCATTGCAGCAATATCTACAGTGTAGACAACGCTTGATCTCACCCAAGCGATATCTCCTGTGGGAGCCAGTTTTGGATGATGAATTTTTTTCAAAGATTTCTGGGAAATGTTCTTCTCGATAAAATTCCATTAGGGTGGGGTGGGGTTTAGGGTGAGTGGAGGTGAGTTTATTTACAATATTGATTTATATATATATATATTTGAGGGGTAGGGTGGGGGGTACATGCTTTTGCTTTCCAACAATTCTCCTCCCTCGAAATGCAGAGACGTGGTTAGGGAAATGCAGAGACGTGGTTATGGCTCTGAAATAAGTTAATAATTCGACAAAATCGTCATTCGTGGTTCCTAACTATGTAGATCTAGATGCTTTTAGAACATAGAGCAAATTAGTGATGAAATTCACCCGGACAGTGACCTGAAATTAACAATGCGCACATGACAACACTTTGCTTTCTCACGTGGGGCGACGTTTGTTTATCTTGACAACGGAAACTGATGTACTACACACAATTGGAGGTTGTTTGCATCACGTAACACTAGCAGATAACGCGTAAATAAAAACACAAAGAGAGTATGGATTTTCTGAGACAGGAGGCGTGTTCAAGCTTGATAGGCCGTGGACGAAAGCCTGGTGTATTAATTGATGGCCCGCCTGCATCGACATGAGAGCATATTGATTATACGAGTTTCAAAGACGTTTAGAACGCATTTAGACAACAGCTTGAGTGAGCACATATGATGCCTGTCGACACTCAACACGTGTTAGTTTGGTAAATCTGTGAGTGTGAAATACCCCGCTGTTGAATATAAAAACAAATATTGTGGGACATTATATTGAAGTGGAGGTGTTATAATAAAAAATACATTTAATTTTTGTGTGTGTGTGTGCAAAAGTACTATATGCATTTACATACAAAAAAGACACTGGAGACATGACAGTTGTGAGCAAAGTCCTTTGTTGAGTTTCCCTGTTATCAAGGAAGTTATATAAAGGCAATAGTAAGCATCCCCATACACTAATGATAAGTGGACCGCGTATATCCAAGCAGGAAACGTATCGCAGGCGGCCGTCGGCGCAGACTGGATTGCAACACGTGACGAAAGATCTCACTCACATGCTGGACGAATATCTCCTCTCGACACACGTTTTTGACATAGCACAGGTTACTGAGTGGATGTATTTTGCGTGGATCCAAATTTAAAGCTACTTGGGGCGTTCACTTCGCGTAACCAGGGAAGCTTTATCAACGCCCAGTGCTGGTCCTTGTCAACAAAGGCTCGAGTTACTTCAACAGACCAAGAAATATATATTTTTCACTGTGATTCGATCGTGGTATTAATTCCCACAAGATTTGTGATTCGAATGGAAAACCGCGTTGAGAATTCTTGAAAAGGCGTTTGTTTTATTGGTGTCCATTTGTTTGTTGTCAATTACTGGTCACGTGACATTTGCTGCGGCACTGTAATATGGCAGCGCCCATGAAACAGGAAACAATAGCAGCAGACGATGTGAAATCGGGAATTTTACAAAAACTAGAGGGCAATTGTTTCTTCAAAGATGTATCGGAACATCTAAAGTGCCTTGATGTTTCATATGATATAGATAAGGAAAATTCAAAAGCAGCAAGGTACGTGATAATTGAATGAAACTGTTGACTGCCAAAACAGCCCCGCCCACCTTTGCTTCAGTTAGTGTACAATATTGCCATATTGACCTGCCTGACATTGTCAGGCATCACATTTGCAATTATTTGTCGTTAAAATTGGAAATATATAATATTTTCCCATTGTATATTAATTGAAATTAAATGCAATGATGACTCGAACTTGTTGATGTTTTTCATTTTGACAATATGTTGCAGATGCACAATGACCCATTTTATCAATGGCAACTGATTTCAAAATGTCTTGAAATTGAGATATGTGTAGATATTATTAGCTTACATTGGTCCAAGTACCTTGAATCAGAGTAATAAAAGTATATAAAAAATAATACAAGGATCTTAATTAAATCTTGACCAACTATGAATTAAGTCTTTGATGGGCGTTTAGAAGTTGGAGGAACATGTAGCCAGGAGCCACGATATGCGTCAGTCAAGATATGAGACGATGTAAGGTCATGTCTTGACTGTAGGACCCCATCGAGGCTCTCATCTCGTCAGACCCCATTGTAGCTCTCATCTTGTCAGACCCCATCGTGGCTCTCATCTTGTCAGACCCCATTGTAGCTCTCAGCTAGAACATGAAGACATGATACATTTTATGGTTAACAACTTCTTTACTGTTTGTAAACATTTCAGGGCTGCTTCCTGCTCTGTCATTAGGTGCCCCTTCATCAGGCAATGAAGGGGCAAGAAGTTGCCCTGAAATCTTATTACATACAATAAAGTTATTATCATTGAATGTTTCATGACTTCAAACTGTGAAGTTGTATTTGGAATAATGTCAAATGCATTTGGTTCCAGAAATTGTATAAAGAATTATCAGTGTTATGCTTGCCTTAACAGTGTAAGATCAAGTTTTTCAAAGTTTGTTTTTATTTTTACATACACATGTAGTTGACGTGGGGAAAACCAATTCCAAATTATGACTTTGTTACTGTGCAATAAGCTGCAAGTCGTAGCTAGATTACAGCTCAGCTCATACCTATTATGTGATGTAAAAAATGTGTGAAAAATATTTAGTATTTAGACAAAATATTTCTTTACCACAGTATAACTCCTTTATAATATGTTTTTTTCCAGCTGGTTAGACTGGGCAGTACGTATTCCATATCTTAAGGTTATCAAGTCTTCAGTGCCTGTGGGTATTCTACCGAATGCATACCAAGGAAATCTGATTGATGTCAAAGTATTTGCAAGACATGGACCAGATGATGAAATCTATGACAATAACAAGTCTATACGAGAAAAGGTAAATTTAACAGATATATAACGGAAATATATTGTTTGAAATGGTTCACCTGTTTTCCACTGTAATCTTATTTATCTATCAAATATAATGACACTGAAATTTTAAGGTATGAAAAGAGATACACATTCACTATAATATATTTGTATAGAGAAAAGGTATTAGTATGATATGCTACACATCAGGGATACAGGTCAGTCTATTTTCAATAATCCTCATGGAGCATTATAACAAATGTTCAATTGTTTTCATTGTTTGCAAAGTGGCCTTTAGCAGTCTTTCAAAATACCCGCCTGCCTGACAGTCTGAGACGGTCTATTTTGCTAATGGATGGTCAGTTTTGCAAAGTTGCACTCCCGATGGCTGGGAGTTAAAGTTACTAAGTTGACGATCTCCCAGTTTATTGTTATTTGCAGAGAAATAACATAAAACCGTACTATTCTTATGTTTACCCTTTCATTACTTTTGTTTGTTAATTTAGAAAATTCTGGACTGGCAACATTTTATCTGGTCTGGTAACTTTGCACAGGTGCCAGTCTGACTGAAATTTTGGGGAATTTTATACACTGCCTTTAACAATTTGAGGTCATATGAACACATTGTTGCCAATGATTGAAAATGACATCATCCATTGTTTTATGTGAAGTTGCTCCAAAAAATAGAGTAGCTGAGCTGATGTCTTCACTTGAAACCCACATTTTTCTTCATTTTCTCACACCATTCAGACTATGTGTTAGTCCTGCACCATAGCTGTGGAATATATGTATCTTATGAAAACAAAGCTAATCTAGATATACAAACAAAAGCAAGTATAGCCAGCTCTAGTCAGCTCTATTCTACAATCAGCATCAGAAAAATTATTTGTTTTAATTTTAGAGGGGCGAAATGTAATGTGTAATAAAATGTTTCAGACTATATGTTAGTCTAACTATTGGAAATATACAGCGTATAACCTACTCACAACTATAAACTGAGAATTATGGATTCTCTGCACCTCATGAATTAATTGAAAACAAAACTAATGCACTCAGGACAAATAATCCTCAATTTTAAGTTGGTTGTGAGTAGGTTATAGTCTAAATGTGGATCGCTGTCAAAAAGTTGGCCACATCAATGTTAACTACTACCCCGTTCACACTGCCTCTATACATATGTGTGAAAATGTTTATATGTGTGTAGAAATACATACGTGAGTATACTTGTCATGTGAGCGCGTTTAATCATGTATGTATATTTACACCAGGACCACATTTGCATCGTGTCTGGAGCGGGTGCAAATGTAAATGTAAATTTGCACTGTGTGTATATGTTGCAATGTGAACGTTTATGTCAACACAAGAGGATGATCTAATTAATATCTGTTCTTTTGCCAACACCAAACAAATTATCAACAGTTGCCAACTTTTATGCATATATACAGAGTTGAGCAGACAGTGTTTTCTTTTGGTTTCAAGGAGACAAAACTTTGTGTACCCAGGTACAAATTAAATCAAACACATGTTGCTTCACACGAAAATTTTCGGTGTAATAACTCTCTTCTCATTCAACTTTGATTGGAAAACAACCTGTTTTGTGTTGAAAGGCGTAATCAGACTGACAAATATGTATGCCTTACACAATTTATATACTTTATTTACATACCTAAGTTGATTTTCATGTGAACGCATAGTAAATTTACATATACACACGTATGTATAGTTACACATGTGCAAAATTACTTACGTTAGTAAATGTTGTGCATGTGAACAGGGTATACGTATTCAACAGTGATGTGGTTCTGAGTGACAAATGCTACTAACATATTTATCAAAGACATAACCAATACATCTTCCTTATAAAAGGAAGATGGATCCTATTTGATATTCATGTGCCACAATTTGGTTTTGGTGTCTAGTAATAGGGGATACCGGTAAGCTTCTTAGTAATGATACAAGACATTGATGATTATATTAAATATAATTGTATCTCAAGCAGACTTCAGATAAATAACATGTGTGGATTAGTGTGAAAAGAGGCTTAGGGCTGCCTAGGTGTCAAAATGATCACTTCTTGACTGATGCTGTGATCCTCGACATTAGTCTTGACTATTACTTATAAATTTTATTAAAGAAATAGACGAAGACAATGCTTTGCACCATGCAATGTCTGATCAAACGGATTGTATGTATGCCTCTGTGACACTGGTCAGTCTGACTGATATAGAAGATTTAACGTGCGCTTTCCGACTGTAGCGTATTTCGCACATGGGTCTGGTCAGTCTTGTTTGTTTTTTATGCCGCACTCAGCAATATTCCAGCTAAATTACGATGGTCTGTAAATAATCAAGTCTGAACCAGACAGTCTAGTGATTGACATCACAGGAATACGATGACATGCATCAACCAAGTCAGCAAGCCTGACCACCCGATCCTGTTAGTCGCCTTACACGACAAGCATAGTCTCCTTTACTGCAAGAATTGAGCACTGACCACCCGATCCTGTTAGTCGCCTCTTACGACAAGCATAGTCTCCTTTACGGCAAGAATTGAGGACTGACCACAGGGGTCCCGTAAGTCGCCTCTTACGACAAGCATAGTCTCCTTTACGGCAAGAATTGAAGACTGACCACCCGATCCCATTAGTCGCCTCTTACGACAAGCATAGTCGCCTTTATGGCAAGAATTGAGGACTGACCACCCGATCCCGTTAGTCGCCTCTTACGACAAACATAGTCGCCTTTATGGCAAGAATTGAAGACTGATCACTCGATCCTGTTAGTCGCCGCTCAGGACAAACATGTCACCTTTACAGCAAGAATTGAAGACTGACCACCCGATCCTGTAAGTTGCCTTTACGGCAAGAATTGAGGACTGACCATCCGATCCCATTAGTCACCTACTACAACAAGCAGAGTCGACTTTTAGGGCAAGCATGGGTTGCTAAAGACCTATTCTAACCCAGATCTTCATGGGTCACTTGGCTGATTGTATCATCAGGCAGAGATGGGGTAGATAGTTGCTTGTGCTTTCAATAACTGTTTTTTTCTTGTCCAGAGTTGATTTGTTACAGACCACTGTGATATAGGTGTGCCAACTGGGGCATAAAGAAACATTCACTCACTCACTCTTGTCTGACAACAGCCTTTGCTGGTATATTTAACCATTTAGTTCCACAATAGAATTGCTAGACAAACAGTAGACTGACATCTAGTCTCTGAAATGAACATATTTTACAGATAAAACAGTTGTTAAATTATAGTTATAAAAATATAATAGAAAGAGAGACTTCATTTTCAGATACTGCTGTACATTACTCTGGACTTGCCAAATATTATAGACTTGCATGGGCTGTATTGGATATATTTGTTTTAGGGTCCCTATGACAGACTAGACAAACAGGTCAGATAGTGTTTATTTGATTACGTGTGTTTGTATATAAATTGTGTCTCTTTAAAGTGACCGCCTCCGTGGTCTAGTGGTAGAGCGTCCGCCCGGAGAGTGGAAGGTTTGATCCTCGGGCCGCGTCATACCAAAAGACGTTAAAAGATGGTACTTGTTGTTACCCTGTCTGGCGCTTGGCATTAAGGGGCTAAAACAAGGACTGGTTGGCTTGGAGTCAGTATACTGTGTCTGAGTGGGGTATTCATGTTAAACTGCGGCATGGTATCTCAGTGAGCTAGCACTATAAATCAGCATCAGTCCAGACTAGTACAAGCAGCCACACAAACACACACACGTACATGCACGTCGCTATATAAGTGCAATAATTTTGGATGCGACGTTAAACCCCATTTCACCTTACCTCGTTAAAGTTATTTTCTTGTTTGAATGTTTAATATTCAACCACGGACCTATACAAGTCCGTGATTCAACTGAGTAAGGGAACTATTTGATTTTATTTCAGAGGAAACCTTTCTAGGAAAAAGTAGTAATAATGAGCTGAGACTCTCCATCTTGTGGGGTATTTTAATTAAGAGTGCTGATTAGATGGTGAGGTCAAGAGGTGCTTCAGTGTAATGACCTGCTTACCGTGAGAGACTGGGGTGAGAAGGTCACAGGGGAGGTGGGCTGTCAGTGTTGAGGATGTTTCCACATCTTTAGTTAATTGGCTTGATGGTGCCCAAAAAGGATCCCAGGACTGCAGAATTGGGCATAAGTGTCCCTTGTCCACTTGTTTCACAGACAAATCCCCTAACTGTTCCAGTGTTGTAAACACATATAGAAACTATGCACTACAAGTGCCTATCTGTGTTGGATTTTGACAGGTATTGTTGAATACAGAACCTAACATTACGTTGAATCTGAAGTCATGCCCGAAACATAGAACAGACCAAACATCTTTGAACAGACACAATTTGTGAAACTGAATATTCCATTTATTTTCAGTTGCATTCAGTATAAATATCTTAAAAATGTACCTGTGCTGGAAAAGATTTCAGATGTTCCTATAATTTTAAGGCCTTTCGCTCATTTAGATCAATGGTGGAAATAAAAATTTAAATGTTCCGATTGTAACCCTTGAACCCCATAGGATGATGTAATGATGAAGTGATGTGATGTTGCCCTGAATGTATGCAGCGGCCACTTGTATATGTCCACAATTGATTTTAGAGAAGAGGAATTTTGTGATGATAAACCAGTGATAGAAATTGGCACTAGTCCTTTAGTCCTTGCCAAACAGCGCAATTTTTTAGGGTTTTGTTATATCTTATCATTATATGGATTAATAATGTTTGTTTCTATGGGGGCAAACATTTGTTTAATATGTTTGACTGTTAATTAAATGCAATCATTATTAATTTACGCATATTGGGTAATTTACTTATTTATTACTTTATTTTGTTAATTTCAAGTTATGACTTACACAGGAATATAATTTTTTAACTTCCTGCCATCCCTATTATGACCGAAGATGATGATGAAATTGTATCCTAAAAGTGCTTCCTTGTTGTGTTTCTTCTTATTTGTGTGTCTTCCATGTGCAAGATATCTCTGATTCCTGTAACTTGCCACACTTTCCTTTGC